ACCCCATCACGTGACTGACAGTTGAGTGGTGCTCACCAAACGGTTTTAGAGCGACAGTTACGAGTGGACCACACCAGGCCACCCTTTATCACTGGGATGCACGTGGACAGCACGAGGGTACTCACTCGCTATCGATTGGTTATAAAATATTTTATGGTGGGGGGTGGGGGGATGTAGGTCACGAGAGGTTGGCGACGTGGCTCATTAGGGTTTGTTATTGAAAAATAAAGCAGGTAGCGAATTTGACGAGTTTTTGACGTGTTTTAATTAACGGGGGACTTTTAATTAAAATTGCGGTAATTAACTCGATGCAGGTTTAGTATTCAGTAGGCATTTAAAGAGATTTGACCACTGTCTGGTTATACACATTGATCAGCGTGTGATCATTTGAAGACATTGGACAGTTGGCTGGTTATATAAATGCAGTTATCGCAACATTTATGATTACAGAATTAGGACTAACATACCACATTCGCGTCTATTTTTAGTTAGGATCATAAATTTCTCCACCTCACGTTTCCCCCCCATCGCATGTGCAACAATTTTGAAAAAAAAACAACGTTTTCTTGAGGTGAAGCAACTACCCCCGTAGGTTCGTTCACACAATTTGCGCACCGACTCAAGTTACGCACCAGCTAGGCGCCGAGTGATGCTATTTATATTTGGCTGCACTCAAAGATCTCAGTTTACTGTTTCAAAGCAAGGGTTGTTGTTGTTTTTTTCCCATCTCTTTATCGTGACCGGAAGTTGTTGGTCTCGGACCTGGCTAGATGGCTAGGTCACGTGACAATTAAATTAGCGGTGCCTGGGTTTAGCGGACTTAACTTGGAGTCATTAGCAATGGAAATGGTGGGGGGAGGGATAGATCGGTCCTGGTTTATGTCAATGTCGTGTTGATTAGGTTAGCAAGATCGGTTAGAGGGGGGTGCATGTTGAGGTCATTGTCCCCCAGACACTAGAGGCCACGGGTTCAAATCTCTCTTGTCTGTGTTGGTTCGGTATAAGCCATTCAACATTGTGTGGTGTAGTGATGAGGTCATCAGACACCAGAGGCCACGGGTTCAAATCTCTCTTGTCTGTGTTGATTCGGTATAAGCCATTCAACATTGTGTGGTGTAGTGATTAGGTCATCATACATCAGAGGCCACGGGTTCAAATCTCTCTTGTCTGTGTTGATTCGGTATAAGCCATTCAACATCGTGTGGTGTAGTGATGAGGTCATCAGACACCAGAGGCCACGGGTTCAAATCTCTCTTGTCTGTGTTGATTCGGTATAAGCCATTTAACATTGTGTGGTGTAGTGATTAGGTCATCATACATCAGAGGCCACGGGTTCAAATCTCTCTTGTCTGTGTTGATTCAGTATAAGCCATTTAACATTGTGTGGTGTAGTGATTAGGTCATCATACATCAGAGGCCACGGGTTCAAATCTCTCTTGTCTGTGTTGATTCGGTATAAGCCATTTAACATTGTGTGGTGTAGTGATTAGGTCATCATACATCAGAGGCCACGGGTTCAAATCTCTCTTGTCTGTGTTGATTCAGTATAAGCCATTCAACATTGTGTGGTGTAGTGATTAGGTCATCATACATCAGAGGCCACGGGTTCAAATCTCTCTTGTCTGTGTTGATTCGGTATAAGCCATTCAACATTGTGTGGTGTAGTGATGAGGTCATTGTCCCCCAGACACCAGAGGCCACGGGTTCAAATCTCTCTGTGTCTGTTGATTCGGTTTAAGCCATTTAACATTGTAAGACACTGTATTTTTAAAAAAAAATATTTCTGCCTTTCATTGCACGTTCAATAACGTTGTCACATGGACGCTTTTTATTCTGTAGAAGTTATCTAACGATGGCCGTAGGTTGTTACAAGTATCATAGATTTTTTTAAAGCTTATAAATATCAAACTATGAACCAGTTCAGTACTCCTGTGTTAAAGATTTGACCATCAACCATTGAAGAAAAATAAATGATCCGAATTTTGGGATTAGTCGTCGTCTCTCTCTCTCCCCCCCCCCCCCCCCCCCCCCCACCCCGTTTTGACGAAGATCTAACCTAGTTACATTGATAATTATTAACCTACTGTATTTAAATTAATGTTTTGATATTCAAGTTATTTCTGAATTATTTTAGATGTATCAAATTAATTTGAAACATCGTGGATGTAAAAGTTTACAACTGGGCCAGTGTTAAGGTTTGTGTCCGTTTTATCTAAAAAAATATGAACCGGATTGATGGGGTATGTCTGACCCAGCGATACAACATTGTGATGAATCAAAATAATGTTAGTTTTAAATTGTTTTAAAACACTTTCTGTAAATATATTAGGGTGGGATTGTGTGTGTGTGGGGGGGGGGGGGGAAATTGGGATTTCGGGTCATTGAAGATGGTAAAAAATATAAGGGTGGGTTAGGGTTTATGTGGCATTATGGAGCATATGAAGATGGTAAAAATATGAGGGTGGGGCAGGGTTTATGTGGCATTATGAGACGTATGAAGAATGGCCGCGTTCCTCCCCAAGGGGCGACTGACGAATCAATCAAACGTTAAGAGTGAGCTCCCCTAGGTGTCCATTTAATGTAGCTTGCATGTTTTATGAGCCGATCCGGGCGGTGTGGTGTTGGGATTACACTCTGTGGTCACCGCTTGACCGCATCTGTGGCTGATCAGCCGCGCGACATAGGACATCGGGCCAGGTCTGGGGCTAAAAGTTGCTGGGGGGGGGGGGGGGGTGAAGATTTGGGGTATTATGCGTTTTTAAGGGGAGGGGGCTAAAGTTTGTGGGACTTGGTGTAGGCAAAAAAATTGAGTTTTTGTTCATTTTGAAGATAAAATTAGGTGTTTTTGGGGGTATTGTCTTCTGGGCTAAAGGGATTCCATCGGTCTATTTAAACTTCGCCTACTGGGGTGGAGGGGGGGGGGGGGGGGCGACTACGACACAGCCATTCTCCATATGTCTCATAATGCCTGATAAACCCAACCCCCACCCTGATATATTTAGTTTTGTGCTTTTGATTAGGTACGTGCGGGCTATAAGGACAGTGGCGTAGCGAGGTCGGGTGTCACCCGGTGCGGCACTTAATGGTGTCACCCCCCAGAGGCGTATCGACCCTTCCCGGGGACAAGCTTTCGATTTGCACCCCCCCCCCTCCCTCAAACTTTCGATTTGCACTCTTAAAAGACTATTTAACACTCGAATTAATCACTTAATTAAGTGGAATTATCATTTTTCTCTATATATTTTGCTATTTTTTACCTTGGTGTCACCCCCCTAAATGGTGTCACCCGGTGCAATCCGCACCCCCGCCACCCCTCGCTACGCCTCTGTATTTGGGAGGTAATGTTCTCAACCTCTCTCACCGTTTCTTGTAGTTTAGGAAGGTGGTTGGATACCTGTGGCGCACCTGGATTTAATACCCGCCGTAAAACACTTGAATAAACCAGTCACCTGTTGGGCAGTCATTACACGGGCGTATTGCAGCGTTTAATTTTTTTATGTGTGTAAACAAAACAAACTACTTTATCCTCAACTAGTGCAATTTTTTTTTATGTTTCCTTACATGCTAGAGGAGCAAATGTAATAGATAAGATGGTGTATGAGCAACATAACAAGCTGTGATCTTTTGACCTGACTCCATGTGTATGAGGCAGTCTGTGTATGGGGGGGGGGGGGAGTTGTTAGATATATAGAATTCTACAGTATAATTAATCGCATATAGGACTTTATCATTCTTTACTCGATGAAAGTAAAAGAATATATAACAAAAGAGAAATCTACTTGTTGAATTATCGTTTGGACATATTGGGGGGGGGGGCACTTGATATTTTCGGGGGGGGGGGGCACTTGATATTTTCGGGGGGGGGGGGGGGCACTAGTAAAAGTGTATGTTTACTATATAAATATAAATATAAAGGCCCCCCCCCCCCGAAGAGATGCCTGGAAGAAACTCTGCCCCCTACCTCTCCAGTGCCTCTCTTACAGTTACACCCCTACCTACATTACTACTTGCCTTCAAACAGAAATAAGTATTTTGGTTGTGTAAACGTCACTGCAAGTTGGCTATCCACTAGTCCCAAGAGCTTCCGTGTAAATTATTTTTAGCAGGAGATTGTTTTAGAACTGGCTTAATTAAACATAACCCTAGATATTTTCTATCAACTAGATTTAGATTCTAAATGTTTGTATAGAAAGCCTATGCTGATGTTATTAGAACAAAATGTATTTCATACGAGAAGAGCACTTAGTCAAGTCATGCTAACCTCAACGCTAAAAATAGATCCGGTGTCATGGAAAAATTTGTTCCCAGAAAATAATGCCTGCCTTATAGCGTTATCTCGAAGTTTATTAATGGGAATAAAAAAAAAATTGCCGCTTGAATTTCTGGTCCTTTTTATCAGCCAGCATGGGATGTATCTTTTAAAAAAATGCGTGGCTTTATGAGAGGGGGATGTTGGTTCAGGGAGAAGTCATCAAGATAAGTCAACCTTAAGTCAATAAGTGCAGTCACAAGTGCACGTGTTAGATCAAACGTGTTTATGTTGCACCAACTACGACCATGTGAAATGCCCTATGTAACTTGTTAAGGGTTAAAAAAAATGCACTTTACCCAGAATGTGAGACCTCACTTCAACTAAAGGTGAAAGGTTAACTGCATAATTGTAGACTAATTAAAGATTAGCACTACACAAGAATAAGTGGGGATTACACGAACCAGGTTTTCTTTCACATATTTTTTTTTGTTCCCGGGGGCACTGAAAACTATTGAATTTTAAATCTAATCCTAAAGCATTTATATTTGCATCTATAGAAATATTGACAAGAAATGTATATATAAAGACAGCTGCCAAAATGTAAAACAAAAACGTATTATACAATAAATATTTGATGGGCGTTAAAATGTGTTGACACCAGTTTTTGTTTCCATATTTTGTTGGTGCCTGTGATCGTCCACTCCATTAAACAAAGTAAAATCCTGGTTTTTGTTTCCATGTCTTGTAGGTGCCTGTGATCGTCCACTCCATTAAACAAAGTAAAATCCTGGCCATGAGACAGCAGTGCCAGCTCATATGGGAAGCTTACTTTTCTTCTGTTGATAAAATCATCAATACCGTTATAGAGGTAAGTCTGGTGGCTGGGGGTTACTGCTTGGTGGATACTGGTGGGGTGATGTTATGGGTAGATGGTGGAGTAGTGTGGGTTGTGGTCTGGTGGAGGAAGTTCAAGGTGGATTGTGGTCTGGTGTAGTTAAAGGTGGATTTTAGTCTGGTGGAGTAAGCTGTAAACTTGGTCTGGTGAGTAAGGTGGGTTGTGGTCTGGTGGAGTAAGGTGGGTTGTGGTCTGGTGGAGTAAGGTGGGTTGTGGTCTGGTGGAGTAAGGTGGGTTGTGGTCTGGTGGAGTAAGGTGGATTGTGGTCTGGGGTATTAAGATGGATAGTTTTCTGGTGGAGGAAAGTGGATTGTTGTCTGGTGGAGTAAGGTGGGTTGTGGTCTGGTGGAGTAAGGTGGATTGTGGTCTGGGGTATTAAGATGGATAGTTTTCTGGTGGAGGAAAGTGGATTGTCGTCTGGTGGAGTAAGGTGGATTGTGGTCTGGGGGATTAAGATGGATAGTTTTCTGGTGGAGGAAAGGGGATTGTGGTCTCATGGATTAAGTAGGATATGTCCTGGTTTAGTAAGGTGGGAAGTGGAGTGAGGTAGACATGTTGTGTCTGGTGGAGCAAGGTGGACTGTAATTGTCTGGTGGAGCAAGGTGGATGTTTGTCTGGTGGAGCAAGGTAGACAGTGGTTGTATGAAAATAAACTAAAACAAAAAAAATGTTAAATGTTTTTTTCAATAAAGTGTTTCATTGATTGACATTAGATTGCACAATTCATTTTTTTAAAACTCAAATGTATATTTAAAAATTGAAATAATTTCATTTAAGAAAAAAAATTTTATGTGAATTTTTCAGGTTGTGAAAAACCGAATTCATCGACATCTAGTTCGTCCATCTTATCACTGGAACACAGTCCCAGGCGCCCATTTTGTTCTGCCAGAGTGGTCAGATATTCCCAACAACTATCCATTTTATTATGGTCCAGCTGGCGACACGCCCAGCGACAAGTTCACGGCAGTTGTTTATGCGACGTCGCCAGTGACGACAGCGTCGCCATCTTTGTTTAGAGTGCTGAGGGTGGTCTCAAAGTCCCAGTTCTGTCACAAGGTGAGGGTCACTTTAAAATTTTGGTCAGTTTTGTCTCAGACTAGTATCATGTTGTCTCAGGCTAGTATCATGTTGTTTGAGGCTAATATCATGTTGTATCACGTTGTTTGAGGCTAATATCATGTTGTATCATGTTGTCTCAGGCTAGTATCATGTTGTTTGAGGCTAATATCATGTTGTATCATGTTGTCTCAGGCTAGTATCATGTTGTATCAGGCTAGTATATTGTTGTATCAAGCTAGTATCATGTTGTATCAGGCTAATATGTTGTATGAGACTAGTATCATGTTGTATCATTACTATCAGGCTAGTATCATGTTGTATCAGGCTAGTACCAAACTTGTACTAGTCTTTTATCAAGCTAGTTATCTTGTATCATTTTTATCAGTTTTGTATCAATGTTGTATCAGTCTTGAATGTAGTTGGTATTGTGTGGTACCAGGCAAGTGAAATAGTAGTATGCTGTACTAGTTTACCTGTCAGCCTTGTAAACTCACCTTCAGGTCCTAGCTAAGTATGATTTGTCCTACCCACATTTAAATGTCCTACCTAAGTTTCACCCATAGACCTATGTAAAACATGGCAACAGCCGGACTTATCAGTGGGCCAGAAAGACATTTAAGGACTTCTAAAAGCAAATTCAGCACATTTTCAGACATAAAACTCACAAACTTTTGAGTGATTTTTGTTGAGTCAGATCAATAATTTGGTAGTTAAAAGCCCTGAGCTATTGATTGGGCTGTTAGACACGTTTACAGCCATTCATCTTTTCAATTTTAACACTATCCTCCAGCCTTGCTAAGCTGAAATAATGACTGACGTTTTTCAAATTTAATAAAATTGTAACCAACTCAATACTTTATTCATCTTTTTAAAAATACCACTAACACTTATTAATTTAATTACCACTTAATTTTTTTATTTAGATTCTAATTTTTTTTTATCTAAATTTTCCTGCAAGTGATAATAAGATATAGCCTCTATAATACTGAGTGTAGCTGTAAAGAGTTATATAGCTGTAGCTAAATACACTTGACTAGCTGGGTATAGAGATAACAGTTTTAAGTTTGTAGTCTGTGGACAATGGTGGAGTGGGCCGCTAACACATCTGGTGGAGTGGGCCGCTAACACATCTGGTGGAGTGGGCCGTTAGCACATCTGGAATTATCCCCATGGGCCGCCAGGAATGGTGCCGTAATATTTGAAAATTAAAGTCACATATGGCCACTTTCTCTTTTTTTTTCCTGGGGCCATTTGAAACCTCCACCCAACTCCTGTATGATGTATGAGGCTTCCACCCCATCCCTGTATAATGTATGAAACTTCCACCCCATCCCTGTATAATGTATGAAACTTACACCCCATCCCTGTATAATGTATGAAATCTCCACCCCCACCCCTGTCTGTGCATGTATCTTTCTAAAGCTGTGCAACTGCAAATGCAGGCTACACAGCTTTGATTATTTGACAAAAATCTGGTTAAATAATTGAGCCGAAACATGGACAGCTTTTAACACCTGTCCAGCTCACAGCTGGGTGTCACCTACGCACTTAGCAGCCTTTGGCCATAAATGCAAGTTGGCCAGGGCAGAATTTTAAACATGGATTGGCTTTTGAAACTTGGTTAAGAATATAGATGTAAGCAGATGTTGTTATTCAAAAGATGGAACATAAATGCATGTTGGTTAATGGGAAAATTTTAAAACATGGATACACTTAATTTTTTAAGCAAGTGGCCTAGTTAATAAAAGAGAGTTGTAAATAAAATATGGTGTGAATAATGTATTAAGCTGGTTTATTTATAGTTAAACATTTTTAACTTGTATATTTACCTTGCATGAAATGTTGAGGCTGATGTTGTGTTTATACATTAGTGATGTGAACGTATCGACATTAATACAACTAATACACATTACCACATTGATTTTGTTGATTTGCTATGTGATTATCTCCCCCATTGATTGAAGCTCTGGATTGTTGGTTAACTCCCCATTGATTGAAGCTCTGGATTGTTGGTTAACTCCATAACCGTCCTAACACCCCTAAATCAACAGTACAGAAATATCTAAAGAATTAAAGTTAATTTGTGTTCTCTGCCCTTGTCTCTACTCCGCAAGCTTAATAAGGGGGGTAATTATTTCTATTAAAAAAATTCAATTTACTTTTCAGCATTTTGATAATGATTCTACTCAGTTTTTTTGTCGTCTCCTCATGATGTATTTACATAAGCTTTGATATTGTTTTTTTTATAGAGCTAGATTGTTTGAACTTTAACCTTTCATGTGATGGGTTTGCTATCTTGGTCTCAGTGTATAAGTCTGTTTACTGTATCAAACCTGAGACATTTATTTATTTCACTTGTGCTTGTTACGTGTGTTTAATGTCGTATAGAAATAGAAAACCATTCAAAAAAAAATTTAATGTTTGAGTAAATAGATTTCATGGCTTATGGTATACCCTGTCTAAATTTTTTAAATGTCTGTTGGGGTTATAGTTGACTGGATCTAAATTTCAAATATTTGTCACAAAATTTATTGTAGATGGTATGTGGACTTAACAGAAATCAGTGTAAAAAGTAAATGGGTTAATTCAGACATGAACGCAACATACCCAGTCTTGTAAAGTTTAATACATTTACTGTTGTCTTTGTGTTAAGTCTTGTTTACATCTGATACAACTGATTTAGATAGAAATGATTGTGTCATGAAGTGATACACCGACATGATGTAATACGCAAACATCTGATACACCTCTGATTAACGTAGCAATGATTGTGTCATGAAGTGATACACTAACATCGGATACACCTCTGATTAACATAGAAATGATTGTGTTATGATGTGATACCTTTGTTTTTTCTTGGATCCAGGTGATTGTCTTGTGGCACTGTGACGTGGCGCCTCCCCCCTCCCACAAGTGGCCGACAGATTTGGGTATACCTGTCAGGGTGAAAACCAGGGACATCAAGGTAATTGTCAGCTTACCTGTGACATCATGGTCGTGTCAGTTTACCTGTCACATCATGAGAATGTCAGTTTACCTGTCAGATCATAGTAATGTCAGTTTACCTGTAATATCACAGTAATGTCAGTTTACCTCCTGTCACATCTTGGTACTCAATGACAAATTTACCTTCGTCAGGGATCTCTATCTCATGGGGTTCTATAATTCCAGTGTGTTCAAAATGTTTCATTAGTTGACCAATGCGCAGAACTAATTTAATGATACTAAGACTATTATTGACTAGGGTATGTTGGTCAATAAACTGTTGACTTGGGGAAATGTTGACTCGTGTAAATGTTAACTCATGTCAGTGTTGACTAGAGGGCTAGTATCAATGTTGACTTGTGGGCTAGTAAAAGTTGACCTAAAATATTGACTAGTGTCAGTGTTGACTCATGTAAAAGTTGACCTAAAATATTGACTAGTGGAAAGGTTGACTAGTGTCAGTGTTGACTCATGTAAAAGTTGACCTAAAATGTTGACTAGTGTAAAGGTTGACCTGTGTCAGTGTTGCTCTGGAGAAAGCTGACCTAACTAGCTGAATGCCCTTGTTATGATGAAATCTGACCTACTGTAACAGTGGATAACACTTGAGGTCATCATCCGTGTCATCGTGACCCAACCAGCAATGCTCTTCAGAGTTCTCTTATCTTGTTGCATGCAGGCAGGCAGGCCATTGGCTGAAGTTGGGGCAGGGGAAATAACCCAGTAAATGTAGCTTTTTATCCATGCTCAATTGCCAGATCGAGCCTAAAAAAATATTTTCTCCACTTCTCTACCTCTTGACAACTAATTTTCATATCTTCTTTCTCCCTCTCCCCCCCCCCCCTCGCTCTCTACATCTCCCCCTCTCTATATAATTCGGTGTGGAGTTGACAGTAACTTGTTTGTCATCTTCCCCCCCCCCCCCCCCCCCCCCCCTAAATGTAACCTACTACTGGGTTGGCTTTATGAATCAACAAAAGGGTTGCCTCAGGACCTTACTACTACAAATTTGTGGGTTGGATTTGTCTATGGAACTCTCACTGGGTTGGCTATGTATGTGCCTTGAACTGTACTTCAAGTATAGAACTATTATTAAGTATTAAGTCTTGGTAGAGGGGAGGTGCTTTAAAAGTAGGAAACACAGGGTCAAAACAACGTTTAAATTACTTTAACCAAAGCTGGTTTTAAATGAATATTCTTTCTTCCCCAGTCAATCAATGCCAGGTTTTACCCTTATAAGGAGATAGAAACTGACGCTGTGTTTAACCTGGACGAGGATGTTTTGCTGACCACTGATGAGGTAATGGACATTAGGCAACATATGACTTTATATTTTGGACATTCAGACAACATGACTTTATATTTTGGACATTCAGACAACATGACTTTATATTTTGGACATCCAGTCAACATATGACTTTATATTTTGGACATTCAGACAAAAGATGACTTTATATTTTGGACATTCAGCCAATATATGATTTTATATTTTGGACATTCAGCCAACATATGACTTTATATTTTGGACATTCAGACAACATATGACTTTATATTTGTTTGTAATTAGAACTGATAACTTTACTTTAGTAGCTGCTAGAAGAGAAATTAAAAGAAAACAGTTTTTCGCCTCCAGACATTATTTTGGTTCTGAGCTAACTATTTCACAAAAATCTACTACAACTATCCTGTAGCCAGCCTGCTGGTTACAATCATAAAAACATTTCTTGCCATACAACTGTGTTCATGTTTGTCATCCCAACTGTTAATAAAAAAAAACCTGCTGTTTTTTTCCTCTGTAGATTGACTTTGCGTTTGGGGTGTGGAAAGAATTCCCTGACAGAATAGTTGGCTACCCATCCAGGACACACTACTGGGACGAGTCGTACGGCAAGTGGAGGTATAGCTCACGCTGGACCAATGAGTACAGCATGGTGCTCACATCTGCTGCTGTCTACCACAGGTATGGTCAGCTTCAGGCTACTTACGTCTTATCATATATATATGTATATATATATATATATATATATATATATATATATATATATATATATATATATATATATATATATACTGATGAGAATTTGGAATTAATTAACCTAATTATTTTGCAATGCACAAATAATTAATGTTATCATTTTGAAAAATCCTTAATTTTTTTTTATCTATTATCTATTTGATAGATAATATAACCTCTTGATTGGCTATTTTCAATTTCTTATGTTGTGATAACTTTGCAAGTTGATTTTCACCTGTTTGACGACACAGGTACTACAACTACCTGTACACCAATCAGCTGAGTCCCATGCTGCTAGCCAAGGTGGAGGAGTGCAACAACTGTGAGGACATCTTGATGAACTTCCTGGTCTCTCACGCAACACGCCAGTCCGCCATCAAGGTAAAGGTCATTTAACTTCCCCCATCAAGGTAAAGGTCATTTAACTTCCCCCATCAAGGTAATGGTCATTTAACTTCCCCCATCAAGGTAATGGTCATTTAACTTCCCCCATCAAGGTAATTTAACTTCCCCCATCAAGGTAAAGGTCATTTAACTTCCCCATCTAGTCCCCCATCAAGGTAAAGGTCATTTAACTTCCCCCATCAAGGTAAAGGTCATTTAACTTCCTCATCTAGTCCCCCATCAAGGTAAAGGTCATTTAACTTCCCCCATCAAGGTAAAGGTCATTTAACTTCTTCATCTAGTCCCCCATCAAGGTAATGGTCATTTAACTTCCTCATCTAGTCCCCCATCAAGGTAAAGGTCATTTAACTTCCCCCATCAAGGTAATGGTCATTTAAATTCCCCCATCAAGGTAATGGTCATTTAACTTCCCCCATCAAGGTAAAGGTTATTTAACTTCCCTATCCAGTCCCCCCACTCCCAACATGCCAGTCCCCCATCAAGGTAAAGGTCATTTAACTTCCTCATCTAGTCCCCCATCAAGGTAATGGTCATTTAACTTCCCCATCAAGGTAAAGGTCATTTAACTTCCCCCATCAAGGTAAAGGTTATTTAACTTCCCCCATCAAGGTAAAGGTCATTTAACTTCCCCCATCAAGGTAAGGGTCATTTAAATTCCCCCATCAAGGTAATGGTCATTTAACTTCCCCCATCAAGGTAATGGTCATTCAACTTCCTCATCCAGTCCCCACACTCCCAACACGCCAGTCCCCCATCAAGGTAATGGTCATTCAACTTCTGCCATCAAGGTAATGGTCTGTCTATCAACTTCCTCATCCCCCCACTCCCAACACGCCAGTCCCCCATCAAGGTAATGGTCTGTCTTTCAACTTTCTGAAAGCAGTAGTATGTATTTTAAGGGAGGAATTGAAAATTTGAAGAAAAAAATCAAAGCTAAAGTGTTCTAAAATATTTTCCATACAAATACAATTTTTATACTTTCATATTTTTTAGAACTAGTTTCATATTTTGTACATAAAATTTGAATTTGCCACCCCTCCCCCCCCCCCCCTCCCTCCTTCCTCAGGTGACCCAACGCAAGCAGTACAAAGAGTCTCAAATGTCCAGCAAGTCTCAGCAAATTGACCAACTCCGCTTCCAGCAACGCCAGGACTGTTTTACAGAATTTGTTGAACATTTTGGTTACCTGCCCCTGCTTCACTCGGTGGTCAGGCTGGACACCATGCTGTTCAAGGACCCTGTGTCCAACATGAGGAAAAAATACAGACAGATAGAGATGGTACAGTCCTGACACTATCTGCCTAGTGTGTGAATGATATGACAGATAGAGATGGTACAGTCCTGACACTATCTGCCTAGTGTGTGAATGGTAAGACAGATAGAGATGGTACAGTCCTGACACTATCTGCCTAGTGTGTGAATGATAGGACAGATAGAGATGGTACAGTCCTGACACTATCTGCCTAGTGTGTGAATGGTAAGACAGATAGAGATGGTACAGTCCTGACATTATCTGCCTAGTGTGTGAATGATAAAATAGATAGAGATGGTACAGTCCTGACACTATCTGCCTAGTGTGTGAATGGTGAGACAGATAGAGATGGTACAGTCCTGACACTATCTGCCTAGTGTGTGAATGATAGGACAGATAGAGATGGTACAGTCCTGACACTATCTGCCTAGTGTGTGAATGATAAAATAGATAGAGATGGTGGTTCTGTTTATGTGTGAATGCCAAGAAAGGGATGCAACTCTAATGGTAGATAAAGTAAGCAAGTGTGAGAGGGACAACTGAAAAAATAACACTGTAAATATTGTATGGAACAATTCAATTGGAGAAACATTTGCTGATCTCTTGGATCTAATTTATTGTTACGTAAAAAAAAAAAATTGTTTGATAAAAATTATCATATTTAATTTTTGGTGTAAGAGGCGATGTGTTTTATTTATTTAAGAAAAGATTATTTTAAAAAATAATTCTGTAGCTTAATTTACATGCAGTTCATGTAATGTGCAACTTGTTTGTTGTTGATACGATTAAAAATTTATGATTAAAAATAGTTTGATAACTACCAAAAATGTGAAAAAAATTATGCATCTTTTACTATAACTACATTAAAAACTAAAATCTAAGAACTGGTCAAGTACCCAAGTTATTGTCTGATAGTTTAACATCATGCTAATCTACTGACCATGTTAAAGAAATAATTTACAAGAAAAAATTTAAAAAAAAAAACCAACTAAAACTAGGTGCATTCTTTGTTTGAATTTAGTCTGTAGGTATTTGTAGGTGATTTGTTTATGTACCGACTTCAGTAATCCTGATTGCTCAAATCAAACGGATGCTAATTTTTTTTTTCATGTTGTTAAATTGTGTGTTTTTATCACCAAATGACTAGTCATTTATTGTTTGATAACTCAGACCTTTAAGCTGCCTTACACACACTGTCGTTTCTTTTCATCGTCCTGTTTAAAAAAAAATGTATCCTTCCTAAAATGTCCATTAGAAGCTTATCCTTTAAAAAAATGTCCTATTGCAAGCTTATCCTTTAATCGATGTCCTATTAAAATTGTCCTCATTGTAGTAGCTGGGACCAAAGATTTTTTCTTTCTTTGAAGTCATTCCTCTTTAGTGTATGATTGAGAACATTTTGTCAGCAAATTTTGAAAGTCATTCCTGTTTAGTGTGCGCTTGGGTAGTGTGTCAGCTCCATTTAAATGGGTTTTTATTTCCTGGGTGAGACAGAGATTCTATTGTGTACTTTTCTCATGGCCTTGACCTTTTCACATACAATAAGCATGTTATGATATTTCTGGGGGTTTAAAGGTTAATTTTATGTGGGTAAACACTTATTTTATGTGGGAGTTATATTTTTACCTGAGTACTTCTTTCATCTGTATAAGCTTTAAAAAGAATGTATCTTAGAGCTTTTGAAAAAAAAATATATTGTTGATGGGAAAATGTTTTTATTTCTATAAAATTTCTTTACCGATAGTTTAAAAATGAGTCTGCATGAAAATGTACGATCATAAATCAATTTAACTTCGATAAGCTGTTAAGGTTTATATGCAGACTCTCAATGTAGAAATTCTTTTGTTGATCAATATATCAATTCTATATCTCTGTCCGTATGTATGTTTGTATGTGTATATATATATATATATATATATATATATATATACATACATACATATATAATATAGATAGATATAGACCCGTCTTCTTTTTCAAAACCTATAAGTATTGAAATAAATCTATTTGGTAGTTTTTCCTTTGGGGCATCATTTGCTTGTTTACCTTGTAATGAATATTGTATGTGATTACTCTTTTCATGTGGTCATGTCTACTCCAGTAGGGCACCTTCATTGTGGTATCTTTTCATGTGGTCATGTCTACTCCAGTAGGGCACCTTCATTGTGGTATCCAAATTTACATTTTTGAATGTTTATTTTTCTCAGTGCTTTAACATTCCTAAAGAAATGTTCTTATACTTGTACTACTGTTGTGAAATCAATTGAGATGGTTGCTTTTGCCTGCTTTCTGATCTTTGACACTGGGTGTTTGATTTGATTATTGTCATTGCCTTTTAAATCCATTTTGTTCCTCGTCTTTTCTTTGTTCCCATTCAGGTTTTTAACAGTGTTCTGTTTTTTTTAAAAACATTTTTTAATAGTGCTCTGTTTTCTCAAAACATTTTTGAATAGTGCTATGTTTTCACAAAACATTTTAGAAGTTCTTTTAATTAACCAAAACATGTTGAATTACTTTTTATTTCAGTTTCAGCTTGGAAAAACAATGTTTAGATTGAAAAGATGTTCCATTGAAAAAAATGTTCCATTATCTTTGGTCAATTTGATTTTTGTTGGGTGTGTGCAGGGTGATTGTCCAACATTTATTTTGTTTACATTGTCGTATTGAGAGTTAGTTAAACTGTGATGGCTTCATTTTTAAACTCAGACATTGGTTGCGTACGTAAAATGCTAACAATTACTCTCAAACTTTGTACACATTTGTTTTTAATTGTTAAAACCATAACTTTTTTTCAAATGTTTTGTTTTCTAGTAAAGCTAATCTTGATATGTATCCATAGTATGGCATAATATTTATTAATATGTGATCATATGCTCAGAACTGATGTTTATGCTACAATTATCCAAAGATAGTAGTAGGTCACGGAATATTGAGGGTGGTGTGAGGAATCAAACGTGGGTCTGTGAGGTGCTTATCTGATGAATAAGACTGTGGTAACTTATAGTTCAGTTGATAGAATTAAATGAAATACTTGTCTGCGTTAAAAATGTTTCGCTTTTAAATTAAAACAAGACTAGAGGCTAAATGACAGTTAATTCTTTCATGTTTGGAAAGTAAAAAAAAAAACATTTTAGAGACAGCTATTTTTTTTAACACAGACGACATTTGGTTTTTAACAGAAAATATTAAATTTTTCTACAATTTAAAAAAATATTTTTTAACATATATAAAAATGTATTCAATGTTTATTTAACACAGAATCAATTTACTTTTTCTCATAATAATGTTTAATGCAATAAGCCATGAACAAATATACAAATTTTCATTTATGTTTTTTCATACATTAGAAAAATATTTAATTTTATACTATTTGATTCATTCTGTACTATAAAATTATTTGTAAAAGTAAAGTGAAAAACAAATAGGATCCAGAATTTTTTTACAGTTAATACTTCAAGACACCACTGTATTGTGTATTATGAATAAATGTCATTATTTTAAGGTGCCAGGAAACATGAATTCATAAAGTTGAAGTTGCCAGAACATTTTCTACATTATATTATCAAACTTTCTTGGCCGTTTCATTTTCTAAACTATTTTTTATTCTATAGATAATTAATTATGTTAGATGGTGTATTTTTTAAAAAAAACTACCATTTTGTTGAAACACATTGAACATGCTTTAAAACATTAGGTGGAAGTTATTAGTGAATGCTGTTGCTTGCATGTATTAGTGTATTAGCATCACAAGTGTGTTAGTGTGTTAACAAGTCTTATGTGTGCTAGTGTATTAGCATCTACCAAAACAATTCAATAAGGCTGTGTTGTTAAGTTTTTCATATTGATTTAAATATTTTCGTTACTGCAGTGCAGTAAATCTTACATAAAATAAAAATGTTTAGAATCTTTCGGCTTTTTATTTGAAATTTAAAATATCCGTTTAAATCAAATCTTTTAAACAAATGCTCAGGCTAAATTTTGTGTTGGATATGTCTGATCTCACACTGCTATTACACATTGACCTTTTACTCTCAGTCCAGCTCTCAACATCGGTTAGGTTAAATAGATCGCAGTTGTTGACAGTGTTTTATTTGGGATAAAGTTTATTTTAGGGTTAAATGTATCTCAGTTGTTGACTGTTTATGATGTTAGGGTTAAATAGAATCACAGTTGTTGATTAAGTTTTGTTTGGGTTAGATAGATTGCAGTTGTTGACTGTTTTTGATGTTTGGCACACCTTTCTGTACAATATTTGAATGGTTCAACTCTAGAATATTTTTCACTCTGATTTTTATAGGGTAAAAAAAATATTTAAAAAAAATTATATTCCTGTAAAATTTTGACATCTGAAGATAGTGTGTGGGAGCTGTTGGGAATGATGTGAGGTTTTTGTACCTTGGTGTATTCTGTGAAAATGTAGATGTTGTGGTATCCACTTACAGTGGATGCAGTGTGCTATCCAGGTGGCATTCATTCTTAATTTATGTATGAAAACCATATTGGTTACCTTTAAGGATTTTTTTTCCTGTTGTTTTTATTGAGGTTGTTTGAAAGCAGTGATGATCAATCTTCTATTATGGGTAAATCAACGCCAAGGGTTAGAAAAATTTTATGGTGGGCTTTACCATGTTTGTAATAACCACAGTTTTTTCACCTGATGCATAAAACTTGAACTTGCAAGTTTTATTTTATGAATGTTCAAAATTTAAATTTTTCCAAATGATCTTGATTTCAGCTAATTTTTGTTGTTGACAATATTGTTAAAATATTTTAAGTTTCACAATTTGGTAAAAATATTTTAACAGTTACACAAATTGTTAAAATATAATACTAGTACACAATATTGTTAAACATCTTAAGTTGCACAATAATGTTAATATATTTGTATGTTCTGCCTTCATGTTGGTCTGCCCATGATCAGTCACTAATACAATGGTTTTAATAAACAAGTATATTTATATGTAATATTTTATGACGTGTATAGATTTTAAAAATTGCGAAATGTTTTCATGATACAAATGAATGTGATGATATTAAGGAAGCTGAAAATGGATGCTTCATTATGCGGTAACCATGGTTCCCATTTCAAATTGTTTGGTAATAAAAATTATTTCAAGTCACAAGATTTTGCATGAAGTTATTTCTGCTACAGTCAAGTCACACAAACTTGCTACTTCTGAACGTGGATGAAAATGTTGGAATTGGGGAGGGGGGGGGGTCTACTTTAGCCAAGAAGAAAAAATTCATTTAGATTTACTAAGTAAAGTGGACCAAAATTTGCAATACTCTAATTAAAAAAAATGAAAATCAAGAATTTTAAGGTAAATAATTGTTTTATTCTAAGTATATATAGTAAACAACAATCTTAAAGTTAAATAAAAAATAACACTCAAGCAACAAATCAAATATCAGAATGGTACCAACAAGACATTTCTGAAACAATCTTAGAATACAAGGACCTAAAGATGACTCCGTTGTTGGAATTCAATAATTTACTATGAATGTACAATTACACTAGTTTACCAAAGTTAGTTCAAACTAATTTTTAAAAATAATTTATTCAAACAGATGGTTTTGTGAATGACTAAATGTGAAAGAAACAAATACTACTGCTCAAACTTTTAAATCGAACAAAGTTTTAGTTTCGCCAAAACAAAAATAATAAATCTATTCACGCAATGACATTTTAAAATGTTTAGTAAAAAAAAAAAACTGCCAATAAAAACTCACTGCAAGTCAAAGAGGTGATAAATTAAAATCAGTTTACAATCTGTTTAAAATAATAACTTCATATTCCCACTGATAAATTAATACTTAATTTTTAAAGTTGTACAAGATGCAATCATAATTTAAAACAAAAAAGTTTTAAGCAAAGTTAACAAGAGCTAAAATGTGGTATTAAAACAACCACAACCTGTTTGATGTGTTGTACTTTGTGCTAGGTACAAACATTACGTTGCTATGGTAACAACTTCTGGTTCTTTACAATTGTATTAAAACATTTACAAGGGAGGGAGGGAGTAAAGTAAAATGAAATCTGTGTAGAAATAAACTATAATAAAACAACTATCAACCTCATCATTAAACTACTATCAAAATTACCCTAGTTAAACAAAATTATTACTATTATAATAAGCACATTTTAGATAAAATCTTAAACTCAACACCTATAAAAAAGGAATCCTTCAATCTTATGTTGAAATATTTCAACTAGACCAGATTCAAGGTGTAAATTAAAGAATAATTTAATGACAACATAGATAAAGGTGTACATTAATTTTTGTTTAAAGATTAATTAGACTATAATTATTGATAAGACTAGTCAATTAAAAGGCACTGGTATAGTTAACATTTTTGTTATCTGTTTCACTAAAGATAAATCTTTTTGTTTAATCAAGAAACAAAACAAAAAAACATTTGCCAAAGAATAAAAAGAACAAACCATACAGATTTCTTAACATTTTGGATTGTCTTAATATTTCATGACTAATAGATAATGCGGCAAATCTTTGTGTAATTCAGACAACGTATAACCCAATCATTTTAGACTTCATTTGATGACTAGTTAACTCTATCATTAGCAGCCTTCCTTAAAATATAAACAAAATTTTGCAGCCTTCCTTAAAATATAAACAAAATTTTGCAGCCTTCCTTAAAATATTAACGTATAAATAAAATTTTCAAGATGACAAAAACAATAAAGAACAAATGTATAAGAACATTATTTTCTTTAAATGGATCTAAAGTTCACTGGGAATTGAAGGATGTGTGTAAATGCGACACTTTTATGAACAATATTTGATAGAAGATGAAAGAATCATAGATAAACATACAATCGTAGTACAAACCCCAAAGGCTTAATAAACTAGCTTTATAAAAATCACTTGATCTAAGCAGGCCTGGAACGTACCAGGTACTATTATAAAATTTACTTGCGTCTTCTAATGCATCATAACTAAGAACAAATCAACAAAAATATTCTCAGATGACATAACAAAACATATAAAACACTTTACTAAAAAAAGGTTTAAAATTCATAACAAATAATCAACAAAACAGTACACCATGACTTACAATAAATTGAAATTTGTTAAATTAGAGGCTTACATCTTTTTAAATAATTTTATTTATTTATGTTTATATATAGCTATATAATTAATGGTGTGGATAAAGACGAATTATTTATAAATGCATTGACAGAATACATCTTAAATAGACATGTCTACAATTTTTTTCACATTCTTTCAAATTTCACCTATTTTTATTGTTACCTGCCTCAACTGTTCACAATGACAGACACAATTCAAATTCTACCCTTTGGGAAAACTGGCAGTTGAATAAACATAGAAAACCATGAACTCATCAAACACAAAACTCAACACACATGTAACACAGCAGAAAACTTGAATACAATTTACTCAAGATCAAGTCTCGCTTAAAATAAAAATCTACAGCTTTTGTGATATCATCCAATCCAGTTCAATATAGAACTGGTATTTACAATACTGTGTATTTACAACTGTGCAGCAGTTCAAAACAACAGCTCACACCAAAAACATATCCTATTGGTGAAACAATATCTCAGCTGATGAAAACTTACAAAATTTACAGACAGGAAAAACCTATTTCAACACTAAACACTGTGATTTTCATCTGTTTTTTAAATCTCCTTGTGGATCTTTAAAAAACGAGGTCATTAAAAACTCATAGGATGCATTAATTATTCCCCATGATATAAAAGAGCGCATATAATTCAGATGCACACCTTTGAATATTGCCTTTATACTTCCATTCCTCTCAGCTAGCAGAACTTTGAATAGATTCCAGACACCATCGAAGTCCCCGCCCAACTTACACTGAGCTTTGGCTTTCAGGACATTGAGAGGGAAGAAAACTGTGCTGATGACTGCTCCTAGACAGGCGCCACATATAAAGTCTTTCACCATCTGGAGACGAGAGACAAAAGGTGCCAACATTAGCGTTTCCTTTAAGGCTTTTTAGCATATGGGGTAAATGAAGTAGAGTTTATTTGTTTCAATTACCCTACCATATAGTAAGGTCAGTTTTATGCCCAGTCACTCTTACTTTCCATAACATGAGTAAAGGAAAGCAAAAGTGATTGCATAGTGTGGATAGTAAAAAGACCCATCCACATCCCAAGGTGAAAAAAACCTGCTTGTTGTGTCAGAAATTGTATTTTTATTAATTAAGCTTGTAAATTAAGGACAATGAAGAATTCAAATATGTGGGAAGAAAATAGTCAACAAAAAAATAATTTTTATAATGGCTTTCTTGTAGATCTGAAATATAGCTGCAACTGATTAAAAAGGATAACATATAATATTTAGAGGAAACACAACATTACTTGTTGTGTGATAATTTAACATCACCAAAAATGTTACTTTATTTAGATTTTTTTTCCATTCCATTTTTGAATAATAATAGTAAAATCTTAAATTTATCAGTTAGTGCTAGTTAAACAAGTGGGCAACACAAGAAAATTTCTACCATAAAATTGTCAAAAGTTAACATAGTAAAAGCTTACCCTTTCCGTGCCAGTGAGAAGAGTGGGTCCAACTGTCTGCAGATACTCCCTGCCCAGGAAGAAAGAAACATTACTGGGACCATTCCTCAGCAGGATCACACACAGGCCCCTGTAGTACTCCCTCAGCCCGTAGCTCTTCAAACTTTTAAACGCGTCAAGTGTGTTTGAGAACTTGTCGTGGTACTTGGCCGTCTGCATGAGAGTCTGGATGCGTTCAAACGGTGTAAACACCGCCTCAAAAGTTCCGGCAGCCAATGCTGCCACTGTGTGGTTTGTCTTGACCCCCAGGGCTGGGAATTTTTCTTGCAGGAAATCCTGAGACCAGTAATATCCCCCAAACATAATTGAAAGGGATGAAGTTTTCTGTAGAAGAGGGGGCAGAAGCCCTCTGTACAAGAATCGTATGCCATCTTTCTTCAACTGATGGACAGCACCGAAGCCAGATATACCATGCAACTGCTGGCGAAATATTGCTTTGTTAATAGGAAAAGTGACGCAAATGTTGATAAAGGCAGCGCCCCATCCACATATGAATTCTCCTTCCCTGGGCATTTTCTTGGACGCATGTGGAGCTGACAGGCTGGGTAGTTGGATGAAGTTCGCAGGCTCCAGACTTTGGTCTTTTGTCATTTTTTCTCCTTACAACCATTGCACACAGAGAGGGGGCGGGCAGGCAGAACACACTGCACGGCTTAGTAGAGCACACTGCACGGCTGAGTAGAAACTAGACTGGTGTATGGCCGTTTGTTTCAATTAAAGATAAACTAGCAACTGCCAGGCCTTAGACGTGCTGGAGAAGTCCAAGTGATGAGTTAACTGGTCAAAATCTGATAACCCATGACACATCAGTAGGTCAACATGCCTTTATCACAAGGTCTGTTTGCTTTAGATGAAAGGATTTGGTCATTTCGACTTCATTTGGTATACATCCCTGTGATAAAATGCCTGAGTGGAAGATGAAAAAAGTTAATTTATCAAATTTTATTTACAAATATATTAAGCTTTTATTAAATATTTTACTGAAAGTTGGATAAAAAATACATACAAGTGAGGATAGCATATCCGGGCCATTAAATGTTACCACACAGTGTAACTAACATTATTAAGTTATGGTTGTTTACAAGTCATCTAAAGCTAGTTTGCACAAGATTACAACTTTACCATCTAACACATTTATAAGGTCATGTTAATGAACTTTTACTATAACTAGTTTTAATTAATCATTTTGTATAATCACTGTAATTTTATATGATGTATTAGAAATAAAAGGTTTAATTTCCTCCTATGTATAAATCATTTGTAGTAGAAATTTAAAATGTTGTGGTCATATAGCAATGGAAAGTATGTAACTTGTATTGTTTGACTTGTGGTAAATTCCTGTCATGGCTACGCCTATGAACCAAATTTTTGGTTATGTTTATCATTTTCAATTAACGATGTATTGACAATTTTTAAAAAATTCCAAAACCGGCATTCTACTTATGTCTACATCTACCTATGTCTATAAGGTCTACCTACAAGGACAACCGGATTACTAAGATGAAATATTTGCAATAATTCATGTACAAATGTAAACTTAACAAGAAAGTAGAGAGCCGTCATAGAGGCTTTGAGCGAAGATCCCTCGTATTCTCAGGATAAAGTGGAATGACAAAATCCCGAACAAGGAAATATGATGAAGGACAGGCTTAAACTATATTGTCTCAGAAGTACGAATGATGAGATGGAGATGGCTGGGTCATGTCCTTCGCAAGAACAGAAGAAGACTCCCACACATAGCGCTAAAATGGACTCAATCTGGATAATGAAAGAGAGGAAGCCCCCTGGGAACATGGAGGACAGAGATGGAAGAAGTGCAGGCTACTGGCAAGACCTGGCATGAATTGAAGTGGCTCGCCCAGGACAGAGTGGAATGGCGAAGATTTGTTGCTGCCTTATACTCCACAGGGAGTGACAAGGATTAACTAACTAACATGTACAAATGTAAATTGAAATAATAAAATAAATCTTGTAGTTATATTCAAGGTTTTTATTTTTCTATTGAGAGTGTGTGTTCAGGGGCATGTGGATTTTAGGTTCAAGAGCTAAGGATTCAAAGGGTTAAACACATTTTACATATAGGCCTACTATAAATCGACTATATTTATTTAAAAGTTTGTGTTAAGTTGTTCGGCCTAATGAATAAGTACTAGATCTAAGTAAGTATGCCTAACTAATCATTGACTAATCAAATTTCATTTTTATTAGTGACCTAACTAATAAAATAATAAATAGTAGGCCTATAGAGGAGGCCCTAATAAGTTTTAATAACTAATAGGCCTATTTAATATTTATTATTATATTATTATTTACGAAGTGACTACTCGGAAGAAGATTTTTCTCCCCTACGTCTCCACTTTATCGGCAAAAGATAGCTCTGCGCAGTGCCCCCTATGGCTAGGGTTAGAATTAGGATTAGGGCTAGGGTTAGGATTAGGGATAGGTTTAGGGCTGGTGTTAGGGTTCTGCCGTTGTAAACGCATGCGCAGTACCATATTTATATTAGAAAACATCACCGCGATGGCAAGTCGTAGTTTCTCTCCATCCATTGCACATGCATATCTTATTCCGGCTAGCATCTGCCTATTATTTATTGTAGTTGTAGGCCTACTTAACAGCAATAGGCCTTATTATTTTTATTAATAGGCCTAATAAATTATTAAATTGTTGGGGCCTAATTAATTTATTAAGCCTAAAAACTAAAATGGCCTAACTAATCAATAGGCTCTAAAACGATTCTAGATCTAGATCTAGAAATTTAAGTCACGTAGAATCTAGATCTAGATCTATTTGAATTTGATTCATAGGCCTAAAAAAAGGTAAAAGTAAAATTTAAAAAAGTAAAAGTAAAAAGACTTCTGTCTGCTACACACAAGTCTGAAAAAGTCAGAATGGAGATTTCTACTCTGGATAACATAAACATAAAATTATAGAAAACCAGCTCTAATTTACAAATCTAAGATCTAATCTAGATCTAGATCTAGAAAATATCAACTTGTGTGGCTAATCAGAAAAAAATCCAACAGCACCAGATTTTCAAACTATTTTTTTTTAAACTTACATGATGCGAAACATTGAAAATCTGAAATGTCATGGATCATCCATTTACTTTAGTAAACTTTTGACCTTACACACAAGCGGTGTACAGGGAAAAATAAGCAAAGGAACTGGTAACCTTTGACAGTAATGTTACACTTGACGGACTTGATGTTTGTTATATTTGTATTTTTAAGAATAAATTGTTCAGTCAAATAGTAGATCTAGTACCAATTCAATTCTTATACCTGAAAATATCAAGTCATTAATATTACAAACAATCAAGAAAATAGACCTAGCTAAAATATAATAATGAAGCAATTTTTTTTTTCAAGAATGCTGTTTCAATGTTACGGGAATGGGATATTCGATTTTAACAAGGCGTAGATCTAAAACGGCCATGTATAAGCCTAGTAGTTTCTTCACTGAACTATTTAAAACATCATTAGGCTAGGCCTTTCTTTAAATGGACCCCCCCCCCCCCTCTCCCCACAGATGTTCTACAATGGCTCCCCGACCTCGATTTTAAACAGTGAATACAATAGCAGATTTTTTATAACGGATTATATGCTTATTGATTACATAAATAAACTAAAACAAAAACACACACCTCACGATAGGAATGATGCTCAGTGTTTCTTCCAGACTTTTTTCTCCGGGGGGGGGGGGGGGCACTTGAAATTTTCGGGGGGCGGTAAACTTTCTTCGGGGGGGGGGGCGGACACTGTTAAAAGTATATATTTTCTATATAAATTATATAAATTTCATTCCGTTCGGGGGGGCGGTAAAAAATTTTCGGGGGGGGGGCTTTGCCCCCCCGAAGAGATGCCTGGAAGAAACTCTGATGATGCTCACAGTCAATATATAAATTACCGTCTTAACTACCTAGATCTAAATACTACTGTCAGCTCACAGCTCGTAGGTGTAAGGTATAATGCAACCGACGGTCATGTTTGTGTAGGCTATATATTTTTCACAACGCCCAATTACAATATCCTACAGCTTAGGGGGTATATATGTCAATGACGTCACGCCCTTTTGAACGATTTTTTTTCCCACCTCACTCGGATAGTTAAACATCATACAATGTCAGACTCCCGCCCCCTCCAAATGAAACCAACCCCTTCAAAATTGTTATCTCTGTTGCTTATTGTTTTAAATACGGTCACAAAAATCCAACACCCTCCTCCACAGTATTGTGACGTCGAGTGACCTCAAAAAAACCTGACCCGTTTGGTATCGCCTACAGATTAGATATAGTAGCGTCATGGTGGGGGGGGGGGGGGGGCGGGGAATGGGTGACACCGTTTAGTGGTCGACACAAAATCGAAAATTTACATTCAAAACAATGTTTGATTTGATAAAATTATAAAATAGTAGTAGAGAGTGAGTAGTGATACTAAGGCGAAAATTGTTTAAGTGGGTGACACCCGATCTATTCATTCTATTGACGCCCTGATCAGGTGATAAATGAACGGGATGCTTAGGCCGACGTGAAAAACATATTTGACCATAAAAAAAAAGTCTAGAGCCTGCCGACAATTCAGATGAAACGCCAAGATGCGCTAGTTCGAGATTTAGGCCTAAGTTTGGCAAGACTGAGGACAGTCTACGAGATGTTTCAGTACAATCAGGTTAGCCTGTCAAGCCTAAAGAATCGTGTTCGGCTGTCGCAACTCATTGCCAGATTTTGTAAGGAGTAAGCCCTAACCTACATTTGACTTGCCCATTGGCCCAGTTTATTCTACTTTGGCCTGCTTTCTGCTAGCGTGTCCTTTTTCTAGAAGCTCAATCGTAATGCGTTGTCAGTACATTCCAGAATCATATTCAGCAACAAATGGGGGAGATCAAAACAAGACCAGAACAAACCTTTTGGCGACTAAGATGACTTTCAACATAAGCTGCTATATATAATGCATGTATATCTAATATATAATTTAAAATGTTCAGGCCTATGTAAATATGTGGGGCACACATATATATATATATATATATATATATATATATATATATATATATATATATATATATATATATATATATATATATATATATATATATATATCTTTGTATAAATGCATTTTGCATACAGACTTTTCTAACTGAACAAGTCTGCTGACAATTTAAACATTTTTTAGAATCTTCCATTTTTTTCCTGGTAACACAATCAGTTTCAAACACTCATGAACTTGCACACTCATATCTCACAACATAAAGTATGCCCTGAACACAAACGTACACAAATGCTTGTTTTAAATAAATGTACTTTATTCACGTATCAATTTATAATAGACGCGGTAATCACTTTAAAAACAGCTTCTCGTAATCACATAAGAAACTCATACAAAACAAAACAACCAACTAATTAGGTCAACTCACATCTCATACATGTATTGCTAAATATGCCAACCAATGTCACTATTGTATTTTTTGACATCAAGCTTTTAAAAACATGGCCGATGTCCAAAACAATACTTCCACACAATTGTGTGTCACCTGGTTTGATAAAGTTGGGTCTTCTGTTAACATGAGTTGACACATTTTTACAAGTGCTTAGCTGAATTCAGTAAAAATATTTTGATTAAACCATGTAACACACTTTGTTTAGCTGAAGACAATATCTTCTGTATTAAATAAAATTATAACATGATTCAAACAAATGTACCTCATCTAATGACTTTACATTTTTTTTGCTAATTTCTAAATGAATGTAGAGTTATATATATATTTCTTTTGTAGTGTGATAAGAAATATTTGTTAATTTAGATAACATAATCTAATTAATAAACTGGCTAAAAATATAAAGCAGAAAAAAAGTCATGAATAAATGCAATCCTTTCCAGTTTTGCTCACACAGACAAATAATTATTGCACATGATTTTAATTTATTCAAATTAATGGTGACAATCTATCAGTTTGATGATTATTCTTTTTATTCATGATAATTAAACTTATAATTAATCTTATAGTAGAAACTTTGATGCTTAAATAAATGAATGTTTTTCAGATTAATGGATTGGTAAATAAAAGTTCAGATGCATTTTAAAACAAAGTTCTTTTGAATGAGATAAAACATGTAGCCTAATTATAAAAATTCTAAAACTATTACATAAAAATATGAACATTAGCGCATACATAGAAGTTACGACGTCTTTAAACAAATTTGTTCGATAATTAGCTAAACCAAAAATAGTTCATAATGTGTATGATAATGAGATAGACTGTTTAACATAATTTTTTACATAAAAAGTTTGCAATATTAAAACGGTGTTGCATTGAGCAAGTGACGCTTAATGACTAATTAATCACACAATAAAAAGCACTGGAGAAAACATTTAGTACCCTATGTAAGTAACAATTTTTAAGGCACCAGTTATATGAGTCATGTGACAAATACTTCTACAGGTCAACAAAACTATTTGTAAACAAAGGATGTAGGAAAAAAACTCACATAAAAACTTTATTTGAAACCTACAGAAAAATTAATCCACAGTAAATTTTCATCTCTTTTCTGTTATTGATCATTCATAAAATATTTATTTTAAAGTGAAGTTTTGACAAAAACGATATTCAAAATTATCCCTACTTAAGCTATAAACCAACAATTCACAACACAACAATTTCACCAAGTTAACATTTTATTTCAATTTATTTGTTATGCTGCAACTCAATATCACAATATACTAGCAGAGCAAGTCTGCACAAGAACATCATTATGCAAATTTGTGGAATACATTTAAAAAAAAAACGATAAACGCTTGTTAAAAAAATAAATAACTGTACACAGAAACAACTGCATTCTAAAAATACGCATGTACATAAAGGCCCAGCTTTGCAAGCATTTCTTCACATGTGTAAGGTATGTACTGGTAAGGAATAAATTTATATACGTGTCAAAGATGCTCTGTATGCATTGCTCTTCTACGGGAAATGCTCCATATGTACTTAGCTCAGCTGATTGACCTCAGATAGCAAGAGGGTAAAACAACTAAAATATTTAAAATATAGGCTTCTAACCAAAGAAAAATCCAAGATGAACACTGTACACAAACAATTTAACTGCCCAAGTACAAACTATAGCTGTACACTAACAATTTAACTGCCCTCGTACAAACTATGGCTGTACACTAACAATTTAACTTCTCACGTACAAACTATAGCTGTACACTAACAATCTGACTGCACATGTACAAACTATGGCTGTACACTAACAATTTAACTGCCCATGTACAAACTATAGCTGTACACTAACAATTTAACTTCTCACGTACAAACTATGGCTGTACACTAACAATTTAACTGCACATGTACAAACTAAGTACCACTGGAGATATAAAATATGTCGGATCAGACACACATCACTGGGCCACACATAAAGACAGACACACATCAATGTAACTCTGGACTGTACAGAAACACGGCATCAACTGTAAAACATTTCAGCTGAGAGGATCATCAAAAATGTTATCTGTGTCAACTGCAGCAGACTTGGGTTTTTTCTTGACATCTCTTTTTGTCTTGACACTCGCGGCTGATGTGTCGGCAAATATATCATCTAGGGAGTTAAAATGGTTGTTATTGTCATGGCAGTTAAACATAATTGTTAAAATATTTGGTTATAAATGTTACATCAATTTTACATTTGAATGTTAGGGACTTGCTGTGTTCTATTGGAACAGTTATTCCACAACTTTAGTCAGAGGTCCCAAACTTTCATCAGTTATTTTACAACTTTCATAGCTTCAGCTTTTCCAACTTTTTGCCCACCCCCCTAAATTAAAAAAAAAAACCCAAAATCTTGGTTATTCAAATATCAACAAGTTTAAAGAGTAGAGAAAATTATCATGCAAGATTTTCAATAATCATGAATAGAGCTAAACAATTAATGATCCCCAATTATTATTTATATTACAACTGGATTTCTCTGTCTTTAAAATTGTTCAGGTGTTGACAGCTACAGCTTGATGAGATATAAATAGTTATTTCGATGTTATAGGTAGACAGTGGAACAGCAGATAAGGTAAAGACACCTGTTTAGCTAGGTGGGATCCAAGACCACCAACCCACATGGCGCTAATCTGCTTAAATGTTAAACACACTTCATCTGAAAGAACACAACACTCCACAACATCACACATCACTCACCAACATCACACATCTGACAAAACACATCACTCACCAACATCACACATCTGACAAAACACATCACTCACCAACATCACACATCTGACAAAACACAACACTCAACAACATCACACATCAGCTACCAACATCACACATCTGACAAAACACATCACTCACCAACATTACACATCTGACAAAACACATCACTCACCAACATCACACATCTGACAAAACACATCACTCACCAACATCACACATCTGACAAAACACATCACTCACCAACATCACACATCTGACAAAACACATCACTCACCAACATCACACATCTGACAAAACACATCACTCACCAACATCACACATCTGACAAAACACATCACTCACCAACATCACACATCTGACATAACACAACACTCATCAACATCACACATCTGACAGAACACATCACTCACCAACATCACACATCTGACAAAACACATCACTCACCAACATCACACATCTGACAAAACACATCACTCACCAACATCACACATCTGACATAACACAACACTCATCAACATCACACATCTGACAGAACACATCACTCACCAACATCACACATCTGACAAAACACATCACTCACCAACATCACACATCTGACAAAACACATCACTCACCAACATCATTGTTAAACACAGTCTTCTTCTCCGCTGATTTTTTCACCACTTTCTTCTTGGCCTCCTTGACCGGGACAGCTGGGATATCACTGAATATATCTGTGGAGTCGTTGAGAAGCTTGGCCTCCTTGGTGACAGCTTTCTTGGGTCGGGACGTCTTCTTCTCCTCCTGGAATTCAGTGGTTAAGTCAGGTCAAAGGTCAATTAGGGTTTTTCACTTCAAACATGAGATAGTAAGCTGATTAATGTCTGGAGCTGGACATTAAACCCAACACCCCTCCCTCCCCACAGCAGAGTAATTAACCTAGGAGGGTAGGTAAGGTTCCTGACAGATTATTGTTTTAACACAATATAAAATTGTGTTTGTCACCCTATTTGTACAAGCATAATGATGTAGTGAAAAGATTTACTCCTTAGTTAATTATTTCATATTAATTCAAAAGCTGCTGGCTTAAAATTGTAAACCTATTGCCTTTACAAAATACAGATAGAAATATTTTTAAAATAATTTTTGGGACAAAATATTAAAAATGTTCTTTTATGACTTTGATTTCTGTTTAAAGCACATGTATAAAAATATTATAGTAAGTTAAGTATGCTTAATCTCCTGTTAAGTAATGTAGAGTTCAACTGTTTCTGTGACCTCAGCATTTGAAGGGATAGTGTGGTCAGCACTATGCCCAGCTGCCTTTACTTTCCCTAACATGAGTCAGGCACCCCTTAGAGTTGGATGGACTCAGGGATGTTCTACGGAATTGAACCTGGGATTTGAACTCGAGCTTTTCGAGTTATCAGTCATCTGCTCTACCCTCCAACCACACAGTCCCTTACATCTTTTAAAATAATTGGCTAATTTTGTAAAACAATAAATACAATCAAAGCCTTTGTATGATTGAGATTATTTGAGGATTGGAGTTACATTAAAAACTATACCAAGAGGTACATTAAAAACTATACCAAGAGGTACATTTAATTTGGAATTTTTAGATTTTTGACCCAGCATTTACCTCTTTACTAGCAAACAAATCGTGGTCATCAAGGCCGGCTACTGGTGCTTTAGGCTTCGTTTCTAGAATTTAAAAAATTCATTTTAAAAATTTAGAACTAAAGCAATTTGAGCAATGTGTTCAATAAAGTTTTAGAAAATAAATTTTCAAAAATATTACAAATTCTGTAGTTAGTTTAAACACGACATACCTTTCTTTTTAAGTAATGAAGAATCTCCAAAAATATCATCTTCGTCTGTGAGTTTTGATTTGACAGAGTTATCTGCCTTAGGCAAATTATTTTTATTAATATCATTGGAAGTGCTGGATTGTTCCCCGTCACTTTTTCCTGGTTTTACTTTTTCAGTTGCAGAAGATTTGGATTTATCTCCCTTCTTAGTGGAAGAAGATGAGAATAAATCATCATCATTATCCAAAGATGAAACTTTTTCAACCTTAGGGACATCGCTGAACAAATCATCTTCTTTGTTACTGTGGCCATTTTTAGTTCCGGTAGATTTTGTGTCCACATTTTTGGACTTGTTTGACGATTTAAATAATTTGTCAGTGTCATCTTTTTTGTCAGAGTTTGCAAACAAGTCATCTGATGAGCTTTGACCTTTCCCGCTAAACAAGTCTTTACTGAATAAATCATCTTTTGGCAAAGTTTGTCCCCCCTGCGCAGGTTTGGCAGAGTTGAGTGACGGCCCCTCTAGGAGATCATCGTTCCCAAAGATATCCCGGGAAGGTGATTTTGATTTCTCTGCACTTGAGCTGACCCGGTTTTCTGCAGGTGACCCCTCTTTTGAGCTGGGTTTGGATTCTGACGCTGGGACTTCTGGAATAGTGGGCGTGGTGGGTGTGGTTGGGGTCGTGTCCTCGAAGCTGATGCCGGTGCTTGTGGCTGCCAGCATGCGAGCTTTACGGCTCTGTGGGCGTCTGCGGCTCAGCTTGGGCCGGTCCTGGGGAAACAAATGTAAACAAAAATAGTTAAAAGTGGAGGGTGGGGGAGTGGCGGTAAAGCGAGATCTCTTAAGAATGTTGTGCTTGGAAGGGGTAAACTGGCCAAGTTGTCATTAGGTCTAAGCCAGTAGTGGCTGGAGTTTTTTTCTACAACATTTATTTATGGATTGCTGTTTTATGTATTACACCCCCCCCCCCCTTAATGATATCTCTGTGATTGTTGTATCTCTAGCCCTAAGGGAGAAGTTTCTACACAAAATGTTGCTTGGTTAAGTGAAGTACACTTCAACCACTTCCCCAAATGAATATGAATGGCCACATAATTGAGAATAGACAAGCCCTTGTCAAGATGGTGTAAATAAGCAAGTAGGAAAGATCATGTGACCTCAACAAGCCCCCCCCTTTACCTTGCTGGCACTGGACAGGGTCTCTGTGGTCTCAGCAGGCTGCTCAAAGTCCACAGACTCTGACCTCTCTAAAGCCTTGCCGAGGTTGGGATGGGTTGCCCCTGGCAACAGGGCTGCAGGGTTGAATGTTGGGGATTTCTAGAGAAACCAAGTGTATGTTATCATTTAGAAAGGGTCAAACAGTTTTAAATTACGTGTGAATGAAATATTTAAAACTAAGATCACCAGCTCAAGTATCCATGAAGCAACATCAAACATACAACGGAAAAATTCTAAATTTAAATAACGTTATTTAAAAAAAAAAACTACTTGAAAAGCTGAATTAAAAAGAACAGACTGTAAACATAATCAAATTTTGTAAATTAGCTAAAATAAAAATTAGTTTCTTATTAGATAAAAAATATCAAAATCTCTATTTTAATATGTAATATTACAATTAGATCTATACTAGTTTTGATTAGGGTTGAGATTGTATCTAGTTTTCTACTAATAAATTTTAAGAAGAAATTCTAAATGACAAAAATAACTATAAATAGCAAAACGCAAAAAAAAAAAATAATAAAAGGGTAAATATTTATATTAAAAAAAGGTTGGGAAGATAAAATAAAAAATTGGATAATAAAAAAAATGAAACGTTGAAAACACAATAATTGTGAGTAAAACACAGCTGCACACAGCTCATCCCAGGCAGAACGAGACCAGTGATGTGCGACATTCAATTACAACACAATGCATCGCAACACGGGAAAATATTAAATTTTTTAATTGTATGGTGACCACAATCAGAGAATTGGAAGACGACAGTGCTGTTAATTCACTTAAAGATACTTACAGTCTGTCTGGGCACTGGGGCTGGGCTGTTTATGTTAGGTTTTAGACTGCTGGTTGGTTTTGTTTTCTCGGTTACCTTGGCAACAGGGGAGGCTAACACGGACAGGGGGTCAATGAAGGAAGGCTGTAGGCAAGGAGATGAGGCAGGCAACATGTAGCAAGATGCACATCCATACATGGCTCAAACAAGGCAAATAACCCACTCAACTAGTTATAGGAACTCCCCCATACTGTAGAATGTTTTATTTTAAGCTACCCCCAGACTGTAGAATATTTTATTTTAACCTACCCCCACATGTAGAATATTTTATTTTAACCTACCCCCACATGTAGAATATTTTATTTTAACCTACCCCCATACTGTAAAATATTTTATTTTAGCCTACCCCCATACTGTAGAATATTTTATTTTAACCTACCCCCACATGTAGAATATTTTATTTTAAACTACCCCCATACTGTCAAATATTTTATTTTAGCCTACCCCCATACTGTAAAATATTTTATTTTAACCTACCACTATACTGTAGAATATTTTATTTTCCCCTAATCCAACCTCCTGCAAGTATTTTTTAATTTACCCCATAACTTGTATATTAACCTACCCCATACCATAAAATATTTTATTTGAATCTACCTCATACTATTGACCTTTTATTTTAATCATAGTTTAAAATATAAATGGCCCAGGCTACAAATTTTGCCTTCATCTAATCAACATGTCTGGCAAACTATTTTTTTAAATAATAAAAATTAAATAAAATTGAAAAGAAAATGAAAAGTAGGCATTATCACCATTGTATTATTAACAATTATAGCAAGAAAAGATAATTTGTTTTCACATTATAATGCAAGGTGTTATTACAGTAGTTTTACTTAATGCAGGTAATTGTCATATTTGAACAGGTTGACAGTCTGCAAATACTTGGCTATTTTATTTATTGTTTTAAAATTCTTTTATTTTATATATTTAAGAATATTTAAAAGTGAGCATACAATACAACTTAGCTAATAGTAGATTTAGATTTACAAGAAGCACATTTTAAAAATTTTGGCCACATCATAGAATTTAAAAAAAAAAGATTGATAAAAAGGGCAGGGGAAGGAATTTTTAAGATATTGGCTGGTAGCTCTTCTGCAGTGATGATTACTTTTGTATGAATTATTACATCTTTTAAAAATTCAACAATTGCCTATGAAATTCAATAGTTCAATCTATACCGTTAAATAAAAGAAAAATATTTAAAATTTCTGTGCAGAGTATCAAATTTATAATAATAATAATAATATAATCTTATAATCTATCCATAAATATATAATGGTTATTTATTAAGTGAGAATTTCAATGAAATATAAAAAAGAAGAAAATACTTGTTCAATGAATTGTGTTGTTTTAAATCAGGAGTAAAATTGTGGGTGAAGGAAAACATGAAATCTGTGGATAGGGTGAGCTGTATTTAGATTGTAGGGTAAGCTATATTTAGATCGTAGGGTGAGCTATATTTAGATTGTAGGGTGAGGTACACAGCCTGAGCAGCAGTAGAAGTTTTTTAAAAACATACATGTGTTCTTTTTATTTTCTGAAACAAATATCTTTTGCTAGTTACAAACCCATGTAAGAGAAAAATAATTACCCTCAGTTAAAAAAGAAAATATTTTTAAAATAAAAGAAATACTCAGATACAAATGACTGAATTGAACACAAATTTTTTTGCAGAAAAAGTAAACGCACCAAGAGATAGAAGGTCTATCCAACCATTTACTGAATCAATCATCATTAACTATAATAAGAATGATTGTGATTGGGTTCAGCATGGCAAATTATTTATGCAAAAACAATCAACATGCTAATGGCAATTTGTGTCATTAGTCCAAACAATACTCTTACAACTAAGCACAATTCTTTCATTTGCAGCTAAAGTATTTTTTTGCCACGAAAACATATTAGCAAAATTCTGTTGTATGCAACTAAAATATTTGTATGCAACGAAAACATGTTAGCACAAATTTTTTGAATGCAGCAAAAAACTTGTAAATAAAAAAAACTTAGCGAAACAAAACAAAAAGTACTTACAGGCTCTTCCTCTGGTGTTATAGTCGCTGAAATAATGTAATTATACAATTAGAATGATGGCTACAGTAAAGCAGATAAATTAATAAATTGTGTTTTGATGAAGTCCATTTTGGGGGGTTATCTTTCAAATAAATTGCAATTCCCTCTCCTCACACACGGTCATAAATATAGCAGTATTTAACTGAACTTCCCCCCTCCCCCATACAGATGCAGAGATACTGGACTTCCTCCCACCCCCCCCCCCCCCCTCACAAAGCAATACTGGAGTGGACTAACCTTTCTCCTCCTCTTCTATAGAGACTGATTTCTTTTTCATGCCAGCAAACAGATCCACGCCACCAAACATGGACACGCCCCCTACTGGCTTCCTGGGTTTGGGGGTCTCTGGGGACTTCTCCACCTGGAATCATAGTAACAAATGGGTTGATACATCACTAGAAGTAATGTTATACATCACTAACATAACACATCACCAGACATATTACATCCCTAGACATAAGACAATAGTCATCCTTCCAAAGTCCCCCATCAAAACCCATGCTTCAAAATTCATCCCTCAACTCATCCTTCAAAAGTCAACCTATCTATAAACCTTAACAATTTTGTGTCTATGAAAATGTTAACTATTTTATTTACAACTTTGTCAACAATTTTGTGTCTCACACCTCAGATTATGAAAATGTCAACTATTCTATTTCCCGCTTTGTCAACAATTTTGTGACCTACGTTTTCTTTAGGGCTCTCAGCCAATGGTGCTGGTAAAGATTTTGGGGCAGTGGGCGGAGGAGCCTTTTTCTTGACCGGTGCAGCAAACAGGTCATCATCATCCTCATCATCTCCACCAAACAGATCAGCGGCTGACAGAGACCAATTAATTACATTACATTTTGGTTGGTGTTATGTGTATTTGTGGTTGGTGTTAAGTGTATTTGTTCAAGATTCCACAGTTTTCAACTTTTACGAGTTTAGAATTTGTGTTACAGGAGTTAATGCAACTTGCCTCCCTTAATTAATTCCCTCTCAACATTAATACATCATTACACTTATATTTATATTTAAACCCCCCCCCCCCCCCCCCCCCAGGGTAATATTGATATGAAGCTGGTTATCCCTAGATTTTTCTCGCAACTCCCCTCCCATAGCTAATATCTCTAGAATTACATCAAACCATGTTAAATAAACTAAGCGAGAATTAAATAAAAACAAGACATTAAACTGCTTGAACAAATTAGAATTTTAAATAAAGATAATTACGTGGTTTAGGTTTTAGGTCATCATCATCATCATCAAGGGTCCTAGCCGGCTCATCAACCTTTTCTTTTACAGTTTCCTTAACTGAAGACTTGGCTTTAGGCGCCACCTCAGGGGGTGGGGCTTTGGGGGTGACCTCTGAGGCTTTATCTTGGGGTGCCGTCTTCTCTGCTGACTCCTCAGATTTCTTCTCGGCTGACTCCTCAGATTTCTTCTCGGCTGACTCCTCAGATTTCTTCTTCTTGACGATGGCGAATGGGTCGATGGTGCCACCAAACATTGACACCGCCCCTGCCGGTTTCCATGGTTTGGCTGCTGGTACTGGTTCTTCAGGCTGAGGGGAGGTGACCAAATTAATTCTCACACGACAAGATAGTATGGGTTATCTCCCATTTATTAAATTGTCTTATTAGGGAGACAACCAAAATAATTTTTACGCGGCAAGAAAGTATGGGTATTCTCCCGTTTACTAAGGATTTGTTTTTCAGAGGAGATAACCAAAAAAATTTACACGCGACAAGAAAATATGGGTAACCCCCCCCCCTTTTAATATTATAACCACAGTAATTAGCAGAAGATATGAATATCAACCATAATAATTGCACAACGCAGGAAAATATTTCCCCTTGTGGTAGCTACCTAAAAGCTAGGTAACATGAATTTCTGGTCAACACAACCTTTATATTCCTATAGCATTGTGATACAATTTTTTTTATGAATGACATTTTAACCAATTTTTACCAAAAAATTCAAAGAACTTTCATAATTTTTCAGGTGAAAATTAGACAAGTGTCCCCAACAGTGGAATGAAAAAATTAATTTATACTTAGGAATGCATAATATTATCAAATAATTTATTTGTCAGCTGAAATATTTTCTTTAAAAAATTTGGATTTTTTTACTTAAAAAAAAGAAAGATGGATAAAATTATGTCTCAAAATACTCTAACCAAAATGTGGAATCCAAACAAAATCAAATGTTATGGGACAATTTAAGAGAGGTACAACTGGGCATGATTCACAAAATAGCACTAATAAAAAATTTGACTTTTTCATTTATTTTCATACTATTTTTGGCAACAAAAAAAAAAACTTAAAATATGAAAGGCTCACCTTGACTGGGGTGTCAGAAGATTCTTCCGTGGTCACACCTTCAATTTTCTTAACAGGTTTTGTTGAAAATAAATCTTCTTCCTCTTCATCTGCACCAAATAAATCTTCAGCTAAAAGACAGAAAAAAATTGAAGTTTAAAAACTGAGAAATGAAAGTTTCTACTAGCTGAGAAATAAAAGTTTTAACAAATTGTGAAGACATTTTTTTAACAGAGAAGTGAAAATTTGAATAAAGAAAACTCTATGCAGACGGAGCCTCTATCTACTCACACAATTTTGGTTTGAGATTATCTTTGGATTTTACACCAGCTTTCTCAGATTTGTTCTCTGTATCTACAGGCTCTTTCTTTTCTTCTTTCTTTTCATCTTTCTTCTCTTTTTTTTCTTCCTTCTTTTCCTCTTTCTTCTCTTCCTTCTTTTCCTCTTTCTTCTCTTCTTTCTTTTCCACTTTTTTCTCTTCTTTCTTTTCTTCCTTCTTGTCCTCTTCCTCATCAGATTCTGTAACTTTTTTCTTTTTCAGCAGAGCGGAAGGGTCAAGGCCACCAAACATTGACACTGCCCCTGCTGGTTTCTTGGGTTTCTTGACATCAGACTTGACATCAGACTTGACATCTTCCTAATTCCAATACAAACAAACATACAAACAAAAATTCAAAATTTTAAAATTAAACAAATTATTTTAAAGTTAAGAAAAAAACTTACATATGTTTTGACTCACTATGTGTATTTGAATTTTTGAACACAATCTAACCAGTCTCAAGGAGTTAAGACAGTCAACATATATTTTTTAATAACTTTCTACAGCACATTAAGTATGATATCCTCTATTACATCTAAAGTTAATTGTAGAATACAAACTAAAAGATTGAAGAGCTACCCCCCCCCCCCCCACCCTCCTCACTAAAAATATATATAGATGAAACAAAAAAAAATTTAAAAAATACAAACTTTGGGTTCCATGTCCGTAGACTCTGTACTGGTGACTCCGCTGATGGTCTGGGCTGGTTTCTGTGAGGACCTGGTTAGAGAGGGGGAGGAGAAGAGGTCCTCCTCATCTTCATCATCACCAAATAGGTCAGAGGTCGCAGCTTTACTCGGCTTGCTTTGTTTACTGGCTGGTTTTGTTGCTTGCTGACATACAATGGAAAAATATTTCATTTCTAAAGGATCCTTACTATTGAAAACAGGTTTTTTTAAGGTATAAGGAGTATTAATGAAGAAAAATGTTGATAAGAAGTAGAAATTTATAATTTAGCTTTTGTTTGAAAAAAAGACAATCTCTGGCCCTGGGTGTTACTCATTACCCATGTTATATCTTAACATATCAGGGTCACATAGCAGCCTCATTTTTACATGTAGCATGGCAATTCTGTTTTTTTTTAAAAAACCTTTGGACTTGCTAATGTCATCAACAAACACACATGTGACCTCCTTATGTAATCTCGAACAAACCTGTGACCTCAAACATGACCTCCACCACTAGGTTCATCTACCCAACTTATTACTAATTCACGCTTAATCCCACACAGCCTTACCTTAACTAATGACCCTTGACCAACAAACCATACCTTAACTAATGACCCCTTGACCAACAAACCTTACCTTAACTAATGACCCCTTGACCAACAAACCTTACCTTAACTAATGACCCCTTGACCAACAAACCTTACCTTAACTAATGGTCCCTTGACCAACAAACCTTACCTTAACTGATGACCCCTTGAACAACTAGCCTTACCTTAGCTAATGACCCCTTGACCAACAAATCTTACCTTAACTAATGACCCCTTGACCAACAAACCTTACCTTAGCTAATGACCCCTTAACCAACAAACCTTACCTTAGCTAATGACCCCTTGACCAACAAACCTTACCTTAACTAATGGTCCCTTGACCAACAAACCTTACCTTAACTGATGACCCCTTGACCAACAAGCCTTACCTTAGCTAACGACCCCTTGACCAACAAGCCTTACCTTAGCTAATGACCCCTTGAACAACAAACCTTACCTTAGCTAACGACCCCTTGACCAACAAACCTTACCTTAACTAATGGTCCCTTGACCAACAAGCCTTACCTTAACTAATGACCCTTTGACCAACAAACCTTACCTTAACTAATGGTCCCTTGAACAAGTCCACTGATGGAGCAACTTCTTCTCCAACTTGGAACAGAAGGTCATCGTCATCAAACAATCCTTTAGATGTTTTCTACAACAGGAAACACACAGTTACTTTCACCACTACATCAAACAATCCTTTAGATGTTTTCTACAACAGGAAACACACAGTTATTTTCACCACTACATCAAACAATCCTTTAGATGTTTTCTACAACAGGAAACACACAGTTATTTTCACCACTACATCAAACAATCCTTTAGATGTTTTCTACAACAGGAAACACACAGTTATTTTCACCACTACATCAAACAATCCTTTAGATGTTTTCTACAACAGGAAACACACAGTTACTTTCACCACTACATCAAACCCAACAGGCAGGAATATTTCACAATCCACTTTCATTTATAACATAACCAAGAGGTAAATTATAACATTAAATTTATTTTTATCAGTTAAATTAATTGACTGCATCAATTTAGATTAAACCAATTTAATCCTAATGTAGTTTAGCGTACAAAGAATTTGTAGCATCTCCAGCACAGTCTTCTTAAGTCCATGATCTAAATTTTCCAAATGTCAGCTCAGTCATGATCAAAACTCTTCAAATGTGAGTTCACTTTCACTAGAGAGTGTCACAACCAGACAGGAATTTAAAAAAACAATACTTGAGGTAAACAAACATGGCACCAAAAACAAGCAAGACCAAACTAATTTTGGTTGCACGCACCAAAAAAACCTGGCAAACACAAGCACCAACCTCTTTTGCTGCAGGAGTTTTGTTAGGTTTGCTTGAGAACAATGGCTCAGCATCCTCCTCCTGATCATCAAACAGAGAGAGACCAGCTTTGGTTTTAGCTGCTGCTGGGGCAGGGGCTGTTGGCTGCACTGGGGCTGTTGGCTGCGCTGGGGCTGTTGGTTTAACTGGAGCAGTACTGGACTTTGTCTCCTAACAAAACATCAACACTTTAAAGAACTATTTCTATGATAATATTTTCACCTGTCAGACAAGTCTACAGAAAATACTTTAGATCTACACCATAGGTCAGGGTGACATGAGTACTATGTTTACACTTTACAGATCAATGACTCATACGGTGTTAGTTTAACTAACCTTACACAATGTCTATATGTTCATTATGATACCCATATAATCTTTTTTTTTTATTTCCAAATTATTTGCTTTACAAAGTTTTATCTGTTACCCAATTTTACTTTCCCCAACTGAAGCTGGGTACCCATTAGAAAAGTGTGAGCTCAGCTATCTTATAATTTAAAGTGATAAGCAAGACATAGATGGACTACATATAAAATTTGATAATTGAGACATAGACAGACTACATATAAACAAACTTTAAGTTTACTTTTTTTTCACTAATTGCAATCTAATTAGCAAAGCTGTTTTAATCAACCCATTAACAAAACATAAAATATTTAAACTCTTTGAACTAGCCAGAGAAAAAGTTTTAATTGATCCATTAGACTGCCATTAGCTGGGATAACAAACAGAAGATGTTGGAAGAGGAAGTAAACAAACAAGGCAGGATGAGTGTTACGGGCCAGTTGTAGGTTAGTTTAGAATAGGTTAGAATAGTCTAGAACTAGGGGAGAGTGCCTGTGTGAGTGGAGTTCACCATACTGTGTAGTTACCCTTGTGTGTTTATGTCTTGTAATCCCAAGGTCGAATGCGGGTATAAAAGGGGGAGTGAACGATTGTGGGGGGCAGTCAGCGGGTTAGTAGCGGTTAGGACGAGGGCTGTTCTGGTACGCTTGAATGCATTGAGACGAATAAAAGTAGTGAAGTTAAACACGAAGCGTTGTTATTGATTTGAAATGAACCCAGAACGTAACAACTGGTGGCCAGTATGAATCAAGTAGAAGCATAAACGTGATGCTGTCCTGTCGTTTGCCTGATGCTGTCCTGATGTTTGCCTGATGCTGTCCTGTCGTTTGCCTGATGCTGTCCTGTCGTTTGCCTGATGCTGTCCTGATGTTTGCCGGTTGCTGTCCTGATGTTTGCCGGTTGCTGTCCTGATGTTTACCGGTTGCTGTCCTGATGTTTGCTGGTTGCTGTCCTGATGTTTGCCGGTTGCTGTTATGATGTTTGACAGTTGCTGTCCTGATGTTTGCCGCTTGCTTTCTGATGTTTGCCGCTTGCTGTCCTGATGTTTGCCGGTTGCTGTCCTGATGTTTGCCGGTTGCTGTCCTGATGTTTGCCGGTTGCTGTCCTGATGTTTGCTGATTGCTGGCCTGATGTTTGCCGGTTGCTGTCCTGATGTTTGCCGGTTACTGTCCTGATGTTTGTCGGTTGCTGTCCTGATGCTTGCCGGTTGCTGTCCTGATGCTTGCCGGTTGCTGTCCTGATGTTTGCCGGTTGCTGTCCTGATGTTTGCCGGTTGCTGTCCTGACGTTTGTTGATGCTGTGGGGATGCCGTTAGCCCGACGCTATAGCTGTTTGACAGAGTATGTAACAACATCGACTGTGAGTTGCAAAATTTTGATGTAGAATGGTTGAGATATAGGTAGGAGTCGTAAACCAGTGTAGCCATAGAGCGCACAGGGTGGACTCAATTTGATTTTTTTAGTGATGTAGAATGGTTGAGATATGAGTAGGAGTCGTAAACCAGTGTAGCCATAGAGCGCAGGTTGACTCAAATTTTTTGTGATGTGGAATGGTTGAGATATGGGTAGGAGTCGTAGACCAGTGTAGCCATAGAGCGCAGGTTGACTCAAATTTTTTGTGATGTGGAATGGTTGAGATATGGGTAGGAGTCGTAAACCAGTGTAGCCATAGAGCGCACAGGGTAGACTCAAATTTTTGTGTGATGTAGAATGGTTGAGATATGAGTAGGAGTCGTAAACCAGTGTAGCCATAAAGCGCACGGGGTAGACTCAAAAAAATTGTGGTCTGGAAAGTTCTTAGATTCGGTACGATGCAACTGGATGTGTATGATTTTTTCTTTGTTTGTTAGTTACACGGATGATTTGTGCTAGCTCGAAATTGTAGCAGTTCTGTATATTGTCATTATGTATTTCATTGTATATACAATCTGTCATATACATTCTTCGGAATGTATATTTTTAACTTGTCTACTAGTGTATGTGTATGAAAGGCTTTGTGTTTTTTATTTAGCTAGGATTTGTTAGTCAGTATTTGTAGTTATTACTACAAATACTTAGGTGGGGGGTAGTGTTACGGGCCAGTTGTAGGTTAGTTTAGAATAGGTTAGAATAGTCTAGAACTAGGGGAGAGTGCCTGTGTGAGTGGAGTTCACCATACTGTGTAGTTACCCTTGTGTGTTTATGTCTTGTAATCCCAAGGTCGAATGCGGGTATAAAAGGGGGAGTGAACGATTGTGGGGGGCAGTCAGCGGGTTAGTAGCGGTTAGGACGAGGGCTGTTCTGGTACGCTTGAATGCATTGAGACGAATAAAAGTAGTGAAGTTAAACACGAAGCGTTGTTATTGATTTGAAATGAACCCAGAACGTAACAATGAGTTGGGGACAACCACAAACCTTTTTCTCACTTGGGCCAACCTCGTCAACCCCTCCAAACAGGTTGACACCACCAGAAGGTTGTTTTTTGCTGAGTGGACAAAATGAGACAGGTTTTTAATCATGTGAAATTAAACAGATGTTGAACACTTGCAAACATTGACACATTTTTTAGTAATATTGTGTAATCAGACGGAATTTTTTATATTGTGAAAACTGACAGATTCTACGCTAAAATAAGAGAATCTAACAATGTTGTGAGAAAAAAATTTGATTTTTTTTTAAAAATTAGCATTAACGCTGTTTAATGTTGAAGGAAGGAGAGGGGGATTCTAAGTGGGGATCTGAATAGGTAAGATCCAATGAAATGAGTAAAAGCTTTCTAATTTATTGTGGCCTACTGTGTGTGACTTGAAAACAAATGTTTTATACCTACAATGAATAAGTTATCAGCTGAAAGTTTTAAAGGCTGTGAATGTAACAGACCAACCTTTCTGTTGCTTTCACAGCAGGGGTGAAGAAATCATCATCATCATCTTCTAGATCTCCACTGCTAAACAAGCTGTCCTTTGTTGATTTAGAGTTCTCTCCCTTTATAAACAAACAAATAGTGGATTCATTTTTAGTTTTTAAAAATTTACTTTTATGTTTGCAAAATCTGGGATTTCTTAAAGAAAAATTGGAGAAATAAGATTTGATTTTTATCAACTTATCAACAATGTGTACTACACAACACACCAAGTATGTGAGTTACTACAAAACTACACACCAACTATGTGAGTAACTACTACACTACACACCAACTATGTGAGTTACTACTACACTACACACCAACTATGTGAGATACTACTACACTAAACACCAACTATGTGAGCTACTACAACACAACACACCAACTATGTGAGTTACTACTACACCAACTATGTGAGTTACTACTACACTGCACACCAACTATGTGAATTTACACATCTAAGATAAAATTACTTTTTTTTTACCTTTGTTCCTGGAAGATTTTTGTTTTTCTTGTCTACCTGATTGCTGAGAAAAGAAAAAAATTAAAAAATTAAAATTCTGCAGGTTGCACAGGTGTACACTGATGACATGCATCTTATAGAGTTGCACTTTATGGTGCACGCTTGTGTTTAAACACCTACAACTGTGTTCAACTGAATGTAATATTTGCTCACGTGTGTTGTGACAAAAATAAAGCTGTACAACTTGATCTAACAAAACATCATGGACAATAAAATGTGACAAAATTTGTAAGAATAAGACAAAGCTTATCACAGCAATATTTTTGCTGGTACTTCTACCCCCAACCCTTGCCCTGATCCAGACTCTAGCCTTGACTTTTAGTCCTAATTGGAATCTTAACGGCACTATAAAAATAACGAGTTCGATATAGTATTGCAATATATTATACTTGCTCATAAAAGAAAATAATAATAAAACTTCATTTTTAAATCCAATATGTATGTATAAGTAATATTTATGCACTTGCAAACATAGTCACAAAGATAGATCACAATTTTTGTTTTGTTTAAGTATTGCTACCTTGGGTTCACTCAAGCCTGAGAAAGCAAATACCAGGAAACTTAAAATACTGTCAGAAAAGTTTTATAACGTGCACTTTTTCTTATATAAAACACACATAGCAGTGGCCAGTTTTATAAATGGGCCAACCAGGCACACACCCTGTAGCCAGATATATTCCCAACGTGAACTGCTAAATATATTTTAAAACAAGCAGCAACTGTTTGAGAAAACTGGCAAGCCTGAGATAGCTGCCTCAACAATCTATGACGGCATTCATTGGCTCACCATGAACAATAGGCGGTCCTTGGATATGTTTACATACGGGTATTTTCATCTGCCCCGGGGCTATCTCTTCTATTGGTCCCATTGTAAAGTGAATACCCCGCTACCCCCACCCCCACTCAGCCTAACCCCAGGGCTATCTCTTCTATTGGTCCCATTGTAAAGTGAATACCCCGCTACCCCCACCCCCACTCAGCCTAACCCCAGGGCTATCTCTTCTATTGGTCCCATTGTAAAGTGAATACCCCGCTACCCCCACCCCCACTCAGCCTAACCCCAGGGCTATCTCTTCTATTGGTCCCATTGTAAAGTGGATACCCCGCTACCCCCACCCCCACTCAGCCTAACCCCAGGGCTATCTCTTCTATTGGTCCCATTGTAAAGTGAATACCCCGCTACCCCCACCCCCACTCAGCCTAACCCCAGGGCTATCTCTTCTATTGGTCCCATTGTAAAGTGAATACCCCGCTACCCCCACCCCCACTCAGCCTAACCCCAGGGCTATCTCTTCTATTGGTCCCATTGTAAAGTGGATACCCCGCTACCCCCACCCCCACACAGCCTAACCGTTAGCGGGTAGTCACGTAGATATACAATGTCTAAAGACTAGACAAACTGGCCTTAAAATTGTTGCATAATGAGTTCGTGTATCAGCAAATACAAAAGGTATACCTTTTTCTAACAGGAAGTTTAAAAATATACTCAGGTCTTCTGTCGTCTGTGATCTAGTCGTAAGCCGTCACGTCCAGTGCGTCACGTAGTCAGTGTCACGTTTGTTCACGCTCGTCTCAGTTGACACCCAGCTGTATGTGGATATGTCACACTTGGTCTACCTCGAGCAATTCTTCCAATAACGACGTGTGCCAAAGCAAACACAAGTTGAAGCCAATACAACAGCGGGTACAGATTGAAAACTTACGAGCGTAGCAACAAAATTTTGGCTATCTAATCTCTAACACGCGTAAAAACTTCGGAGCTCCCTCTCACACCCCACCGTCATTGTTAGTACATGAGCTCCAACCTAAATGTTAACAGATGACAGTAAACGACTCATTGAAAACGTAATCAGAGCAATGTGGGCACGTGGTGTAGGGGCTAAGTGGGCACGTGATGTAGGGGCTGAGCGTGATATCACGTCTCTCTATACACGTGATCTCACGTCTCTCTATACACGTGATCTCACGTCTCTCTATACACGTGATCTCACGTCTCTCTATACACGTGATCTCACGTCTCTCTATACACGTGATCTCACGTCTCTCTATACACGTGATCTCACGTCTCTCTATACACGTGATCTCACGTCTCTCTATACACGTGATCTCACGTCTCTCTATACACGTGATCTCACGTCTCTCTATACACGTGATCTCACGTCTCTCTATACACGTGATCTTACGGCTCTATACACGTGATCTCACGTCTCTCTATACACGTGATCTCAAGTCTCTCTATACACGTGATCTCACGTCTCTCTATACACGTGATCTTACGGCTCTCTATACACGTGATCTCACGTCTCTCTATACACGTGATCTCACGTCTCTCTATACACGTGATCTCAAGTCTCTCTATACACGTGATCTCACGTCTCTCTATACACGTGATCTTACGGCTCTCTATACACGTGATCTCACGTCTCTCTATACACGTGATCTCACGTCTCTCTATACACGTGATCTTACGTCTCTCTATACACGTGATCCTGTGGCTCTCAGAGCAAACCAGAATAAACAGCTTTATGAGATCATTCAGTTAAGAAGTATCACGCAGATGTACACTGCGTACCATAGGTGCCGTGTAGTAACATTGGCTAAAGACAGTACCATAGGGTGGCGTGTAGCGAAATTGGCTAAAGACAGTACCTTCCTACACACGTGTAAACAAGTGGCTAATTTTTTTTTACAGACACCAGAACAAACCAACTTGAAACAAAAAAAAAACAAAGAATAAACTTATTACCACTTACCCATGTCAGTGACACAATGTATGAAGTGATTTCCAAAACAGCCGTTATTGAACCTACACTTGCCTATAGAGTGATTAACCTAAATCTATCAGACACGAAAAAAAAATCCGGACAGGACGATCAGTAGACCACGAGTGAACGGAAACTTACAGGTGACCTTGAGGTATGTTTACCTGTTGCGTATTGAGGTGAGCAGAGCGCGCACGTTCAGGTGTGTAGACATGCGCATGCAGCACACCAGAGTCGAGGGTTTACGAGGGTTTATCAACGTTTGTTATCAGACGTCAAGCAGGGTTTATTTTATTACGTGCAAGGGGGGGGGGGGGGGGGGGGGAGGCGCATTTTGGCGGGAACTACACATTGAAAAAAGTTACATTCAGATGTTCGCTGTGTACAGATTAGCCCTGACAGATGGGACAGTTGGTAAATTGGAGGTGGTAGGTTGGCCAGATCAGTTGATTAAATAGTTATTGGATGACGGCCGACACAATAAAATAGCCATATGAAAATTCTGAGGGCCACCATTAAGATCTGAGGGCCACCATTAAGATCTGAGTGCCACCATTAAGATCTGAGGGCCATCATTAAGTGATGAGGGCCATCATTAAGTGATGAGGGCCACCATTAAGATCTGAGGGCCACCATTAAGATCTGAGGGCCACTATTAAGATCTGAGGGCCACCATTAAGATCTGAGTGCCTCCATTAAGATCTGACGGCCACCACTAAGTGATGGGGGCCACCATTAAGTGCTGAGGGCCACCACTTAGATCTGAGGGCCACCATTAAGATCTGAGTGCCACCATCAAATAATGAGGGCCGCAACTGTTTAAACGCGAGGTAAACACCGCATCTCGCTAACAAGCAAAAAGCGGGAGAAAACCAACCCAGCTGAAACCACATTTCGTGTGGCAGGCTCTGCACTTTCTCAACTTCTAAAACTGACGTCAGTGTTTATTGTCTGCTCAGATTGCCGCCATTTTCACGTATGCCTCGCCATGAGACCAAGGCACACACAACGCCTATTGTAATGTGTGCTTCCAGAAAAAATAAAAATAAAAACCTGTTCAAAAACATTATAAAAATAAACCATTTCAAAGTCTGTTTGCACCTTAATGAACCACGTCCTCCCAAATGTTTATAGAAATATTTATCATGAATGTCTTGGTATTCTGTATGAAAACGACTTTATCAACAAAGTTCACCCAAACTCACTCCGTATTAATCCAATACAGCAAAACTATTTTCACTGCAGCGCGTACGCGTACCTGGCACAACTAATTTTGAGCAGACGAAATAAATACAACAAAGAGAAGACAACTCCCCGCGATGAGCAACACGGCGACGAAAGTGTGAATCGAGACAAACAAGAGAAGTCTGACCGCCCCATTGTTTTACTACAAATAACCGTTCAATGGTCCTTGTGGTAGAGACTATTGAAATTTTAAACTGACCTTTCACGTACAGCTAAAGGATTGACCAAGTTCAGCCTATAACTTGACAATCACCGTTAATGAAATGGTCGAACATGAATTGGGCGAAGGGGCGGGGGGGGGGGGGGGGGATGGTTGATTATGGATGGCTGAACTACTGTACTGTTAAGCTTAAATTCGTAAATTAAGTTATTAAATATCTTTATTTTTTTGAAACTGTTTTATACTTTTGAAAAAAAAATAATTAATGACTGAATGTCAAGAAATGGGGTAAGTGAGGTGTGAAAATGTGTAGGACACAGGGAAAAGTAGTAAACTGTCAATGGACGCCATAGAGAAAAGTCTCAAAGGAAATTGAGAGGTCCATAAATTAATTTAAAAATCATGCACGGCGTAGTTACAATTAATATGGTTATAAAATCCTGTCTGTCTGGTTTTTTTCGGACTTTACTAAAGATTGGATGTATTTCATGTTTTTAATATTTTTGGTAACTAAATAAAAATTAAAAAAAAAAAAGCAAATAACAATTTGGTTTTCACGTGTAATGGCGACATAAACAATGGCATCCTGCTATTCGATAGGCCGCCATATATTCTATTGTACACATTGTAAGCTAAAAATAGAAAAACTAGGTCATGGTGTTTTAATTTGCATTGTTATTTAAAAACTTGATCTGCAAAGTTTTGTAAACAAAAAAACTATAAAGTGGGGCTGTCAGAAATCGATCACGGAGTTCCTGTACAGCCAATCAATGTTTGTCTTACGAAAGTGAAACATCGGGTTATAACTTAGGCTTGATGAAAATAAATAGAAATGTAGCCTTAAACTCATCAAATTATTTTAAAGTTCTCTGGATCTGCAACTTGTATAGCATTGATTCTAAAAATATTAAATTTCTGAATTAATTTTAGGCTTAAGTTTTTAATAAAATTTTATGTTTTATTATTTTTACGGTCCTATATCTAAAATATGGGCCAAAAACTGCATTTTTTCGAGGTTTTTAGGCTTTTCCGGGAAATCCAGGAAGGAATTCCGGGAATTTTTTGGCCCACAATCATCCTCGAAACTTGCTTAACATATTTGCTTTTGGAACTAGTCCTCGATATTGCTTCGTTGAGGAGGAGATACGACTTAAAGCTGCGGACACACATCCATCCATCCATCCAGAAATGACGAATTATTAAACGCAATTGCCAGTATGGAAATTGCGCTAAAAAGCACATTTTTATTCCATGTCAACAACATTACGGAAGGATTCTCGTCAAATCACTGGTGTCCATTGAGACGGAAATGTGTAGTAGTGTGTAGTGCAAGAGATGGACCAGTAAATACATTGGTTTCCTGTTTTTTGCTTCAATATTTTCTTCAGCCATTTTTAAAATCTAAAACCAGAGTACCAGCTTTGGTGCAATGAAGATCACTCAAGTAGCTCTAAATGTGCGTGAGTGTGCATGATTAAACGTGTTCTAATTGATAAAAATATATTGACTGTGTATCAGATACGAATCGAGAAGGAGCTCAGCCCATTACACGTTCTACATAACACAAGTGGCGTCATAATATAGCACGAGCAGCGCGCGAGGGTTTTAAATAGCTCACACAAGCCAACACGGCAAACACGTCTTGCTAACACTGTTAAATTACAGGAGAATCATCGGCCGATGTTGGAGATATTCAAACAATAACATTGGACGTTTTTTAACAGGAAATTACCTGGTTGTTGCCGGTTTAGTAGGAAACAAATTCAGACAGAGGGGAAGAAAGATAGACAGAGAGATTGACAGGAAGGGAGACAGTCACAAAGAGATTGACAGGGAGACAGAGAGATAGACAGGAAGGAAGACAGATTGACAGAAAAGGAGGAAGAGATAAACCAACAGAGAAATTGACAGACTTACCAGAAGTTGCCCAGAAAGTGATGTGATAGGCTCGAATAGGTGAGCACCAGTGTACCGGTCTATTGGTGACCGACGTAGGTGAGCAGACACGAGCAGCGTGGTGACCAGCGCGCGTGGGCCGGTGTGTGACGATTGGTCAAGCACCGGTATAATGAGGTACTCACTAAACACGGCACCAAATGAACACAAATGATGGGGGACTTACTAAACACGGCACCAAATGAACACAAATGATGGGGGACTTACTAAACACGGCACCAAATGAACACAAATGATGGGGGACTTACTAAACACGGCACCAAATGAACACAAATGATGGGGGACTTACTAAACACGGCACCAAATGAACACAAATGATGGGGGACTTACTAAACACGGCACCAAATGAACACAAATGTCTCTCACAGACATAGACAGCCCCAGTATGATGGGGGACTTACTAAACACGGCACCAAATGAACACAAATGTTTCTCACAGACAGTCGAGCACTAGCGAACAACACGGTGCTATGTGCTAACGCAGATATAAAAAAAAAAACTTGAAGAGGTAGGAGATGAGGTAAATGGCAGAGGTAATCACAAGGGGAAGCAACCTGTTGCTGGAGCTGGCTCACACGCAGGGTCGTGCCAATACAGGGGAGGGGGGGTATGGCGGTTAAGGTGAACAGGAGGTGGGGTTAAGGAGAGGGAGGGTGGGGTTAAGGAGAGGGTGGGTGGGGTTAAGTAAAACATCTTTAAGTGCAGCTGCCTGTGGTTGTGGGGGCCTGGTGGGGTCTTTATTAAAGGAGAATCAGGTCTTTGTCTTGGTGGTGTTATACGGCTGCTGGTGTAACGGTCGGGTTGGTGGTTTAAACAGTCTCAAGAGATCTACAACAGTGGTCTCTAGAGGGCTATAGTAAGGGCTACAGCAGTGGTCTCTAGAGGGCTACAGCAGTGGTCTCTAGAGGGCTATAGTAAGGGCTACAGCAGTGGTCTCTAGAGGGCTATAGCAGTGGTCTCTAGAGGGCTACAGCAGTGGTCTCTAGAGGGCTATAGTAAGGGCTACAACAGTGGTCTCTATAGGGCTATAGTAAGGGCTACAGCAATGGTCTCTAGAGGGCTATAGTAAGGGCTACAACAGTGGTCTCTATAGGGCTATAGTAAGGGCTACAACAGTGGTCTCTAGAGGGCTATAGTAAGGGCTACGTAAGTGGTCTCTAGAGGGCTACAGCAGTGGTCTCTAGAGGGCAATAGCAGTGGTTTCTAGTGGGCTATAGTAAGGGCTACAGCAGTGGTCTCTAGAGGGCTAGTTGCCTCAAGAAGGAAATAATAAGTATTTGTATATAAAGAATTAATGTACAGTACATTGTAAGCCTAAGGCTGTAAGTGGTCTATCAGGATAACTGTGGTACGCGTTATCTTTGGTCAAATAGAATATTTTATTCAGAGGGGATACACAAGGGAAGTAATTATCTCCCATACATCACTATTATTAGAAATAAGAAAGCACATCATAAGATGTAAAGAAACCCACATTTATTTTGTAACACATTGTGTATTGGAATTAAGACGTATTGAAGGGGGGGGGGGGGTAGATATCCTGTTTCTAATTATAGGAGAGTTACACAACACTTGATGCCAGTTTGGTCCAACAGCAGCCTAGTGCTCCCACGTTCAATGTGTAGGTGGGTCTAATGAGGGCTAACACAGCCGGTGGCACATTCATTAATTACACAGTAGAAAATAAAAAGCACAGTATAAGGACTAAAGGCCAGAGATTAGCTTGCCATGATTGTGTGTAGTAGATCACCAGAACAACTATAATTACATTAAAGTCTGAGACCAGTGGTGAAATTGGTATCACATGTAAATACACATGGATAAATAAAACGTTTTTATTAAGGGGAATTAATACTCCCAAAAAAATGGTTATTTCCCTTAATGGTTGATATGTTTGTTTATACCAAAAAATATTAGCAAATTATAAAGTTAATACTGGTTAAACAAAATTGTGTCTATAACTTTTGTCAATAGGACAAAATTCTGTGAAACATCTGTTAATAACACACAATTGTATCTAACACTATCGCTATAATAAAGGCTTTAACACTAGGTGGGGTCAACAATTCACTGTAAAGTAGCCATACAAGAGCAGACACAAACACTAGTAACACTGCATACATCATGTTAGAGCAGTCAAATACACTATTTATAGTGGTCATATACACACACAAAATGCCACATACACTAATTAGTATAGTAATTACTGTGGAATGGACATAAACAAAGAAGAGGGTTTAGGTACTAGACTAAAATCAAACTCAATAAGCAATGTACTTTTGGAAACATCAACAAACACGACAGTGACACCAATAAACAACACAGTCAAGGTGTGACATTAACAAACATCACAGTCAAGGTGTGACATCAACAAACACCACAGTGACATCAACAAACACCACAGTGACATCAACAAACACCACAGTGACATCAACAAACACCACAGTGACATCAACAAACACCGCAGTCAAGGTGTGACATTAACAAACACCGCAGTCAAGGTGTGACATCAACAAACACCACAGTCAAGGTGTGACATCAACAAACACCACAGTGACATCAACAAACACCACAGTGACATCAATAAACAACACAGTGACATCAACAAACACCACAGTGACATCAACAAACACCACAGTGACATCAATAAACAACACAGTGACATCAACAAACACCACAGTCAAGGTGTGACATCAACAAACACCACAGTCAAGGTGTGACATCAACAAACACCACAGTGACATCAACAAACACCACAGTCAAGATGTGACATCAACAAACACCACAGTCAAGGTGTGACAATGTGACATTAAGGAGTAACAAAAAGGGGCCAACTAACCTTTTAGGTTTAGTCAGGGGAGAGAACAAATCTTCCTCCCCATCTTCATCAAACAGACCACCAGATTTGACCAAGTTTTTCACAGGTTCTGTCCCCTTGGCTGAACTGGTGGAGCCAATGCTAGGGCTGTTAGTTGTTTTTTCTTCTTCGTTTTCATCCTGTGGAAATGTCACAAGCAACAGGTTTTATTGTGTGTGGTTATCTAGGTGTAGCATTTGCATTAAACCTCCGTTATGTTTTGATACTAAAAAGTTTATAATATTTGTAAGGCTACTGCAGAGGTTTCTGTTAAACTTTTGGTACAAGAGAGCTACAATTTAAACTCTTTGTACTAAAAAGTTTGTAATATTTGTAAGGCTTTTGCTGAGGTGTCAGTTAAACTTTTGGCACAAGAGAGCTTCAAGTTAAACATGGTGCTAAATAAGATCTGATAATCAACTCACATCACTATCTGAGGGTGGCTTCTGTTTCTTTAGAGCCGCCACAAGAGGATTGGGGCCTGAGCCAAACATGGACACGGCACCTGGTGGTAGCTGAAAGAAAAGATCTCACTAGTTTAAACAAGTGTTTGTTTCAATAGTTGCTCACATATGAGTCAGCTTCTGTGTCAGTATAGAATTTTCTAAATTGCTTCTAGAAAACTTCCAAAATGGCTACCCAACATCAAATTAATTGTGATTATTAGCTGAACGCACCAATACATGCTATGGCTAAAGTAGTAACATGCATTACAAGTTTTAATAGATTTTTTTAAACATAATTTTAGCATCATAAATAATTTAAATCTTGATCAATATTTCACTAAGGGCAACTACTCTAAAAATGTTTATGAAAGACTTGAAAAGAGTTGTCTGACATTTACCTTTTTCTCAGGGGTTGATTTCTTTCTGAGCTGCTCAGCTTCCTGTTTCTTGACCTCCACAACCTCATCTTCGTCGTAACCCTCCACGGTCAACCCTACAGTGCTGTGGGACTTCTTCTTGGTGGTGGGTGCAGCGATTGACTCGAACAAATCTTCGTCATCGTCATCATCAGCAAACACATCTAGCACTTTCTTCATTGCCTCTTTCTTCCCAGCGCTGGGGTCTGGAAGGTTCAAGTTAATGGAGGCTGTTAGACTACTGCATTCAACTATTTAGTTAACACTTAATGAGCATAATAAAAACTTTATTTTCAGGGTTCAGAAAATTTTGTCTAAGTCAACAAAAATTCAACTATTTGGTTAACACTTAATGAGCAAATAAAAAGTTTATTTTCAGGGTTCAGACATTTTTGTCAGGGTCAACAAAAATTTATTTGAGAGTTCATTTCTGGTTTAACAGAGACTTTAGCAGGGCTGCCTACCCCAAAAAAATTTTCCCCGTAACAAGAGCATAGGTTTTCCGTAACTTTCCGTAACTTTCCGTATTTTTACACATTTTTTAAATACAATGTAAATAAGACCCATATTATATGATCATAAAGCTCATCAGCGTAATCATGACAGTCGGCGACTTGTGCTACTTTTTATTTTATGGACTAATAATTAGTTTTTAAAAAAAAACGCCGTTAAATTCAGAATGTAAGGCGACAATGGAAAATTTCCAATAGGAATTTTTCTTGCAATGAGTAGTATGACGTATGAATAGGCCAACACTACGGATATCTAAACCAATGTGAACTCAGTGACCCCTCGACTGTGTGTGTGTCAGCATTTTTTCTCCCGCGAACAAGAAAACGTAAGCGGCCGACGGGTGACAATGTTTAGAATTAGCATATTTCTTGAATATTTTTTTTTTAAAATCTACATTTTATCAATGTAATATCTAGAAGAAAAGAACAATTTTAAAAATATGAGCCGTAATTGATCTAGGTGAGCCTAGATCTCGTTGTTTAGTAAAATCTTGTCTTCTCGCACATCTCAAACAAAATGCCTCGATATCTCGCTATTTAGACATTTAGCCGTAATACCGCCTCAGCAAATATGTCTCGCCAGACTGCGCGACCAGACTTTCAATGATTTAGGCCACGCCCTTTTTTTTCTCTACGGACAACACCGACTCATGAGGTAACACAGACCACTCGCGGGGTCAATAGTTCACAATATAAACACCACTGCCGCCAGCCATGACATGAGCGGGAAGGGAAGGGGGAGGGGGATTGTTACGGAAGAGGCTGAGAACCTTAGAACCGGATAACACACTGAAATACTGAAATATAACTAGCTAAATTAAAATATAAAACTCAGACCGGAACATAAAGTTAAGTTACCATCAGAATTTTTTTTTTTACACTAAAGTCGATTTTGGTCTCTACTGAAATCAAAACCGTAATTTTGCAGCATAATCGTAATTCCGTAACCTGGGTGTCAAAATCGTAAAGTTACGGGCAAAACCGTACAAGTAGGCAGCCCTGCTTTAGGGAATGGTGAGTTGACAGGACACAGCTAAAATCTTGTATGACAGATACTTCTGTGATACTGAGAAGATCATAATATGAAGCTGAGCATCTTGAAAGATCAACTAGAAGATAGCTTAAGAAAATAGTATAAGTCCTATAAGTTAGAAATAATGATACACAATAATTTTTTTAAAAGAATCATTTCAAAATCTAAACAGGTGGACTACAGATTTTAAATTGTTTAATTTTTTTTTTAAATTGTTTAAATATGGTGCTATATTTTAACAAATAGCCATTAAACTAGTTTTTTTTTAAATTGTTTAAATATGGTGCTATATTTTAATTCATAGAGTCATTATTAAGTGGGGGGAAAACTTCAGCGCTAAAATCATTGTGTAAATGTAAGGGACTAAATTTAATAAGCATACATTAAGCAGTAGGTTCTTATACAACATGGTAGTGAAAAAAACCAAAGTGACACAAGTATTTTATTTCAATTAGCCAAAAGAAATTTAACCAAACCACTGATAAAATTACAAACCTTTTTTTTGACAGGTTCAACTTTTTTATTTGCACTGACACCAGAAAAAACTAACCTAACCACTGATAAAATTACAAACCTTTTTTGATAGGTTCAACTTTTTTGGTTGCACTGACACCAGAAAAAACTAACTTAACCACTGATAAAATTACAAACCTTTTTTGACAGGTTCAACTTTTTTGGTTGCACTGACGCCAGCAAACAAACCATCCTCCTCTTCGTCATCATCGAACAATCCACCGGCTGGTTTTTTGGTGGCTGCTGCTGGCTGGGCTGTGGGTTTTTTCACCGTGTGGGTTTCTGAAACTTCAGCCTTGCCTGAGTCACCTACAAAACAAACATTTCAAAATAACAATTCCTTTTTATTTTCCTCTACAGCAAAAATTAAAAACTTACACATTATTTTTTAAAATAGAGAGGTGAATGTATTATTGGTTAATAAGTCTACATAGCTAATATAACAAAAACAACTAGCGGATAAACATCTGTAAATAAGTATAAATAGTATGTATGAAGGGAATACACTCGAGAAAATAGATAATATAAACAAGTAAAGGGAAGTAACTACAAGTGTTAAGGGGAAGAACTAAGTGGTTCTTGACTCAAGTGTTTTGGTGTAATTAACTTTTTTAAAAACAATTTAAACCACAACAATTTTTATACCCAAGAATTTGTAAGCAATCTTTCTATAAGGGATAAAACAAGATTTATTTTTTTACTGAACAAATCTGATTACATCAATACTATTTTATAATGAGACTTTTTTAATTTAACAGGTTTGGTTAAATTAAAATTATTTCATAACATTTTTTAAAAATTTAAAAAGTTTGACTAATTCACCATTGTTTACTCTTACAAGACAGCTAATAATTGTGGATAATTTGATCTTGTCAACAAAGCTTAAAATGGTTAAAATAGAAATACATTAGACTTGCGATTTCTTTCAAACAACCCCCTGAGAAAATTTTTCAAAACAAATAGCTGCAGAAGTTGTAATGTGAGGCTTAAAGATAAATAGATTTTCTAAAACCAACTACTGTATGTGAGGGTAAATCAAACAATAGATATAGGAGTCTATATTGTAATTCTGCACTTTAACAAAGATTACATGCTTGCTCTTAAGTTACAAATCCAGTGCCATGTCTTTTGTCTTATGGTAATTCCCCAACCAAACTTCCTTCCCACCTGCTTTAGCATGCAGTGGTGGAGGGGACAAAAAACCTAATGGCAAGAGGAAGACTTGGTTTGCCTAGCATAAAGCAATATAACAAGTTAGTTGTGCCTGTTTAAGAGAAACTACAAACACTTAAACATTGAGGAAATAAAAAAATTTTTTACCCACCTCCGACAGCTCCAAATACTGACACAGCACCTTTGGGTAACACCTTACCACTCTTAGTGCGAGGACGTGAATCTACTTTTTCTTCTTCTGTAATGTAAAATAAAAATATTAAAATACCAGTTCAAAAATACAAATTTCTGGCTGAGTAATTTAAAAAAAAATTAGGATTAGATTTGTTTTCCAAATAAGTACTCAAAAAGATTTTGGTCCTTACTGGCTTCTGTTTCTTCCAGATCTTCGTCCTCAAATATGGAGCCAGCTTTTTCTCTAGCCGGTTTTTTCCCTTTAGACTTACTGGTGTCAGCAAACAGGTCAGACTAATAGACGAGAAGAAATGGGTTCTAAATTGATGCAGCAACATAAGAAATTACATTTTTAAATAGACCATTGAGATTTCAGGAACCAAAAAATTATGGAATAAATGAAAATAAATGTAGCTGAGGATATTTAATTACATAAGTGGTTGAGAAAAAGTCTTAAAAGGTTGTTATGTATAAATACATTTTTATTTCTGTAAATTTGATTCCAAGTTTTACAACAATTAAATATGAAAGCCAGAGGATAACACTCACTTCGCCATTTTCTTTTTCCTCATCATCATCAAACAAGCCTTTACTGCTTGAAAACAAGCCACCACCTTTAGCAAAAAAGTCGTCATCTTCATTTGTATCTGGGTGTCCAAACAGATCATCTAGAAACAAAAGAAACTTTTTCACAATGTAAACAAATGATTCATTTATTTTCTATTGTTTTCTCATTTCAAAATTTGCAATAAACAAAATTTTTACAAAAAAGTGATGTGAAGAAATTTAAATGTTGGTCAGTAATCACAAGAAATTTGTAAGCCTTTTATTATATAAGATGCCAATAATTTATGTAAGGATTGTTTCACTTAAACAGATATAAAGTGTACTCAAAGAGTATTATTGAATAATTAATTTATGATTTTCATTTAACAAAGTGATCAATGCTACCGTACCACCATCATCTTGTTTAGAATGTGAGCTCTTCCCTTTAGTTTTCCCTGTCTTTTCATGTTTGTGTTTCTCTTCCTTGGATATTGTTCTTTTTCCTAATTGACATGATTCATACAATATAAGATATATTTAAATAGTACTGATTCAATAAATGTTGCTAGAAATCAAAGCTACATTGTCAAGATGTCATTCACAGTTATCATAGATTAGGTATCTCTTAAAATAATTGGCTAAGTGTCTGTCTATAACTTAAATAAGGAGTCATGCATAAAAGAGGTCACGATTTTTTAAAAAGATATTTGCCCCCACCCCTCCATCACTCATCACAAAAAGCCAGTCCCCTCCCTAAAATGACATCACACTTCAGTCTATCAATTGCAGATTAACTTTTTTTAAAAATCAATTGATTTCTAAAATATTGATTCAGCTCAGTATATTAATCACTATCAATTACAATTTACAAAAAACAGTTTTCAACAATACGTTTTTAAAGTGGAAAAGTGGTACGTCATACTCTCTGTACCCCCCTCACACATCACAAAATTACGGATCCCCCACCTCCCTGAGTGTGACTTTATTTATGGACAACACTTAACAACCAAAGAAATACTGAACACAGAACAAACCAAGCAGAATTCAGGAGAAAGGGAAACAAAATGATAAATCAGATTTAAACATTTGTCTTTTTCTTTTTATGCATGTCATATGACAGGGTTTGCTGCTTTTTGATAATAGATAATTTTATATTTTTAAAAGTAACCAGTTCAGTGAATTATTCAAGTTTTACAACAACAACAAAAAAAAACAACCTTAACTGAAGTTACGTTTCAAACAGAAATTGAGCAAATTTAAAGTGATTGTGATTCAAGGCAAAAACCAACTTTTGTGTTCTGTCGACTTCTCTGCCCAACCATCTTCTTCAGAATCTTCTTCAATCTTTTGTTCTTTCTTGGCTGGGGGTTTGGGAACAGCACCTCCAAGCTTTGCTGCCAATTCTGAAGCAAAATCTACAGGTCCTCTTGGTGCCTGAATACAAGTCACAAAATTTGATTATGTCAGAATTTTGTTACAGAACTGGAGCTGGATCAATAAACTAATCCACATTTTTAAATTGGGCAAGTTGTTTTAAAAGCCAATCTAGGGTGCTTTTCATCTAAGAACTAGATTTCTTCTCAAAGAATATGCTACTAAAGCTGGAGTTATCTTTTTAATCTAATTACTGAGTATAAAAAATATAGCCAATTAGTCAGACTTACTTCTGGTTTATCTACCTGCTCCACTTCTTCATTCTCCTCGGAGCTGCTCTCCTCATCCTGGTCTCTACTTTTTGTCTTTTTGTCAACAAAAATATCTTCATCACTTTCACTTGTCTCCTCCTACAGACGTAAACAGTAACCTTTAAATTGATTTTAAATGTATTATGTGATTGTTCACAGAGTTGATAAACAATATTTACCTCAGAATCTGATTCAAATGTCTGTCTGGTTTTGGTTTGTTGTTTGTGAGTTGGTTTTCTTTCATCACCTGAACTTGCACTCGATGAATACTGAAAGTATGATTTTACAGAAATAAATACATTTTTTATTAAATAGTAGCTTTGATTACAGTGAGATTTATTTTCCAAATATTAATGTTTTGTTTACAAATCTAATACATGATCTTCAAATTACGTGAATTTAAATACATATATGTAATAAATAATTTTTAACAGTGTTTAATTTATAAGTTAAATTTTTTTTTAAATGTACGCATGTGTTACAAGTAATCAGATAAGAGAGAAAAGACTAAGAGAAAAGACCAGATAAGAGAGAAAAGACTAAGAGAAAAGACGTGCCTCGGTTTCTGATTCCTCCTCTTCCTCATCACTAGATTTCTCCTCTTCACTAACACTAATACTCCCATGGTCTGATTCAGCATCTTCATCTGTCACATTCAATACACAAGAGTTAATTGTCTCCAGTTTACTTAACCATACAAATCTAACATCATATTTTGTTAAAGTGTAAATTAACATTTAAAAACGTTAAATAATCAAGAAGAGATTTAAAAAACCTCAGATAAATAAAAGTGTAAATAATTTTTATTAAAAAAATTGTAATTTAATTATTCATTGGAAGGTAGATCACACCTGATATATCTTCTGTAAGCCCCACTGAATCATCTTCCATAAACTGAGGTGTACCAATTAAATATGGTAGCAGTCTATTAGCATATGGATCCTAGAGAGTCATAAAAGTTTTTCTTAAATTAATCATAGTGAAAATTGATGATCAGAGCATATTTTCAAAACTTAGCACCAATTTTAAATAAAGTCTAATATAATGTACCTCTGGCGCTAAACATTTTTGTGCCATACAAAAACAAACATGTAAAAAAAAACTTACTTTGGCCTCAAGGATAGGTTCAGCCTTATAGTTAGTGTCCTCCTCCTCTGAGTCAGAGTCAACACCAGCAGTCTCAAGTCTTTCAAAAGCTTGGTCAATCACATCCACGCCCAGCTTCAGTGCCGTAGAAACACGGGGGATCAGCTCGGATTCTCTCTCTTCTCTGCTCTTCTCCTAAAATACGCAATACAGAAATAACAATAAGAATTTTTTTTTTAAACTTGTTTTTTACTAAAAGAAATAAAAATATTTCCTTCTCTGAAAAAGTTAAAACAGTTGTAAAACTTCTGCATTAAATCTGTTGAGAAATATTAATCTTCAATAGCGCGAGGAGGAAACAAAGGTCTAATGCAGTAACACTAAGAATGATCATCTAAATTACCTCCTTTTCATTTTTCTTTTCCTCTTCTTTTGTTGGTTCTTGGCTGACATCTTCATCATAAACTCTCTAAAAAGTAGACAAATAACAAAGTATTAACTAGTCTTTTTTATTTAACTATATAAAACAAAACATGCTGGTTTTAAACCACATTTTAGATTACAGTACTATAAACAAGAAAAACTAAAACTTTTTAAAACATCACAAGAAATAAAACAGTGGTCAAAAAATAAATTATAATGAAAAAAAAAACAAGTTACATTCTTTGAAGTTAAAAGCTTTATAACATTATACATATATATAAGTTATGTTTATGTTCTACCCAGAGATATTAATAAAGGCAAATGAGAATGTTATTTATCATGACTTACATTTTCTACAAACTGTGTATTGGCCAACATGATAAAATCATTGATGACATTGTTTACTCGTACACCTGTCAGCTAAGGAAAGAAATAATTTTAAGTCTGTGAAATAAAACCTTAACACAGGACCATAAAGCCTGTAAATGTTAAACAGTTTCTGCAGTAAAAAAATAGGTTAAACATATTTTAACATCATATTTTGTTATTTAAACATTATAATATACTGTTTACCTTTGCTTCATGAACTAATCCATCCACATCTTTACCTATCTCATGTGTTCTAGATATCATTCTATGGGAAAATTCTTGTAAATATTGAAGTAGCTAAGAAAAAAAATAAGAAAAATTGTAAAGGAAACTATGTAAACTATAATTACAAAATTAACACGACCTTAAACTTAAATATCGGAACAAAGTTTTCACATTACTTGCACAACAAATTAACAGTTATCAATGCAAATGTACAGTGTATTTTTTTTTCAAAAGGGGGGATCAAAAACTTACACCAGCATCTCCTGCCAATGACCAGTTTCCTGCTTCTTTACGCATCTCTTGGACAGTCCAAGCTCTCTCCCACACCCTTGGTCCATTTTGTGAGGTTTCTCCGGCTGCCACCTGGTGGTTCAATGTTAAAAACTCACATATCACTTCATATTACTATACATTACTAAGACTTGAATGTCCTTGTCGAAGTTAATAGGAAGCAGATTTAATGACAATTTTCATAAAACAAGTTTTAACAAGTGATGATCAGCTAAATTGTTAAAAATTTATAGGGACTAATATTGCTTGTTAATAATATTGCATTAACATTTTTATTTACTGTCACAAAAATGAGGAAGTATTGAAACAAGAATGCTGTAGCAGATTGTATAATCAATGTATACGCTGCAAGCGATTTGGGTAAAATATGAAACGGGAAATGACAAAATGGTATCAATTTCTTTGTATTGTGTTAACCTTCTTAGTTAGCTATCATAGACTATAATAACTTGACTGCTATTTAAGATATGATGACAGAACAGAGCTGTGCACACTGGCCGGTGCTAGAGAATAAGGCAATATAAATATGCAGAAGTAGAATTAAATCCACACAAAAATGACAAGAAATAAATAAAATACAATTAAGGGGTATGTTGCAATTCTATAACTGTATACTGCCACCGCACATGATATTGATAATCCCCATGACACATCAATACTACACTATGGTGTGAGTGAAAATGTAGACCAGCGTTCCATTTATATAGTAGAATGTGATAAATATTTATTTAAAACCCTCCTCATCCCCTCTTTTTTTCACATTACTAGCTTCTGCAGATTTTATTTTACTGTCCTAAAACTAAACCAAGAATTTACTCAGTTACTAGATCTACTGACTAGTCATAGTCGGATTGAATTAGTCTGGTTGTTTTATTTCAGGTTCTAGATTCTAGATCTAGATATTTTTCTTTCATTGCAACTACTCCGATGTGAAATTGATTTGTAATTTAAAATGTTGTGCTTAAATTAAAGGCCGCATTTGCGCGGTTCGCTCCGCGTTACGCGTAAGGCCGCCTTTGCGCAGTTCGCTCCGCGTTATGCTTAATCTTTACCCTAGGTGACACGCGATCTAAAAAAAAAAAAAGATATCAGGTCTGCCCGATTTTTTTTCGTGGTAACAATTTAATGTTGACATAGATCTAGATCGAGTTTAAGTCTATTTAGATCTCTATATTATTTCAACACCTAAGAGTCTAGTACTTGTAAAAAAAACAGTACTGTGTAGTGTCAAGGAAAGTTTGTGAGGTCAGATGATAGTCCTAGATCTAGCACAAGCAGCAACCTAGCTAAATCAAACTGTCCTTTAACCTTTAGGCCTAGCTGTCTAGCATGCGTGATAGTAGATCTAAAGTCTAAGTCTATATTATTTATCCTACGTGAACTTAAAAAAAATCTATTTGCTTGAGGGGGAGGGGGGTGGGAGGAAGAGAGAAGAGAAGACAGACGATCTCGTGTGAACGTCTATGACGTATGTTTTAGGCCTGCTGAACTCAGTGACCTCGCCGACCGTGGGCCGTGGTGGGATTTTCCACTCACGGGATAGTCGTAAGGCAAGCAATCACGACAGTGACGATGGTTGGAAATTTTATTTAAAAAAAAAAAGAATCATAGTCTACGTCGTATTTTCAATATGAAAAAAAAAATGTAAAAAAAAAAAGTACCGGCGGAGTTAACCCCGGGTTCGAACTCTGAACTCCGAGCCTATGAACTTCAGCCTACAGCTGGCACACTGTTTACTCTACCACAGCGGATGTGATAGAGATGTCAAAAGTAAGCATTTTCAATTACAAGGTGGCAAATCAAACCTGCGAGACGCGTAGTATATTCTTTAGGGGCCACGCTTTGCGAGACGCGTAGTCACTTCGTAAATTAAAATAAAAAATTAATTAGTAATAATTAGGCCTAAATTAAAATAGGCCTACTAAAAAGTAAAATACTGCTAGCTAGAGTTAGACTAGAGATTTCAATCTACACTACTATGTTTAATATTATTATTGTTTAGGCTTAATGTTTACTATTCACTTCAGACTTTAGATTCACACAGACTACTCTTCAGATTCGTCAGATTGAGATTCTAATTTTAATTTTAATAATTTCAATAACTAGATCTGCTACTTTCTGTTCAATTACAGTTAGTAGGGCCCATAATTTATAAATTATAAGTGCAGCTAAATAATAAATAATCAAAATCATAAAATAAAAAATAATTGAATGTTAAGATTTAATTTAAAAATTAATAACAGAGGAGATAAAACTGACTTCTTCACTGGTACTTCCAGTGGGTGGTGCGGGGGCCGCCATCTTTATTATATGCTTGTCATGTGATCAAAACAACAACTTCCTCAACAATAACAACCTGTAGGCTAGTTTCGGATCACAAATAAACGGATAGTGTTGATGATAGATAGTGAATAGTCAGTCTAGTTTATCGGCCTACTGCTATGCGTGTTTTGAAAATCTCGAGGACTAGGAAAATGCGCTAGGCTATGTATTAGGGCATATATATAATCATCATATGATTATATTAATCGACATTTAACAACAAATCCCTCCCCCATACAAAAACTAGAATAAAACGGTAAAACGAGAATGCCATTAAAAAAAAAAGGATTTTCGTTTCGATTTAGATCTAGTACCTGGTGGGAAGAAGGAAATAAGACTAGTTTTAGTCGTTATTTTGCATTTTAATTTAAAAGTTGATCAGCGTAAATATCCGTAAGACTGGCAATTTTAGGGGGGAGGGGTGGTAATAGATAGGGTTGGGGTGTGATGTTATTTTAGTGCGTGGCTTTTCTATGAAGATGTGTGATGATGGGGAGAAATTGAGTTAAAGATAGTTTTTAAAAGCATAAGAATCATCCATAAATGACGTCACGCTTTTTTTGACGATTTTTACCTTCCCTCCTCCGTCACACGTCGTCACAAAAAGCCAGACTACCCGCTTAAAATGACGTCACACCTCAGCCTTCAACCCCACTCAAAATTGCTGTTAATTTTTTCTTAAAACATCTATATTTTTCCAAAATCTTGTCAGAACTCTGTCAACATAGAGTATTTTGATCAATTCCTATTGCAATTTATTAAAACCGTTTACTAAAACGCGAAATAACGGCTAAAACTCCCTTTCTAACATTGCTTTTTTATAATGCAAAAAAGTGACGTCACAGCATCTGACCCCCTCCCCCTCATCACACACCGTCACAAAATTACGGGCCCACCTCCCCCCTACCAGTGTGACGTCATTTATGGACGACCCCTAATTTCAATTTTGGATGACCCCTAACAGGAAAAAATATACTTACAAGAGTTACTACGTATGTAGGAAGTGCATGTGATGTTAGTATTGTTAGATTAGGGTTGAGGGAATGTGGTGTCCTGACCACTGTCTATCATAAACGTACAGTGATTAGCGCTCGCGTGTATATTTCAATGCTTTTAATGTTAAAAATATGAATTTCGTTCTAACTGGCCGGCCAGTTCGCGCAATAGCTGATCTCAGGATTTAGCCATATGGGGTCGTCCATAAATGACGTCACACTCGAAGGGGGGAGGGGGGTCCATAATTTTGTGACGGTGTGTGATGAGGGGGGGGGGGGTTCAGATGGTGCGACGTCACACTTTTGCATTATATAAAAGCAATGTGATAAAACGAATTTTAGACGTTACTTCGCGTTTTAGAAAACTGTTTTAATAAATTGTAATATGTATTGATTAAAATACTTCATTTTGATAGAGTTCAGACAAGATTTTGGTAAAAAATCGATGTTTAAAAAAAATTCAACTGCAATTTTGAGGGGGGGGGGGTGTTGGCTGAGGTGTGACGTCATTAGGGGGTGGGGTTCTGGCTTTTTGTGACGATGTGTGACGGGGGGAGGGGGGTAAAAATCGTCCAAAAAAGCGTGACGTCATTTATGGATGACCCCTAACGCATATTATGTTTGCTATATGATGGCCTCTACGAGATTACCCGTCGCGTGTTGCGTGATACTACACGCCAAAGTGACGCAACTTTAAGGGTTTCATCAACGTGTTAGCTTTACAATTTAAAAAAAAAATTCAATGTGTGACCAATTTTTCTAGAACGGAATTTTTAAAATATAAACAATATCAGCATCATCTATTTCTTGGTTCTTAGTTTTTTTTGTCTACTCTACCCTCAAGACGCCTCCGTGCGTGCTGTATGAAAACCTTGATTCTACATTAAACACGCTCCGTAGTATTAGTAGTATACTTATAGGTTTTGTATGATATTTCATATCTAGTAAAATTTAATTTTTAAATGTTTAATACATTTGCTGGTTTATACTTTGTGGGATTTTGAAATATTTCTTTAATCATCGCTTCCAATGGTGTAGATGTAGATACTACATTTTATTTAATACTAATACAGACAACTATCGGTTTACTTTATCTAATGTAGGCTATATGATTGATTTATGGTATTTATGTTTGTAATTGTTTTCATTTTTGATGCATTGATGTTTTACAATAACATTCAACTTCGGGGTTTTAGCCATTTAGTAAAGGGAGGTTATTGTCGTGTTTGTAAATCTAATTCTAGAGGCATACTTGTTTTTGTTCATCTCCATATCTAGGAAATTTAGTATTACTCATCAGTTTAAAAATAAAGCAAGTATTTTATATAAAAGACAATATTTTGATAACTAAAAATATGCAGACCATTCATAATGACAACTTAGATAAATACAAAACAATATTTTCTTTAATCAAAACGAACTCAAAAACTGGATGACCTATTTTCGAGTTTTGCATTCGTACTTCCGAGTACTTCGTAGATCTAGATTCAAGATCTAGATTCTAGATCTAGATCTAATTCTAATCTAGATCTAGTTACTACTGCTGTACTGGAGATCATCTTAAGTTGAGTCTAGATCTAGATCGCATAGATCTAGAGCTATAACTTTTCAGATAATAACCAATAGTTTATCTTTTCAAAGTTTCTGCTGATGATATCTGATTGATAAAATATTTAAAAATAAAATTAGAGAAATGGCAGGTAAGTTGTTTATTCATTCATTAGACATTAATCATTTCAGACAATAATTGGATTATTTTTACAAGCATTTATTTAACTTGTTTCCATGCACTGGCTTTCGTCCATGCTTGGTGCTTCTTCATGGGTTGAAAGGGGGTGTGGGGAAATTGCGAGACGCGAAAAGCGAAATGGCGAGGCGGGAAAATGCGAGAAGGGCGCGAAAACGGTCGGTCACGTGACTTTTTGTCTCGCATTTTACCACAACCAGATACTTACGCTGGGTGGTGTTGAAATGCGAAGATTTCTGCGAAAAATTTACCGCACCCGATTTTCAGTGGTATTTTGTCCAGACTTCAAAGACGTTTCGTTTACATTGTTAAAACTTCAGATTTTTCCATCGCTAGACATACTGATGATTTGTCAACTCCCCCATCTTTTGTGTCGACTTAGAATACCACCTTGTTCGAATCCTCCCGAAATACCGCAGACGATAGATCAACTTCTTTCTTTTGTGTGGAACACCGAGGCCGCCGGATTTACCGTCTTTGAAGATCACCGGATCCGCGTCAGCCGGAAACATATTTTCTATTGTTGCATAGAAATTTTGTATAAACATGAGCGGGCTAGATTTTTAAAATTAATGCAGACTGAGACGGGATTTTCCTCTCGCTAACGAGAGCGGGCGATGACAGTAGCACAGCAACGATGTTAAGATTTTTAAATAAATAGATCTAGATATAGATCTATCTATCTTCTTAGTATCTATCTATCTATATAATAAAATCTAGATGAAAAAAAACAACATACAACACTCGTGTTAAAGGGTATGGCTAAATGCTTGTTTATTTTAAAACAAAAAAAAATAATTTAAATGAATAAAGATGAAAAAGCATGAAATTTTTTTTTCGCAAAAAGTGTCTCGCTATTTTCCCTTAATTCCGCAGGTATGTCTTGCATTATCTTCTCGCATTTTCCCGCCTCGCCATTTCGCTTTTGCGTCTCGCAATCTCCCAACACCCGTTGAAAGGGGTGAGCAAATTAGACCACCTCTTACGGACTGATCTGTTTAAATTAATTAGGGCCTAAAGGCAAAAGGGCCTATAATATTATAAAAAATATATAGGCTACCCTAGGCTAATAATACTAACTATGCTATTTCCCAAGCTAATATACACACATAGTTTGTTTTCACTTGGTGCTAGCACAAGTGTTTTTAGAAATCAGCAGACCTTTGGCTTAAGTCATAGATCTAGTGAGAAAAATTGCTATTTGAGTTTTTGGTTTTGTCACTTTTAATTTTTTCCCAAACCTGGTAATTTGAAAAACTATCATTGTTAGTTCACATGCTTATAGACCTAGTACAGCCAAGCAAGGTTTGTAGTTAAGATAGGCCCTACTTGATTTACATTTTTAAAAAACATTAGAAGAGAGAAAAAAATTAAGTTTGTTTCCTTTTACACTAAAAAGTAACAATTGCTAGTATTTTGAAATTCTGGTGACTTAGGTGTTCAAAAAATGAAAGAAGTTGATTTATCAAAAGCCCTGATGCCTTTTACTTACTATCTTTACAATGATTATAAACATTTTTTACCTTTTGTCCACCTTTGGCCTTGTAATAAGACAAAATAGTTGGGCAGTCCTGTTCTATTTTCCAGTTTCCACAAATATTTCAAACAAAAACTTTATCTACTGAAAAGACTACACAATTTTTACAAAATAAATTTTCACAACATCCGCCCCCTGTTGTTACACATCATAAAATTACTGACAGTATGTGTGACATCTTTATGGAAAACCCCATATTACTCATTTTCTAATTATCTTCTTCTTCATTCATTTTGTTGAATGGGATCTCCTCCAACACAATAAAGTATTACATCTCAACAGTATTTGCCATGTGGCCTTTTGACTCCAATGTCAGCCTGCTCTTCTTTTTTGATTTGCTTCCATAACCTTTGTCCATCCAATAACATATACAAGGCCGCAGTTGTTTGATTTTGGAGCTTTCTCTGCTAGGTGGGTGGCTGTCCTCAGCTATTGAGCCCCATCTGCCCGGGGGCTAGAACTGGGGACTTTTGGTTTCACAACCATGATTTTTGCTGACTTGAACATATAGACATCTAATTGTTCTATTTAGTATCCGATGATTTTATCAACAAAGAATATTCATAAATATGATTAAAAGTTGGAGATTTTTGTTTGGTTGACCATAAATAATAAATGACATCACATACCTAGGGGTGGGGTGCTTCTAATTTTTTAAATATGCTGTACATGAGAACTAGAAGGGTGTCTTTGTGTCTTTCTAAATATAAAAATGCTGAAAACATGTTTATTTTCATCAGAATTGGGGTTATTTTTGAACTTGCATATTGGTCTTAGTTTAGTCCATAGTATGTGTCAAGATCTGTTTACAGGTTATGGTGTAGGCTAGATATTATAAAATCTAAGGGTTAAGACTTTCATCAAAAGTTAATTTTTGTTCGTATGATTTAATTAAAGCTCAATTAAAGAATAAATGCACTTGAAAATTTTCTAGGTAAAAAAAATTCATACTTGCGCCTACTACTTGTTCCCCATGTTGGTTGTTCATCTTAGCCATCTGATTTCTCTAACCCTAAAAAATAACTTGATACTGCAACCCCTTGAGGACACTGAAATCCTATGTTTATTTCTTAGATGTTGAAGAAACAAATACTCTGTCTGGGTCGAGTTCTTCCACATCCCAAGACTCAACACAACCAGCTGCGTTGTCTGTTGTCTCATCTCCAACTGCTTCAGCCACTATTCGGCACAGCCACCTGAGATTTCCTGTAAGAGTTGGAATTTCATGGGTGAAAGGAGAAAGACTTGAAGCTATGGACTTTTCTAGGACCTGGTATTAAACTCATTTAGTGTTGACGGTTTGGGTGATTGGGTAGCTACTGGTATCAATGTAGAAATATTAAAATAGAGCGTCCTTGTCCTATCATGTCCCATGACTTAATTTAAGTTGGGGAAATGCCTCAACATGACTGTGATGGTAAATAATCCTTAATCTACATCACATTTTTGCCTTAAAAATTTAGGACTAAAACTAAAATAATTTTAAAAGGTGTGAGCTATGGATTTGTAAAGCTAATTTAAAACGTGATCCTTGTATTGCATTTAAGATTTGGTTTAAAAAAGACCTCAAGATTTTATTAGGTTTTTAGGAATTTCACTATCAACATCCTGAACATTAAAACTTGAATGTGCCTTAATTGTTGTGTCCATTTCAGGTACCCTTCAAAAATAGTTGAAATAGACGAAGACCAAAAGCTTGTGCTGATACACTTTGAAGGATGGAACCAGAGGTATGACGAATGGGTGCCTATGGATAGTGACAAATTGCGACCAGTCACTCGTCATTCTGAGCGCAAGGACAAAAGTAACAGGAAACGTCGGATTCATCCACACCCTGTGAGTGATCTCGCCACCGTGAGTTACATTTATTCAATTTGAAAGTATTTGTCCAGGCTGTGCAGCATGTGCTGATGTTGGGTTTGTATTCTAGCATTGATAGATGTTTTTTTTTAAAATTATCATTTTGTGTAGTTTTTGTTAATTTATGTATTGAAGCTTATTTTTATTTATTTAGTTTTAAGCAAAAAAAAATACATGTTGTATAACTAATTGATAGGCACATGTTTTAAAATAAGTTATTGCAGTTAAGTCCATAAAATATGTACTTATCAACATTAGCATGCTAATACATAAGCTGTTTTGATAGCTTAGTCAGATTTTTTTGTTTAAAAATATTATAGTTTTTTTTCCTAAATATTTTTTTTCTGGACCTGTTTTTTCACTATTTCAGTTTATATCTATTAATTACTTTGTAGTATTTTTTAGCTTTCATTTCATTAGTGTTATTTTTTTTCTTCTAAATATTGATGAAAACACTTTTTTCTTTTACCCTCTATTTGTATTAATTGTTCTCTACATTTTACTTCCCTGTCTTTTACTTTTATAAACCTCTCTCCCAATATTTCTTTAATGGTCTAATTTTTTTCTGCTATTGAACCTGCAATATTCACAATGCTGTGTCAATCCAGGCAATGTTTTGTTTGCCACAGGAAGTAACTCTAAATTAAATTACCTGGTTGGGAGACTTCTATGTGAAAGGAGTGTTTAGTTTAATGAACTAGAAATTAACCAAATTTTGTATTGATATATTATATAATCGAGGTCATTGAAACAGATGAACTCTACTTCATATGCCTCATGTTTCTTGGGTATGAATGGGATAAAATGATATTATACTGTTTTTAAAAATTCAATTGCTGATTTGTTCGCTGATATAATTATGTACAAAATTTTTTTTTTTTTAGAAAAATGTTAGTTAAAGAAAATTGTCCTAAAATAATAGGCCTACTTAAGTTCACACTAATTTTTTAAGTTTTACAAAAATAAAATAGCTGCTGATTCTCTAAAAATACAAACCACGGTTAGCTAATTAATCTTAATTACTTTTGTTTTGAGACCCACGAACAATTTAAGTCTGACATTCTTCATGCAGTCTAACAGTTGTACTAAGCTGGTTAATCATATAACCTAAGTTATTTGTTCTTGTTGTTTCATGGCCTGTTTAAATTTTTTTAAATCCACTTTTCCTAATTCAGTGAGTCAGATTTGTAATACCTGTCCATTAACTAATCTAGTTTTATCTTATAACATTTTAAAAACTTTTTCATTCAATTTTATTTTTATTAAAAGCTTTTATTGTGACAAATCTTGTTACTCAATTTTAACCCACTTTTAATTCACCAATTTTGTTTAAACTTTTCATATACATTAATCTCTGTTGACAATTTAAAAATATCTCATTTTTTATTAGACATAGAATTAGTCATTAAAATGAAATTTTAAAAATGACTAATTTCAATAATAATAGGGGAAATAACAAGATTAAGTATCAGCGATTGATTGATCGACTAGCTTACTGTGGTAAACTGTTGGTCACTGCAAGTTGGCTTATAGAATAATAAGAGGCAGATAATGGTGTTAAAGAACACAAACTACTGATTGGGTTTTAAAGCTAATATTTTTCTGTCAACTTTATTAAAAATGAATAACTAAAAAGTATCGTGAAAAAACAAATAAAAAAACATTTACAATTATAACTTTTTCAATGTACTGAAAAAATAATAAATCAAACTTGCTTCCTGTAATATAAGCATTGGTCGCTCATGAAATCTCTTAAATATTTTAGCAACCAATGCATTTATTAAAGAAAGCCAGTTTAACTTATTATTTTAAAAAATTTCAGTGCATCAAATGTTTATTATTATAAAGTTTTTTTTTATATTTGCTTTATGATAATTTAATGTCACAAGCATGTTGGTATTACTCTCGACTCAAACATGTTTAAATGTTTTTACAGAAAATTGAATACTTGTTATAGTCATATTTAGAATGTGCTAGTGCTGGTTTGAGCAAAAGTTTGTGTTTAGCTCCCTTGATTAGTATTGTTATTACAGTAAAACTAAAAGTCAAGTACATTTTTACTTATTGGGTGTTGTTAAATATTTTCTGTTAGATTTATCGGGCCGGGGAGCTAGTGTTAGCCAAGTGGTCTGACTGTAAGAAATATCCAGCAAAAATTAGCAGACTAATGGAGGATGGTAAGTAATTTTAAAATGTTAACACTTATGTGAAATTTATTATCAAAAAATTTTTTTAAAAATGTTAACGACCTGTTTAGATATTAAAATTTCTTGTTATTTTGCTTTATTTGCTAAAAATATTTTGTATTTGCTACTCACATCTTTATAAAATAACGTACTTAATCTTTCTCTATTTACATAATCTCGTCTTAAGATATATTTTAAATGCATTTATATATTGTTGCCTTCCTTTTGAACAAGAAGTGATACATTCTTGTTTACTCACTAGGGTCAGCTATAGCCAATGATATTAAATATATGTTTGTACTTGTGTTCCAGGCTCGTATGAGGTCCACTTCTATGATGGGGTGTCTTGCAACATTCAGGCTATGAACATCCAGCCCATGCCAGAGGAGATGAAATCTATGGTAGTAACAAATACATTGTTGCCATACTTACACATGAGAAAACTATTTCTTTTTTTTATTTTTAATGTATTCAAGGTCTTTTGTTAAATGACATTTTTTTTACCCATGAATGGTGTAGTAAAAACATTAATAAGAAGTATAAAAAAAAACTTTCAAAATTTTCATTGCCTTAATAAAAAAATATTTTTACTATTGTCTAAAAAAATATTTTTACCATTGTCTAAATAAAAATTTGAAATGTTTGACAGAAGTTACTCTCCATGAAGTCGCCACCTTCTCTCAAGCCAAAACTTTCTTTTAAAAACATTAAAGTGACTTTACCAGGTTTGATTGTTGGAATTTCTAAATTTTTCTCTTTTTTTTTTTCTCTTAACTCATGCCTCTGATTTAGTTTGCTTCAGTAGTAATGGATAACTTGTGTCATTGATTGGGTATGCCTCAGTAGTTTTAGTAGTTTTCTTGTAAATACAGAATGATTATTCTCTCTGTCGCCTATGGTAACCTTGTGGTCTTTTTTGCTTATTGCAGAAAGCATCAAAAAGAAAGTAGAGGAAAGTAGAGAGAGAAACAAAATGATGGCGTCAACAAAAGCATTTTCATCGCAGAAGTGTTCACTGTCACCCAAGATGTACATTAAAAGGTATTTTTCTAACATACGACATGGATGTGATTTACATTAAAAGGTATTTTTCTAACATACAACATGGATGTGATTTACAAAAAGGTATATTTGACATAAGATCATAGTATTTTATTAAATGCAATGATAATACTAATTCTTATTTCTTTTACATTCATTATAATTAATACAGAAGTTTTGAGAATAGCTATTGTAAAAAACAAATGTAAAATAACTAAAGGATTTGAGACACAGTAGTGGATGTTTGTTGCTGGGGGTAAATGTCAAATGGTGTGTCTGTGTCAAAGTTTTAGAAACCTTGGCTTATATCAGCATAGTGTATCAACATGGACTAATGATATCAATTATATGAAGATGTTTCATTGATAAAAGTATTTAATTTTGATAGGGAGATAAAACCAAACAGGCTGCATCTCTCTCCACTCAAGATAAGAGCATTCAAAAAGTCACACACATCAGGGGAGGTAAGTGGAAATGGCTAGCTCTATTCACAGAATTTTCAAACTGGTAGCATATTTTAATTTCATTTCTTGTGCATGATTTTCAGAACATTTAGCTTTGAATTATTGTCATGAAAAATGATGGTATGTTATGTTTATTTGTCAGTAGTAGAGCAATCTCTTGAAGTAGCTTCGACCTTATAAAACTTTGTTTATTCATACTCCAGTCTGAAGCTTCCATGTCGCCAGTGATTGAAGCAGGCTGTAGCAAAACATTTTCACCATCTCCCGAGGTCATTGACACATCCTCAACCACTGCATCTCCTTCACTGCCTGATCAGCTGTCCACACCAGAGACCAGCCAAGAGAAGACAACTGAGGTGCTAAAGAAAAGTGTCATGGTTAAGGGCCCTGATGAGGACAGTGCACTGACTCAGACCATCACAGCAGCTGAGATTACCCAGGCTACAGACAGTGAACCAGTACACACTGCAGCTGTCATTAGTCAGGTCACAGAGCATGAACCAATACATCTAGCCATACCCAAACCTGTTGAAGGTAAGAAGATGGACTTATTTACACAAGAAAAATGCTGTTAACTTTCACTTTGAAAATATATTTTACATTAGTTATGGTAGGGGGAGGAATAGCTCATGGTTGCTAAGTGGAAAAGTCTTGAGTTCAAACCTCTGGGCAGATGAGGTTCATTAGCTGGGGACTATCACAGAGACAACTCCAAAATCAAATGTATGCTGCCTTGCAGATTGTTCTTGTAATAGACAAATATTCTGTTAGCAAATCCAAAAAGAAAAGCAGGCTGAAGTCAAGGGGTCATATAGTGCATAACATGTTGACTTGTAATACTTCATGTGTTGAGGGGAATCCCCGTCCATAATTAGCGTGTGACCATATCATGAAAGTTAAGTTATGAAAAAACTTAATTATGTTCTTTTTAATTTTCATCATCAGTTTTGAAGAGACCAGGTAGAAAAAGAAGGAAAAAGAAAAGTTTCCAGTGTCACATTATCAAAACTGATCACAGCAAGAATGAAACTCCCAAAATTCCCAAGCTGAAAATTACTCTACCAAGCAGTGCTATGGCGCAACCAAAGCTGGAACAGCCAAAGGTAGATGCCTCAGGTCAGTGCCCTCTGTTGTGTTTATCTGTGGCTGTGTAAGTTTCCTGTGTACACTAGCTGTGTACACAATCAGTTGTTGAAGATTTAAAGATAGTCTCACAACCACCAACTTACTTCAAATACAAGTCAGATTTTCACTGTTTAAGTACGATAGGTAATAGTGGACTGTAACTTTATTCATTAAAGTAGACCTTGATTACACCAGAAAATAATTGGAATTATTTATTCAGTCTAAAAAAAGGGGTAGATTATCATCAAACTTTGATTCTTAAATCAGAATATTCAATCAGATTTTTTAATCCACACATGTAATGTATTTTATCTTGATTTTTAGCAATATAAATATATTTGTTTGTGAACGTTAAATCAGATGCTATTACCAACTATCATGGTAAAAAAAATCCAGATGGTCCTTATAATGAGGTCTTGGAGTATTTAAATCTTTCTATTATCCACTGTCCCCAGCTATCCCTACATCAACCCAGCCCATACCTCTGGCTAAAATTGTCCCTGCCAAAGCCTTTGTTGTAGAGGTGGACCACAACCCCTTCAAGTGCCCCCATGAGGGCTGCAACAAGGCCTTCAGGAAGGAGAACCTACTGGCCTACCACATCAAGTACTACCACACGGACACAGAGTCTGTGCCCCACACACCTGGAGAGGCGGCCTCACCTCTGGTCCCCTCCCCTCACATACAATCCCCAAGCTCCGCCCCTGTGGTCAGACGAAGAAGAAAAAAGACCAATAGCGTTTGTAAGTATTAAGTTCTGTATACTGACCAAGTGTTTTAAGTATTAAGTTGTATGCTACCCAACAAAAATATGGCTTCCGCAACAACAGAATCATAAAGCTCAAGCAGTTTAAAATTATTTATTTTAAGAGTTTCAAAAGCCTGCATTTATTAATTATCATAATTTGTTGTCACTCCTACTGGAGTATGGGCAGCCAAACACAGGTCTTTGTCCCTGCTGGCTTTGAATGTTGGTGTTGTCGCCAGATTTCTGAGTGACCCTTGTCCACCTGCGTCATAAAAAACCTGTTTTCCTCATGTTTACCACTTGACAGAAAACAAAAGCCTTACCCTTAAAATCTACTTTACAGGTTCCACAGATTCTGATCTTTCCATCGGGTCTAAGGGGAAATCCTCCAGCAAACGGCAGCGCCACGATTCTGAGATTTCTGTCACCACAGCCAGTCCTGATCTTGTCAGCCGAGACTTGTGGGCAGGTTGGTCATAGATGTGGTCTAGTTAAAAAATATTTTGTTTAATATCTTCAACCGCAAAAACTACGAGAGACAACAGTTTAACATCTTAGAAACCATACTAGCAAAAAGCAACTACAGTACCTGATGTAGAAGATTCTAAACTACTGAAGATGATTTACAAGAATCTAAACTACAGTACATAATGTAGATGATGTAGAAGATTCTAAACTACAGTACATGATGTAGAAGAATCTAAACTACTGTAGATGATGTAGAAGATTCTAAACTACAGTACATGATGTAGAAGATTCTAAACTACAGTACATGCATGATGTAGAAGAATCTAAATTACAGTAGATGATGTACAAGATTCTAAAGATGTTCATTTATTTTCTTACAGATGTGAAGCCGCAACGTGTTTCACAAGACAGTTTGGTTGATGAGGTGGCAGGGGTGGAGACGGAGGAGGAAGAAATGGAGTCGGACATCGTCAACTGTGTTTGTGGCCTTAGAGAAACCAATGGTTTAATGATACAGGTGGGAAATAGATTGTTTAATGATACAGGTGGGAAATAGGTCATTTAATGATACAGGTGGGAAATAGGTCGTTTAATGATACAGGTGGTTTAATGATACAGGTGGGGAAAAGATGGTTTAATTATATAGGTGGGAAACAGGCTATTTTATGGTACAGGTGGGAAATAGGTCGTTGATTCAGGTGGGAAAAAGATGGTTTAATTATACAGGTGGGAAACAGGTGGTGTTGTGATACTGGTGGAAAATAGGAGGGTTAATGATACAGGTGGGAAATACATGGTTTAATTATTGAAGTGGGATATAGGGGGTCTCAATGATAACAGTGTGAAACAGGTGATTTAATGATACAGGTTAATGTCCTAATGAAACCAGTAACTTAGTAATTCTGGTGGGAAACTTTAGCTTTCATTGCAAGCTTGAAGCAGAAATACAAAACATATTAAATAGCATAGCAAAATAAATTGTTAACTTATGACATTATGCATGGTAAAAAAAAAAAGGCATCCAATAATGTTTGGATAATTTTTTATTACAACTTGTTTGATGTCGCATTAAAAAAATTGTCCTTTAATATCAGAAGCTTGCAGTAAAGCCAAAGTTACACTAGGTCAGATCTGTGCTTTGTTCTCTCCACAGTGTGACGTGTGCATGTGTTGGCAGCATTTTGCTTGTGTTGATAACAAAAACACCGGCGAACCCCCAGCAAACTATGTTTGTTTCATTTGTGAAAACACACCAGGTAACTGTTTTTACTAAACTTTGTACCAAATTTTGATGGTTAAGACTTGCTAGCTGCAGACAAATGAGCTGCTGATGTTTTCCTCCCTACCAGGGATCCGGGACAGCTGTAAATATATCCACGACATGGGCTGGGAGAAGAGAGGGGACCTGCCCACCTTTCCTTTCCTCACGGAGGCGCCCAGTGAGCACCTGAAGACCATTGCCTGTGAGTGTAATGACCTTTCGGGTACCTTACACAAGATCAAGGCAGCGTTACATTCTACAAGACGGCAAATCAAAATTTCAAAGTGAGTTTTTTAATAAAGACATTCTGTCCTATTTCTTTAGCATAGTTTTAAAAAAATCTACATGGTTTTAATTAAAAATGGAAGCAGGAAGAAGATGGTGGGACTATAGAGTGCCTACATAGGTTGTAGTTTAAATTCCTAGTGCTGATCTGTGGGATATCCTTGAGTCAACTCAGCTCTAGAGAGTACTTTACATGTGTTGGAAGTATAGGGGAAGATTGGGATTTTGTGGTGACTGCAAAATGCATTTGTTATTATAGCCAGGAGAATTGTTAATTTACTCTACTCCACCCGGACAGAGTGGTCTAGCGGTAGAGAGCTGGACTGCTAACCCGTAAGTCTTGAGTTCGAATCCGTTCGAATCCGGGTTCCAGTCAGTAGACCATCCCTGAGTCCACCCAGCTCTAATGGGTACCTAACTCAAGTTAGGGAAAGTAAAGGCGGCTGGGCATAGTGTTGACCATACTATCCATATTCATATCCCGGGTCACAGAAACAAGTGAAATCTACTTCACTTTCCCCATAGACCGTCAAGTTTGAAAGGGAACTTTACTTTTTACTACTACTCTACTCCACCTGGCCTGACCACTAATGAAGGTGTTGTTTACTTGCACAGGGAAGATGGGGACTCCGAGTTTCAGCTCTGGCAGACAGACTGGGACAACTGGACCAAGCCGGACGAAGACCTGGCCCTGACCCCAAGATCTGCTGACCCTGACCCTTCACCTACGCCCTCCACCTTCCTCTTCTCATCTGTCCCCACCTCCACCCCCACCATCACAACAACCAACTGCATGACCTTCCCACCCTTCTCTGCCACCGACCTGGTCGCGTCGCACCCTGCCACCACCACCTCCACCACTGTGTCTTCATCAAACATGCATTCCTACTCAACACTGACGACAACCATTGAGGTCTCCTCCACACTGCCCTCCCCTTCAATTATATCGCAAGCTTCAGAGCAGAATTCAACAGAAACTGTATGCTCTAGTTCCACGCCCCCTCCAGGGAGCTTGCGCTGCATCTCTAGCTCAGCCCCTGCCCCAACACTACCTCAGGCAAAGGCAGGTAACCTCAATCATCACACGTTTCCCGGCCCAAGTGGGGACTCCAACATGGCTGTCTCCGCAGCAGACAAACCTAACGGCAGGCAGGAAGGCGTTACAGCCAATGATTTGACACGTGTGGACCCAGGTAATACGAGGCAGCAGAGTTGGTCTGAAATCACAGAATCTCAGACGGATCCTAAAACGAACATTTCCGCATTGGGTTCAGATCCGCAAACCCCCAGGGCAAATGTCACAGATGGCACGCCATTGGTGGGCCCAGCTGTGGACAGGTCAACTTTACCTGGCTGTCTGGACAAACCAGCTGTACCTGAGTCTGTGGATAAGACGGATCACACTAATCCATTACCCATCGGCTCCCCGCTAGATGGAGATGCCGACGATAACTTTTCCAACCAGTCCAAAAACTTGAGTGAACTCTACATAGATGTGAATGGGGCCCAGTCTCATTCCGCTGGTTACAACGATGATCAAGATAACGATGTAAGCATATTTATTTCTCTTTTATATGATTTCTCATTACATAAACCATGCTTAAAATTTCAATTTGAATTCATTATCTTTGTGTTTTGTTAATTATTCGAACATGCATGAAAAATTAATCATATAACTACCTAATAAAAAAAACTTCAAATTCTTATTAATCCTTGTGTTTTGTAAATTAGGAACATTAATACAATTAAATCACAAATATTGCCTAATCCAAAAGATATTACATATTGTCCTATAAACATTTATGCTCAGTGAACTAGAAGCCCCAATATAAAAAAAAAGTTGATAAAGTGAAAAAATTGTCTGCAACCATGAGCAGTGGCTGATTCATTCAAACCCTAATCTGGTCATTAAGAAAATAATTCTCAATTTTAACCATCCTTTAAGGACTTAATTGCATAGGGGCTTAGCCCTATACCTTTAAAACAGGTAGCCCACATAGTCCATATCAGGGTGAAGAATCTCCTACCCATGTAGGATATGTTTCTTCCAGGCTTCTACTTCCTCTCCTGGTGCTATTGACCACCTAGTTTGGATTTATGGGTTGTTTGGGGGGGGGGGGGAGGGGAGGACACACAACGTATGGTCTCAAGCCCAGGATCTGAACTCAAGACTTTTTGATAACCAAGTGTGTTTTCCACTGTTAGAACGTGTGCCTCAAAAACTGTTGAGCCGCTACCTCTGAACATTTTATTCCATTCGTGTTTGAGTTTTGAGGTTTCTTTTTTAGACGGACACTGCTGAAGAGTCTGTGGACCCCTATAAGAACTGTGAACACAACCTCCTTGTACATGTGACCAAAGTTCACCACGACATTGAAAAACACTTGCAAATTCTGGAGCAACAGATCGTTGGTAAACATTGTTGTGTGGGGAGGCTTTGTTGGATGGGGAGGCTTTGTTGTGTGGGGAGGCTTTGTTGTGTGGGGAGGCTTTGTTGGGTGGGGAGGCTTTGTTGTGTGGGGAGGCTTTGTTGGGTGGGGAGGCTTTGTTGGGTGGGGAGGCTTTGTTGGGTGGGGAGGCTTTGTTGGGTGGAGACATGTTATTTGTTATTTAGACTTGCTTATGTCTAAACATTTCTCTAATTAAAAGTTAGTAATTAAAATTTTTCTTAAAAGTATATTTTCAAGCATTGAATGGTAAATACCAGATTGGCTGATCAGAAACGCAATAGTTTTATTTAAATTTATTTATGTAGATGCAGTAGAACTTCTGCCTATCATTGATGTAGAGCAGCAGTTTTTATATTATCCCAAGTAACCGCACGCACACTTTTATGTTCATGTTTTTTTTTTGCTACTGATCTTTCAGAATTGGAAAAGGCTGAGCATTGCAACCCTACGGTCCAATTGTCAGAGGAGAATATTTTAAACGATGTCCCAGCACTTAAGAAATCCCTGGGCAAGCTTGCTCGGAATGTCTACAAAGTACAGCGACTCTGCATACACAACTAATACTTACTCTTAATTTTAAAATATTAATGCGAGATAATTTAGAGACTAAAATATTGAAATTTTGTATTTTTAAATGATTTATTTTAATTTATATTTGATGTTTATTGTCTTGAAGATACACCAATTGAATATCGAAATATGTATCTGGCTGTGGTGGGTTAGTCTAAAATAATTTAGTTCGGTCATTTTTTTTATGTATTCAAATATATTTAGTTTTAGTTTTATATTATAAATTTGTTTTACATTAATTTGTGTTCCTTGCTGTGAAAAATTTAAATATTTTGTATACAAAATCTTATTATGATCTGTGAACTCTGATATTTATCTTGTTTTTTTCCTAGTTAATGTAAATGACATCACTTACAATGTTACTCAAAAGATACTTGTTGTTAACCGACTTGCCATGTATTCTGTTTTCATGTTTAAACAACATCTGTTTGAAAAGGTTTAATATTTATTTCTATGTCAATCTGTTGAGAAAACTCATCAGCAAAAAAAAAAATATGTACTGGAGATTTCTGATTAAATATATAGTTAATACATTTTTTTGTTGTTTCAAATAATTTGTGCTCTTGCTTTATGTATTGTTACTGTCAGTTTCAACCATTTCTACCTGTAATGGAGTGTATATCTTCTTGATGCTGCAGGTATGTTTCACAAGTACCTGATCACTGGTGCACCGACTGGCACTATAGCACATAGTTGGCATAGACTGACACTAGCACATAGTTGGCACAGACTGACACTAGCACATAGTTGGCACAGACTGACACTAGCACATAGTTGGCATAGACTGACACTATAGCACATAGTTGGCATAGACTGACACTAGCACATAGTTGGCACAGCACATAGTTGGCATAGACTGACACTATAGCACATAGTTGGCATAGACTGACACTATAGCACATAGTTGGCATAGACTGACACTATAGCACATAGTTGGCATAGACTGACACTAGCATAGTTGGCAAAGACTGACACTAGCACATAGTTGGCATAGACTGACACTAGCATAGTTGGCACAGCACATAGTTGGCATAGACTGACACTAGCATAGTTGGCAAAGACTGACACTAGCACATAGTTGGCACAGACTGACACTAGCACATAGTTGGCACAGACTGACACTAGCACATAGTTGGCATAGACTGACACTATAGCACATAGTTGGCATAGACTGACACTATAGCACATAGTTGGCATAGACTGACACTATAGCACATAGTTGGCATAGACTGACACTAGCATAGTTGGCACAGACTGACACTAACACATAGTTGGCATAGACTGACACTAGCACATAGTTGGCATAGACTGACACTAGCACATAGTTGGCATAGACTGACACTAGCACATAGTTGGCATAGACTGACACTAGCACATAGTTGGCACAGACTGACACTAGCACATAGTTGGCATAGACTGACACTAGCACATAGTTGGCATAGACTGACACTAACACATAGTTGGCATAGACTGACACTAGCACATAGTTGGCATAGACTGACACTAACACATAGTTGGCACAGACTGACACTAGCACCTAGTTGGCACAGACTGACACTAGCACCTAGTTGGCACAGACTGACACTAGCACATAGTTGGCATAGACTGACACTAGCACATAGTTGGCACAGACTGACACTAGCACATAGTTGGCATAGACTGACACTAGCACATAGTTGGCACAGACTGACACTAGCATAGTTGGCATAGACTGACACTAGCATAGTTGGCACAGCACATAGTTGGCATAGACTGACACTAGCATAGTTAGCAAAGACTGACACTAGCACATAGTTGGCATAGACTGACACTAGCATAGTTGGCACAGCACATAGTTGGCATAGACTGACACTAGCATAGTTGGCAAAGACTGACACTAGCACATAGTTGGCATAGACTGACACTAGCTCATAGTTGGCACAGCACATAGTTGGAATAGACTGACACTAGCATAGTTGGCACAGACTGACACTAGCACATAGTTGGCATAGACTGAGACTAGCACATAGTTGGCATAGACTGACACTAGCACATAGTTGGCATAGACTGACACTAACACATAGTTGGCATAGACTGACACTAGCACATAGTTGGCACAGACTGACACTAGCACATAGTTGGCACAGACTGACACTAGCACATAGTTGGCACAGACTGACACTAGCACATAGTTGGCACAGCACATAGTTGGCATAGACTGACACTAGCACATAGTTGGCATAGACTGACACTAGCATAGTTGGCACAGCACATAGTTGGCATAGACTGACACTAGCACATAGTTGGCATAGACTGACACTAGGTTACAGTTGGCACAGACTGACACTAGCACATAGTTGGCATAGACTGACACTAACACATAGTTGGCATAGACTGACACTAGCACATAGTTGGCATAGACTGACACTAGCACATAGTTGGCATAGACTGACACTAGCACATAGTTGGCATAGACTGACACTAGCACATAGTTGGCACAGACTGACAATAACACACAGTTGGCACAGACTGACACTAGCACATAGTTGGCACAGCACATAGTTGGCATAGACTGACACTAGCACATAGTTGGCATAGACTGACACTAGCACAAAGTTGGCATAGACTGACACTAGCAGATAGTTGGCACAGACTGACACTAGCACATAGTTGGCACAGACTGACACTAGCATAGTTGGCACAGCACATAGTTGGCATAGACTGACACTAGCACATAGTTGGCATAGACTGACACTAGCACATAGTTGGCACAGACTGACACTAGCACATAGTTGGCATAGACTGACACTAGCACATAGTTGGCACAGCACATAGTTGGCATAGACTGACACTAGCACATAGTTGGCACAGACTGACACTAGCACATAGTTGGCATAGACTGACACTAGCACATAGTTGGCATAGACTGACACTAACACATAGTTGGCATAGACTGACACTAACACATAGTTGGCACAGCACATAGTTGGCATAGACTGACACTAGCACATAGTTGGCATAGACTGACACTAACACATAGTTGGCATAGACTGACACTAGCACATAGTTGGCATAGACTGACACTAGCACATAGTTGGCACAGACTGACACTAGCACATAGTTGGCATAGACTGACACTAGCACATAGTTGGCATAGACTGACACTAGCACATAGTTGGCATAGACTGACACTAGCACATAGTTGGCATAGACTGACACTAGCACATAGTTGGCATAGACTGACACTAGCACATAGTTGGCATAGACTGACACTAGCACATAGTTGGCATAGACTGACACTAACACATAGTTGGCACAGACTGACACTAGCACATAGTTGGCATAGACTGACACTAACACATAGTTGGCATAGACTGACACTAACACATAGTTGGCACAGCACATAGTTGGCACAGACTGACACTAGCACATAGTTGGCATAGACTGACACTAGCACATAGTTGGCATAGACTGACACTAACACATAGTTGGCACAGCACATAGTTGGCACAGACTGACACTAGCACATAGTTGGCATAGACTGACACTAGCACATAGTTGGCACAGCACATAGTTGGCATAGACTGACACTAGCACATAGTTGGCACAGACTGACACTAGCACATAGTTGGCACAGCACATAGTTGGCACAGACTGACACTAGCACATAGTTGGCACAGACTGACACTAGCACATAGTTGGCACAGACTGACACTAGCACATAGTTGGCACAGACTGACACTAGCACATAGTTGGCATAGACTGACACTAGCACATAGTTGGCATAGACTGACACTAGCACATAGTTGGCACAGACACTATAGCACATAGTTGGCACAGACTGACACTAGCATAGTTGGCATAGACTGACACTAGCATAGTTGGCACAGCACATAGTTGGCATAGACTGACACTAGCACATAGTTGGCATAGACTGACACTAGCACATAGTTGGCACAGACTGACACTAGCACATAGTTGGCATAGACTGACACTAGCATAGTTGGCACAGCACATAGTTGGCACAGACTGACACTAGCACATAGTTGGCATAGACTGACACTAGCACATAGTTGGCATAGACTGACACTAGCACATAGTTGGCATAGACTGACACTAGCACATAGTTGGCATAGACTGACACTAGCATAGTTGGCACAGCACATAGTTGGCACAGACTGACACTCGCACATAGTTGGCATAGACTGACACTAGCACATAGTTGGCATAGACTGACACTAGCACATAGTTGGCATAGACTGACACTAGCACATAGTTGGCACAGACTGACACTAACACATAGTTGGCACAGCACATAGTTGACACAGCACATAGTTGGCACAGCACATAGTTGGCACAGACTGACACTAGCACATAGTTGGCATAGACTGACACTAGCACATAGTTGGCACAGCACATAGTTGGCACAGCACATAGTTGGCACAACTTATTCTGCACTTGTTAACTGAAGTGCCATTGTTCATGTGGAAAATATGAACTTAACTTGTTAATTTGATGTTGTCTATGCTTGGCTTTTTACTAAATTCAGAAACAATAAGATAACCATCCTGTCTATTGGAAAAATATAATTTTTGTTTCTCATTTCACAATTTGCTTCACATTTTTTTTATGTGCACCATTCACAAGTTAAACCCTTAATTATAAAATACCTGGGTACAATTGTGCTGGATGAGAAAAATAGAAATATTTATATGGCTATATTTTGCAATTCCAAATTTTATTTATTGAACAAAGGAATATTAAAAATACAAAAAAAAATGATGCAAATAATGGCATGTTTTATTTTATTTTTACAAGTATTTATGAATATCACAGAGAAATATTTTTTTTTAAGTACATATAGTTTGAAAGGACATGTGAATTTTAAATTTTAAACATTTTAAATTTTGTGACTTCTATTTTCTCCTAAAATTTTCTTGATATAATGATAAAGAAAATAAAGTTGGATTAAAAATAAATGTGAAAAAAATAAATAAAAACATAGCAACAATATGCATAATTATCAACTAAATGGAGTAATGTTGACATGTATAAACAATTTTCAAAATGACATTGAACTCTTTTTTTAATTTTTATTTTGATGTTATATTTCTTACAAGCTAAAAAGGTTTTACTATTTGTTTATAAAAACAGTGATCAACACTTCACACCACAAGGTAATTGAACCTTGAAATAATATGCTCAAATAGATAAAATGTCATCTTCAATGTCATCATCAAACTCAAAATCAAAATTACTGGACAAGAAATCTTGTCTGTTTTCATACTGGAGTTCCTCTTCTTGGTACTGGACAACACTGCGTCTGCTGTTACTATTCTCTTCACCACTGTTGTTATTTATTTCTTCGGTGCGATGATTCCTTCTAGCTGAGTCTGTTTTTTTTAGAAGGAAGAATGTAAAATATTATGTTTAGACAATATCAAGAAATAAAAAGTTATTTTGTATCGCAATACATTATTTTGGTTAAACCCATATGAAGAGGTTTAAATATATCTAAGATAAATTTAAAATATTATTTTTTTAATGTTGTAATGTCTACCTCTATGTCTTATAGTGTATTCAATAATTCTAAAAGAACTCTAAATTTTATGAATATGGCTTTCTTGAGCAATAACATCAATTTTGTATTATTATGAAGGCCATTCAAGTAGAATTTTTTGTGAATTTATTCCAAATGCTTGATCATAAATGTCAAAGCATTGATAGTTTCAAATTGAAAACAACTTCACAGCTAGATCCTATCTAAGACAACATTTCATGCAAAAAGAAAAAAATGAATATTCTAAGTGAAAAGAGCTACTAAAATGAGGTGATGGTTCTGATTCCAGTATCAGCTTGCTGGTTACCAATCAAATAAAAATGACATCCTGGTGAGGTATGAAAAGTGAGAGAGTATGTGAAGTTCAACTTGTCGCATATTATGTCATTGCTAGTAACATAACATAAAAATCCATGCAAAAATCTAGTGAACTTTTTAAAGTGAGGCATAGAAATGTGTTGATTCCCAGATCATTTACCCATATTGGTGCTAGCCATCAGCAAAGAATCCTTGTTTTTAAATGGTTTGAACAGCAAAGATTAGAAATTTTTAGTCAGTAAAATAGCTCAATATAGTAATACAGCATAGCATACACACAGTGGATTGTTATTTTTAGTATAGTTGTTTGCAAAAAAAATTTCATCTGTGAAAATTGCTAATAGTGTTTTTAAATTATATCCTTTACTTAATCATAATTTTATTATTAGACCTATTGCTGCTCTGAAACGGATGCTGAAAGGTAAACATTTAGGCCAATAAAAATAAGTTTAAATTCTTAAAAAGAACATGCATGTAAGATAAGTCTATTGAAAGAGGTGATCAAGTAAAGATTCTTATTGAATTGTTGTTTTCTAGCTGTCGTATCATTCACATATCAAGAAGATTTTAAAAAACTAATTACTATTTCTTTACTACTTTGCATTCGCTAAAGAATAAAATATATTTAAAGATAAAAGAGAATTTGAAGCAACTTCTCTGCCATAGCGTTTCATTGGATCTGAGAAACCACAAAGGCACAAACAATGCATTTTTTTCAAATCATTTTATAGGTTACAAAAATTATTTTAGTTTTAGATAGAAAAAATAATGGTATGTGTATGGCAAAAAGTACATTTTATTTATAAAATAAAACATATTTTGATGGTAAGATTAGAAAAAAAGAATTCTACCTTAAGCTGTTGGTTTGTTCGTTTCAAAAATTGAATTTCTTCTGTATGTTTCTTTTCCTCAACTTGTCTCTGTTCTTGTGCACGTTTCTCTATCTGCTCACACTTTGCTTTTAGTTCATTCACTTGTCTTTCCAAGTCTCGTTTCTCACTCTCTAGCTCTGAGATCTGCAATATCATTTTTTTAAAAGTCCATAAACCAGTTCAGCAATTCTGTTTTTTAACAAGGTTTACTAGCAAGATATTAGAATGTTACATTTTGAAAGGTGGAGGGGGGAGGTGGAGCATGGTGTCTACTGTGTATTAACATTTGTTGATAAAATTTAGTATCTCTTTATTGGTGGGAGTTGTTTGTTTGTTTGTTTGTTTGTTTGAGGTCTCTAGCACTGACTGAAGCATGAGGATACAATTTACACAATGGTTTGTGAAGGAAAAGTATCAATTTTTCATTTTAAAAAATGTATCTGCCCTTAGCAAATTTCTATTAACTGTTGGTATTTGTAGATCAGTTTAAAATATTTTCCCATTTAATATTTAAATTTATAAAATTATCAGTGCTGGGATCATCCTCAAATATCACACTTTTTTCCATGATGTATACATCCACCATTGCCACAAACCATTAAAAAAAATCAGACATCATTGCAATCTTTGTTTTGAATCTGCAATTCATTTTTAAAATATCAACTGAGCTATGTCTACATTAGGTACATTAATGGATTTTTTTTTATTACAACTTACAAAAATGTTAAATTTGCTAATAAACTGCTGCACAATTTCTGTTATAAATTTTTTTTTAAAATGGCAAAGGTGTGTTGTCACAATTTCTGAATACCCCTCCCTTCGTTACAAACCACCATAAAAGTTTGAACCCCTTTTAATAAGTTGTGTTAAGAAAAAGCTGGAAATTTTTCATTATATCAGAGAGTAGTGATTATAAAGCCAAACACATCTAAAACATGTAAGCGTACCCTCTTCTCCATGTCAGCCTTGCCCTGCTCAGCTTGCAGAGCTTTTCGCATACCAAAAGCAACACTACTTTCATAAAGGGTTTGGTAGGCTGCTATAGTCATTCTAATTTCATCTCGAACTCTCAAAAGGAGAAGACCTCTCTCAGCACAGTTAATTGTAACTTGGCGGATGAGTTCATCTGATGAACAAATATAATATTAGAGATATTCGTTGCCAACTGAACTGGAAAAAGAGGGTTGTATGGTAAAGCAGTAAAGTACATGATTACAATTCCCAAAGGCTAATTACAATGAATTGATTCGTCAGTAAAATGACCCCAAGCCTTTTAAGAAAGGGAATGTCACTGTTTTTAAAGGGTATAGTAAATATGATGTTCACCAGAGCTTAAAATAAGTATTACTCTTTAAGTCAACATTCTGGTTTTTAAATAGTTTCCAGAATTTCATTCTAGTTAAGATTGTAGTATACATTATATTAATTAGAAATAAACCTTTAAAACTGAAAAATATGTTGTTAAAATTGATGTGCCATAAATTGTTAGGACCCCCCCCCCCCTACACCCACACCTACTCAGGAATATGATGTTAATTTAGGAAGGCCCCTGTTTTAGAATCCTTAAATGAGGCATTGAAAAAGCATCTGACTGAGAGAATCTCCAATTAATCTTGCACTATTTTAATTTGACAACATAGAATAGGCCAGACCTACCAAAACACTGTGAATACAGCTCTCGCCTTACTGGACAAATCCCAGTTTCTCTAGCTTGTCTCTGCTGTAGCCTTCTATCTAGCTCCTCTTGAAGGTTTACAACATCTAATCTGGTCGCTGGAGTGCTGGACACTTGTTGTACCCACAGCTGACCACTTTCTGTCCATTCTCTAAATACAAGTTTTTTGTTTTTTAATTTTAAAATGATTTTGAAGAATTCTTCTTTTAAATTAAAAGCATCCTGTAAGCTTTTTAACAGAAGATATATTTATTAGATATATGTAAAATTCTGTAACAAAATGTTCTGTAAAAACATTAAAAGATTTTAAAATATCTGCATGGAAAAAAAATCATTAAAATAAAATTTGATTATATTCAAGATGTTATTCAGCAATAACAATGTAACAAGTTTTTAATTTGCCTTGGTTATTTCCCATTGAATAATGATTTATACTTGCTCTATACTTCACCATACTCTTACCTACTTAATCCCTACTTTTTTAATAGTAAAATTGAAAGTATAAAAATGCTGGAAAAAAGCAGCTAAGCTAATATATAATGAAATTAATTTTTAAACAACTCTGATAGTTACCTAGGTGGCAGGATTGAATTTAAAATTTCATCAGTCTGTTGGGCGGCTTTGGAGTCCATTGCACCTCCTTTGCTGTGTTTGGGAGGTGCTGGAACAGGCCCAGTTGCTGAGGGTGGTGTTGGGCTGGCCTTCAGAGCTTTAGCCTACAGAAAACATATTATTTGTTATTCAGTATACTTGGATAGTTTCAAGTGATTAAATTACATTAGCAGTTATACTGTTATATGCATGTAATAGTTAAGTGTGTGTATCATGATTGTAAGTAAGTAAGCTGTACCTACTAAAATAACAAACTAGCGTAGTGTAGTGTGCAGTAGTCTAATAAAATTCTTAAGGTTGGGAGTTCAGACTTTAGATAATAGTATAATAATAGGAGCAGGACTAATGAATCACTAATGGCTGTGTAATTGTTACATAAATACATGAAGTATTTAGCAAATAATGTATACTGCATAAGGTTCTACTTTTGTTTTTACTTCAAAATCATTGAGTTGTGAATACTGCAGTCTACACTCTACAGCCTACAGATTTTCAGAAGTGTTGTTGTAGCCTACTTACTTATATCTATACAATAATATAATATATATAAATACAATACTTTAAACTTAGTTGGATGTATAATTATAATAGTTAATACTTTAATACAACTTAATACGAATAGTGGTAGATTCTAGATTTCTAGAACTGTTACTAACAGTGTTAGTGTTAACTAGTCACTAGACTGACTAGAGTTGACTATAGACTGTTAGACTTTCAATTCGAAATCTTATTCTTACCCTTGGTGTTTTTTTGTCAGTATTTCTGCTGACCAATACTGGATTGTCATATTTCACGAGAGATGCGTTCGGTGGAATCATTTTTGTTTATTTGTTGAATTTTTCGCTCACACTAAAAACAAAGCAGCTGTCGTTGCTCTACTATCTACACAAGATCCACATTCGTTGCTAGGCAATTCCAAACATACAAATGTACAACTGGCTTTTCAATAATTACAGTTCAAATATTTATAATAATTCACATGCATATCGACGATTTTTATATTTTGATTTTTAAATACTTATAATTATAATGTCAAAGCACTAATCATTGATTACAAAATTGAAAATATATTTAAGCACTTTATTTATTTTATGACATTCATTATAATTTGATTAAGTATTTTATTTTCAAAATGGCGCAGCAGATGTCTGTCGAAGGTAACGATCTATAACAAAATAAATATCCTCTACATTACCATAGTCGCTTCTTTATAATAAATTAACCTTTGACTTTATAATTTATACAAGAAAAAATAATTGTATTTAGAAAATAAGTATATACGGTGATAGAACTAAAGTTACTAACCGAAATATAACTCCTACCTGTTATCGATAACTGCTGATTCAACTTACTACGATTTACAACTTAGAATGATCTAGCAAACCAACTTAATTCTATTAGCATAAATTTAAAAAAATTAATTGGAAGCTAAGAATTCTGAAGAGATTTTAACAAGAACGAAAATATTTGTATGAACTAGATCTAGATTTGGCAAACGGAATCTAGATAGCTAGAATAGATACTTCTATGAATCTATGAGTTTCAGAGTACAGACGGGGTGGGGATAAAATGCAAAACACGAAAAGCAAAAATAGTAAGGCGAGTAAAGGCTACTATACTAACTATAGAAGGGAATGGCAAGGAGAAAATTCTGAAAATGAGTGACATAGCCAGTGGAATAATTAATAGGCTTAAATAGCCTGACAAAATTTGCAAGATATTTTTGGTTATATGTTTTTGGGTTATGCTTGTTAATGTTATTGGAATATTTGTGAGATAAGGTATTTTTTTTTAGTGTTTCTTCTTTTTTAGAGTGCTCAAGGGAGGGAAAGGGGGGGGGCAACACAACAACTGCTCTTGTTCTTTTTTCAATGAGAGAAAAAGTGCAGCACAATCTAATTGCAATCCTAGTTTAACTAAGTGCTTAATAAGTAAATATGCCTAGTAATGTCAGGCCCAACCCTCTGCTTTAAGGACATTCCATTGTTGCATCATCATCAGTCACTTGTATAACACATACTCTAGAGAACTTGGGTAAGGGATAGGGCTAGCAGAGTGATTAGCTAGCAAGTTAAAGTAGTTTTAACAACCTGTATGCCAACACCCATTTTTTAAGATTTATTAGATTAGTTCTCTAATTCATTCAGTGTATTAGTGATATGCCTTCAGTACAGGTATTTTCTACTTTTTTCAAGCATTTATTTAACTTGCGTCCTCTGTCTGTCATTCTACATCAAAACGCTCGAGCGAAATTTCAGGCACTTCAAACTGACAGATTCGGTTCAAAGTTGTCACTTTGGTCAAGACATAAAGACAATGCTATCTGACATTAAATTTGACTTAATTGGATGGCTAATTAATTTTTTATGAATTAATAGTCACATTAGTAGTAAAGGTATCCAATAGATCAGGGGTCTCCAAACTACGGCCCGCGGGCCAGATGCGGCCCGCGAGGTCCTATCATCCGGCCCGCGGAGATCTTTTTGTCCACGGAAAAAACGTTTGTTGGTGATGGCTGAGGAACTTTGCCCAGAAAAATCAAAGACAAGCCTGGAAGAAACTGGCCCCCCGAACTGAAATTTGATAGTTAATGCGGCCCTCGGACTGAAAAGTTTGGAGACCCCTGCAATAGATAATAAAGTGACTCACGCTTGTCTTTATAGTTATTTATAGTAGGCTTTTTATTAATACGTTTTTTATGAATTTTTTTTTCTACCTTGGCCTTACGGAGTTACTTTATTAATATTCATAAAAGTTATAAATTAGCAATGTGCCGGCAAGGTTGAGTCGTCAAAGCTTATGGTTGCTAAACAAAAAAGTCCTGAGTTAGAACCCTTGGGCAGATGAGGCTCGATCGCTGTGGAAAGCAACTCTTTATAGGAGAGACAACTCCAAAATCAAACAACTGCTGCCTTGTAGTTTGTTCTTGGTTGGACAAATGCTATGGAAGCAAATCTGAAATGAAAAGCATGCTGAAATCAGAATCAACAGCCTAAATGGTGCATAATAAGTTGACATGTACACTTAATTGTGTTGGGGGGAATCCCTTGCAACACTAAAATTAAGAACAATTGGCATTTTGTTATCCAGCAGAACAGAATTTACATTTGACCGGAAGAGTGCAAGCTCCGCTTATTGGTTTTGATTTGAGTTTTATCAGGTCATGACTTTGATGAATGAACACACTACTAGCCTTGCTAGATATCATGATTATTTCAATGCATGATAATTATTAATTTATTTATTATATTCATCTTAAACATGGTTTAGACAAATTTTTTGTTTGTTTACAGAAGCACGAACAATTTTAAAGAAGTTCAGAGATGAACAAACTAGAGATTCTGATCTGGTTGTAAACATCTGGGATACAGTCATAATGGATTCATGTGCAAAACTTGGAGATGAGGGTAAAAAAATTTTTTTACATTTAATGTGACAAGTAACACAATAAATTTAACTGGAACTGCATATTTTTATTTTACAAACGTTTATGTTTAGTAATTCTGTTCTCATTGAATGGTTAATCTTGTTTTAGTCTGGTTGGTGTATGAGCAAGTTTGTGCAGCGTCTCTTGACTGTCAGCGTTATGACATTGCTGAGGTAATACTTCACCACTGGGAATCTATTCTTAGATCAACGTAGATCATTTTTTTATTACATGGGTTTTAATGGGCTCATATAGTAATTTATCTACTTCTTCAAAATAACAAAATATTTTATTAAGTAAAATAATTTGTGTATAATCTATTCCACAAGTTGTCAGAGATTGTGTTGTAATTTTCATGCTTTGTTAGCTATTATAATACACCATGATGATAAATAGTGTAGGTTCTTGTATTAATTAATCTATAAGAATTAAGAAATCAACAAAATACAATTGTAAAACTGTATTTTTCAGCAATGTATACAACAACTGAATGAAAAATTTCCAAATAGCATCAGAGTAGCAAGGTTACAGGGAATGCTTCATGAAGCTAGAGAGGAGTAGGTTGTCTCATCTTGATACCTTGCTTTTTAAAAAAAAAAAATTTAAAATCATATGTAGGGCTACAACTACAAATAGCAACTTATGTAGTATGTGAAGAAGTTAAATTTACTTTGGGTTGTACTTTCATCCATCAATATATTCTATTTTTTAGGTACTCAGAAGCAGAGGACGAGTATAAAAGTATTCTTGAGAAAGATGAAACTAATATGGTAAATATAATACTAGTTAAAACAGGTTATGTTTGCTTGAGTTTAGCTTCTGTAGTTGAATGTAATTGCATGTATTGTAATAATATTATTTGCTTTTTTAGTATGCAAGAAAAAGACAAGTTGCTATTTTGAAAGCAAGACAAAAGATTTCAGAAGCTATTCAAAAGTTGAATGAATATTTGAAAAGGTATCTGTCCAATAGAAAAAAAATGTTTAAAAGTGTAGTGGCTTGAATGAATTTTTGACATTACCAGGCCCTAGTACAAGAGACAATGAGCCTTGTCTAAAATATCAGGGTGAACTTCGTATTTATTTAGTCAACAATTTTTTTTCTTCCAAATATTCACATATTAAACTGTCATTTATTTTGGTATAAGTATCAATTTAAAATTTAATTTACATGACTTTTTATTTTGAGTTAAGGTGGAGGGTTATTCAGTAAGTCACCTACGAGTTAATTGAAATACTCTTTTTTTTTTTTAAAGTTTTATGACAGACTATGAAGCATGGAATGAGCTGTGTGATTTGTATCTCTCACAACATGATTACAATAATGCAGCTTTTTGTCTTGAGGAATTGATAATGTCCAACCCTCACAATCATCTTTTTCATCAGAAGTATGCAGAGGTAGAGTGAAAATACATCTTATCACACTAAACAGAATTAACCATTAAATGAAATTAGAGTATTTTATCAAACCTTCCGCTACCCAAGCTGTTACTTGAATTACTGACCACATGCATAATTTTTGTTGTTGAAGATTCGCTACACACAAGGTGGCAATGAAAACATGGAACTTGCCAGGACATACTTTTCTCAAGCTGTTAAATTAAACCCGAATAATCTCAGGGCCTTGAATGGCCTTCTTTTGGTAAGTTGATTCATAAATCTTAAACTTCTATAAGCCTGTACTTCTTCTAATTAGCTATAAATTTTATTACCAAAATGTTCAAATTGATATGGGATCTAGATGATTTTTATTGAACTTGTGCTGTTATTTTAGTCTGCCTCATATCTGGCTGTCAGCTCGGGTAAAGGAGCAAAAGACAAACAAGTGAATTTAAAGTATGCCACATGGGCCAAAGAACAAATCCAAACCAAATATGAGGTGAAATTGACATTGAAAATTTTCTTTTTATCAAAGCTCTATTTTAAAAGGCTACAATTAATTAAATTTAAAGTAGGCATATATCTATTTAATGTTAATTTATTTTGTAAAGATTTAAAACTAGCTGCTTATATTACACTGCAAAAATTAAATGATCTATCTATCTGCAGAAACAGCAAGCAGAGTCCCAATTTAAAGAAACCAAAGTCACAGACTGTATGGAGAAACTTTTAGAATCATTACAATCCAACTGATCATATTAGATTGACAAGCTGAAAGTGCAATGATAGTTGTGAATGGAGTCATGAGTCTGCAATAATTTTGCATTTTTTCCTGTGATTTATTTAAACAGATTAGAAGGTATCTAAAACAAATAAAGGATTTCCAGTTGACAAGTGCAGTGGTAATACAGGTGCAGGATTTTATTGAATCTAAAAAAATAAATTGGTACTGAACTAACTGCCTACTGACACACGTCATTGCATTTACTTCTGTGCAGTTTGTGTTCTAAGAAGTCCGCTTTATCGGTAGGGTTAATGGGAACGTACATTTCATTGCAATTTTATTTCATAGCATTAAATTATCTGTATATTTTTTTTAGAATGTTCTAAAAGTCAGTCATTATGAACTACCTTATTACATTTTTCTTAAACTTAAGGTAAAACAACCTTCACACAAAACCGCCTGCACATTTTTCCTGTCCATTTCATTGTTTTAAGTGTAAAATATCTGTACCCCTATCGATAAACAGAAATTGTTTTTGTATAAGTTTAGAGCCCTGCTCAGGGTTTTGAAAGAAGCAGAATGAAACCATGTATATATTTTACACACAATTAAAAAGAAACCAATGTTCTTCTATTCTGTTTTTTACTTCAGTTAATAGTGGCCCAGAGTGGGAAATTAAAGCACACAAATGGACATAAGGTGAATTAAAACAGACCTGCAGATGGGGTCAGTTAAACAAGGAGTAAAGAGTAATTGTTCAGTGAAAACTGTTAAACAGCTATTTTAACATGTGTAAATTTTTTATTGGCAACAAATGTAACAAAATATAACAATCACTTCATTACTAGAACATTATTTGGTACACCATAAATCCTGCATCAATTAACTTACTATGTTTAAATTTAAACATGCAAATTAAAAAAAAAAAAAACAGACCTAATATCAGACCCATTTGAAAGAGTTAAATCCTTATATCAGGAAATAACCAAAATTTAAACAATGTGGTCTTTGCACTTGAGATTAAAATGCCAAATTGACAACACTAAGCTATGATAAACAACCTTTCAGAGTTCAAATTTGTATAATGCATGGAATCAGTTTTTAACACAAAACTATCAGTTTGTACTTTCTTGAGCACTTTTATAATAAATATAATATAAGAACATTTTTAAATACAAAAATTATGTGTGTATTCCATGAGCTGTTACATTAAATTGGGCTAAAAAATTACAGTATCTACACATTTATGTAAAAACTTCGTTGATCAAATCTAAACAAATATTTAAATTACAATGCTAAAAATACATAGAAAAATAATCAGTTCATTTAAATCAAGAACTAATCTGCATAATAGATCAAACAATTATCCAACATTAAACAAGATATCTCAAGTGCAATTTTTAAGGCACAACAGTTTATACATTTAGTAACATTAACACAAAAAAATTGCACAGAACAAAAATGATGGTGGTTGGATTTGTGCATAAAATGCCTGCTAGCATAAGAAGCCTTTTAATTCCTGAGGAAATCTACAGGTGAGCACATCTTTTAATGTGATCTTGGTAGTATAATGAAGGGACAGAATTTTCAACTTTCAAGTGACTAGACATAAACTTTCATAGAAAAACTAAAGAGTAATCAAAGCTGACACAATGGTATAGATTAGAAGAGACAACCAGCTCATGTGCATACCAAAAAAAAATACACTTGGATAAAAAGTTCAACAAGAAAAAGAAAACAAACCAGTACTTCACAAAAATGAAACTTCATTCTAAAACAAAATAATCATTAAAATAGTTATATAATTAAAAATGATCGAATAAAATTATCTTTAAAAGTTGAATAATTATATTTTAAAAAATCAATAAATAATTCAACAGGGGTTTGAATGAATGGCCTAGAATCAGATGATGGATGAATCTGCAATAAATGGCTGGTGTGGACATCAGTGCTTCTTCTTTTTAGGCCTACAAAGACAAAAATTAAAACAATAATTGAAGTGGCATACAAAGTGATCATGAAGAAAAAAACAACAGATTAGCAACCGACAAATCCACAGATACGGATTGTCCAACACGCTTAATGAAGTGGCACAATTTACATATAAATTGTCCAAAACTCAACTTAGTATAAAATAATGCACAAAAAAAATTACTAAAATTTCAGTTTCTTTTCTTTTGGGCTAGCGCATTTTTGTACTATATATAGTAGGCATAAATAGTGTAGAAGTGCTTTCTGCATGAAAATAATGCAACAGAAACAAGATAGATTAAAGGAAGTAATAGCATTCGGTAGCATTAGTAGCAAATGAGCTAAACAATATACATATTTTAGTTCTTACTTGGTTATTGGAGTCCGAACAGGAGAAAAAAATGAAAAGAGGGCATCATTCACTTTTTCATCTACAGGAGAATGCTGTATCTGTGGAGCTTCACTTTCTACAGATCCTGATGAGTGTGGTGAGGTCTCAAAAGATGCTGATTTGTTAGTTGACTGCCCCGATTTCCTTTTCTTTGTTGACGAAGAATATGACTCATCAAAATCTCCCTTCAGATTTCTCTTCCTTGAACTCCCTATATGGTCTTCAATCTCAGTTTTCTTTTTTTCAAGTGACTTAGGAGAAAGTTGCGTTAGAAATGAATCATCTTCTGTACTGCTAGATTTTCCATCATTGGCTATGCTGTCATCCCTCGATGCACTTTTTTTCTTTTTGTCTTTCTTATGTTTTTTGGATGGTGTTTTAAAATCTTCTGTACTGGTAGAGGCTCTTTCGTTGACTTTCAGGTCATTGTCTTCTATACCTATTTGCTGCTTATCTTTTTTTCTTTTTCTTGCAGTTGGTTTACTAGAATTCAGAATTTTCTGTAAAATACAATTTCAAAGATAAACATTTCTAGGAAAAGTTTTCAAAATAATCAATTTTTTTTTGGGAAAAAAATCTTTTAAAAACGTACATTATAAGGTCTTAGAACTACTGAGGGCAGCTCCTCAGGTTTTTTTTCATCTTCTGGAAGCTTTGCATAATACTGCTTGTAGCTGTCAGAATACTGCTTTACTTCCTAAATAAAAAAAACTCTGTTAGAATATTAATTTTTGCAAACATCTGCATTAAAAAAAATGATGTATCAACAGCATATTTTTCTAGCATGTAAGAAATAATTGAAGTATAAACTAGCACACTTAAGGACAAGAAAATATATTACAAAATATATTTAATAAGCGTAAGGGAGAGACACATAATATAAAATACCTCCACTAAACGGTTGTGTAGCTCCAAATGTTTTTCTTTAGAGAGATCGTTATAGCGTGCAGACAACTCTCTGCTCTGTTCGGCAATTGGCAAGTGTGATAATGAAGCTCGTTCATTATTAGTAAAGTACTGGAACACATTTCTACAACAAAAAGGCAGATATTAAATTTCAATAAGTACCATTGTTATTAATTTCTATTTCAACTCATCTAAAAAAAATGCTATTTATATAAAATAATTATTTCCATACTTTGCAGGTGGTATTGGCTTTCCAAAGTGGGACTCCCAAATTCTTTTTTCTTCTTTTGTAAGAAAATTGGCAAAGTTATTAGAGGTGGAAGAGGGTTTTTTCCCCTGAAGAGTAACAAAAAGTATAACTGAAGAGTAATACAAAAATAAATAAAAATAAGCGTAACATTTTAAACTGATTGGGTATGCTACAGACATCCATTGTATCTTCCTCGAGAGGTGCTCTCTCCCAGCTTGACAAAATTTGTTCATCATGCTAATGTAACTAGATTGACAAATGCTATTATGGCAAACAGCTTAACAAATATTCACCTGATATTCCTGCTGAAATGCATTCTTAGCCTTCTGAATCCACTTCAGTTTCTTTCTATCAGACAGGTCTTCATATTTCTTTGTACATTTCTTTACGCAATCCGCATGGCTGAGCTGAAAATTAAGCATAAGAAAAAAAGAAATTTTCAATAGCTTGAGAGGACTAAGCATGTTGGCCTAGGTAGACCTACTCTAAGAATACACAAACTAGCACAATCTTTCAAGAACAAAATGACATCATATTTTCTCAAAAAGTTGCACTAAATAGCACAATACAGTCTGCGACCAAGACAGATCTTACTACTACATATCAGTGTTGCAAAGCCAATAATGTAAACACACTTATTACAAATTAAGTCTTGAGTTAACTGTCAAAGAATATCCACACAACTCTACAGAATGTCATAATTATCCATACCCAAATAATAATTATAATGCAGATCACCGCTGTTTTTAAAAACACAAAACGTTATGATATTTCTTTGATAATACCCTCCCCCCACAATGTGTAACAGTATCTAGAATAAATATCAGCAGCTTTAAAAACACATTTATTAGTATATTGTGGGGGTCAGCGTGGTCGAGTCGGTAAAGCTCATGGTCGCTAAACCGGAAAAGTCTCGAGTTCGAACCCTCGGGCAGATGAGGCTCGTTAGCTGGGGACAGCGACTCTTCTAGGAGAGACAACTCCAAAATTAAACAACTGCTGCCTTGTAGTTTGTTCTTGGTTGGATAAAGGCTATGGAAGCAAATCCAAAAAGAAAAGCAGGCTGAAATCGGAGTCAATGGCCTCAATGGCGCTTAACCAGTTGACACGTAACGTTTAATTGTGTTGGAGGCGTGGTCGAGTCAGCAAAAAGCACATGGTTGATAAATTCGTACATAGTCTCGAGTTCAAACCCACTGGCAGATAAATCTCGATCCCCTTCACCACTAATAATTAAGAATGAAGAAGAAAAAGAAGAAGAAAGTATATTGTATATGTTTTCTTAAATCACCTTCTCTGGTACTAAAATTTGTATCACTGATGCTAAATGTTTACTACATTAAATTGTCAGTTAAAAACACAACCTAAAATCACCCTCAATTACGAGCTGGTATTATAAATCAAGATATTAAACAAGTGCATTTTCAACTGATGGATATGTCGTTATTAATTTATAAACTCATCCAAATTGCTTGCTCTAAACAAATTATTTCTTCAAATATCAAAACACAACTCCAATTTATGTAGATATATATAATACAGACATTAAAACCCAGTAGAATGCTGAACATACCGTTAAACAGATATTTGAAACAACAGACTTATCCTGGAATAGGATTTTGTAGCAAATGAGTGAAATTGTAAAAAAAAAGGGACTCACATCTGGGTTTTTGGCTTGAACTTTTCCTATTCTAGATTCAATAAACAATTTTACAGGATGACACTGTGGACGGCTGGTTGTGCTACCAGGGATTTTAATGCCTGGGTGATTTTGCCTGTACATTGGTAAGAAAAAGAAATTAATAATTTTTCATTTTAAGGTAATAGAAAATAAATCCAAATGTAAATAAACACAATAAACTTACTTGAATATCTCTAATGTCTCATTGTATTTTTCTCTCAGCTTTTGGCTCTTAATTTTATAATACTTCTGAAAAAAAAAAAAAATTTAAAAAAAAAAAGGATGCAATGACACAAAATCTTTACTGTACACAAATTCAGAGCTGAAAGGAAAATTCTCTTGTTGGGTCTAGATTGCAGGTTCACTTATTGAGAGCAATAACATCTACCACGCTGATAGACAATGGTTACCTTATCTTCTTCAGGCAATTCCTTCCATAGCTTGCTTAACTTGGCATTTCTTTCTTGGAAGCTGTTGCCTTGAAAACCATCAGACTGCTCTTTTATAAATAAAGAGTAGGAGCTGGGTGGCTTTTTAGGTAGGTCAGGGTACTAACAAAAAAAATTAGATTTTTAGTAAATACAAAAAAAAAAAAAAAAAATCAAAACCATAAAAAAAATGCAGGTTAACTTAAGAATATTTTTTTTCACTTACATTTTTAGAATCAATTTTAAAACCATCTTGCTTTAGGGTTTCAATGGAGTCTCTGGTTACTTCAGCTGCAGTCCTATATTTGCGAGTCTTAAAATAAATGTAGATTGCTTATGGTCCAATTAAAAAAAAAACAATTCTAGACATTATTCATAATAGTTCAGGCAATCTTTTTCCAGCCTAGGAAATTATAAAAATTGATAATTACAGTAAAACATTTGAGTAGTTTTCCATGTGTTTACTGTGCATTACAAATAAAAATGCTTTTTATGTATGAAGGAAGTTTGGTAGCATTATCAAAATAACAAGACATTACCTTATGTGTAAGCTTGGTGAACATTTCCTTGCACTGGTCAGCATCTTTTCCAGTGATATTAACATCTTTCCATTCAAAAGCTGACATAAAAGAATTAAAAGGTTTTGTACTTTCTGCTGCGAGAGCCTCAATTTGCTCAAGCAAAGATACCTGCTCCTCAAAACTCCAGTCTGAAACAGATTAGTAAGAGTAATTAGGAGGCCAAACTTAACAGGCGTAGGCTAAAAAAATATCGCAAGGAAGGTCGTCTCTAAAACACGAATAGCTCAAATTCTATGCGTAGGAATACAAGATGACTCATACATATTAAAGTAGAATGGCAGTGGAGTAACAGTACTTTCGTTTTGTTTCAGTGTGAAAGGGTTACAAAATAGCGCCAGATGAAAATAGTGACTTCTGAATTTTCCACTATGTGTGATCGGCTTTGGAATGTTCAATGTAACAATCACTAAGAAGACATAATGCAACATTTGCTTAGACATGTTTGTATGTGGAGACACAAACTAGATCTAGAAGAAGTAGACGATTGAAATAATTTAAAAGAACAGAAAAATTTAGAAACTATATAGATTCTAGACTTAGATTGAAATACAGAGCATCTAGCTAGTCTAGCTCATGTCGGTGATGGTGATGCATCGAGGGTAAAACATCCTATCGTTACCCCAGCTGCGGCCACCCCGATTTCTCCTCTCCTTTTATCATTCTATGATAATTAGGAAAAATTTCCCAAAACTAGTTCGTCTCCTTACCAAAACCGGAAGTCACAGAACCTGACCCTGAAACGTCATAATCTTTTTGTTTTCGCATTTTAAGTTTTTTTGGGGGTCCTATGTACAAAAATGAAAAAAAAAAAAACCTGCTAAACTCGCAATATCTCATCATTATTTTAATGTGAGATGCTAAGGAAATGGATACTATGCCGTAAAATGCCAGGAAAATTTGCGAGATGTATTTCTTGCGGAGCACTCTCACCAGGCAAAAGCGCTCTACAGATCCTAGATAAATATATATTTGAGATATTTACCATGATTAATTACAATGATGCTGTTTCTATTTTCCCAAAATCCAATTCCCCATAGAAATACCATGCGACAATTTTCCTCTGCTATTTTTAGTAACGTTACGTCATTGTTACGCTAGTTGTCAGATAGAAACAATTAATTTTTGTTTTTTTGCGGAATGCACTGTTAAGTCTAGTATTTTAATTATAATTCAGTTGCAGCATGTGCAGAAATTGTGGACATTATTATTGTATTAAAGTATTAGTAATTTTATGAGTATATTGATTTTTTTCTTCACTGCAACAAAGCCAAGTAGGCCGACTGCACTGTTAGTTTCATTGAACATAATTCGTTAACCTTGTAAATACTAAATACTTCATGGCCTACCCGACTGTAATTTATATGAAATTATATGTAGTTTTTAATTAGGCCTTAGTATTGTATTTTAAACAATGCTCATTCCGAGCTTTTTTTGTGCTAGATCTAATTAGGACTACTGGCAAATTTTAAAATTTTAGACTTGGTCAACCTCGTTAATGCTGTTAGTTAAAAATATAGGAATTGTGTGTAAACGCAGTTACTCAGTTACTATGTAGAACAATATCAATAAATGAAGTAGTATTTATTTCCTTTTAGCAATCTTTTGATACAAAATGTCTAATATTTTATTTTCCAATACATCGTGGTGTGTGGCAGAGTAAACAGAACGGTGCGGTAGGTGACTTCATCAATTGTGCTTTATTTTATTGTTTTACATAGGAAATGCCACGAGCGGTTTTATTTTCTTTCTTTTTTAAAAATATTTTTTTGATCAAAATAATATTTTATAAAATAATTATTCAAGATTTTCCAAACATCGTCGCTCGCGAGATCGACTGCTTACATTTTCTTGTCTGCGGTAGAAAAATGTAGACACGGTCGGGGGTTCATCATGAGTTCAGCAGGCCTACCATAGCATACGTCACCGCATTAACGATTGCTGTTAGAGATCGCCGGTGGGCAATCCCACCCCTCCCCTCATAAACCAAGCAAATTGTAAAAAAACTTAGGGTCATTTTAAGTTCACACAAGCTTACAGCTGTAGATTTACTACGCATAGCTGGTAAAAAAAAGAAAAAAAAAACTTCACCTAACCTAATGCTACTACATAAGAGAATATTAATTATAGAGTATTTAATTTTAAAGTTTAAAAAAAAAAATGGATTTATCATCTTACCTAATACTGTATTGTCTGTCTATACAGTTAGAAGGACTAGATCTAGATTTCTGTCATATCTATTTTTAGTTTTGGATATTAATTTTATTATCATCTTCATGGGTATTGATTGTTCAATTCATCATGGAAGGCCTAATCAGTAATCTAATGTCTTAAATTGTACATAGAATTTATAATAAATATGTCTGATATTTCCTAATAAACATAATGAATATAAAGTTTTATTTTTAACAAGATGTTTTGGTTTGTTTTGGTAACTAAAATACCCAATGTTGTCGTAATTGCTATGACATCATGCTACGAATGGAAAACACAAACCAACGTAACTTTTTGACCTCTTGTGATGGCGAAAAAGTTTAGCATTTTAAGAAGTTAATAGGTCATTTTGTTTGTTTTCTCGGCCCCTAATTAAGCTAGACCATTAAATTTGGTATCAAATTAACCAGTCAGTGATATGGTTTGTAATGATATATGAAAAGTGACAGAAAATTTTAATTAAAGAATTTAATAAGAAAATCTACTCAATAGCCAGGCTATCTATAGTTTTCATTCGTATTGTTTAAATAGAAAAATAACTAAAATTATGATTTTGTATCTAATACTATTCTAATATAAATTAGATTATTAGAGTAGAATGGCAGCAGAATAACATAGTACTTTTACTCTAGTAGATTCTAGCTAGAGTAGAGTCTAGCAGCTAAAGTAGTCTAGACCAGGGGTCTCCAAACTACGGCCTGCGGGCCGGATGCGGCCAGCGGGGTCATTTTATCCGGCCCGCGAAGATCTTTTTGTACACTGAATAAATGTTTGTTGGAGGTGGCTGAGGAGCTTTGCACAGAAAATTCAAAACTATTTGAAAATCTAGCTTGGGCGTCATCCATAAATGACGTCGCATTCGTTGGGGGGAGGGGGGGTCCGTAATTTTGTGACGATGTGTGATGAGGGGGAGTTCAGATGTTGCGACGTCACATTTTTGCATTTTTAAAAAGCAATGTTAGAAAACGAATTTTAGACGTTATTTCGCGTTTTAGATAATTGTAATAGTTTAGACAAGATTTTGGAAAAAATATCGATGTTAAAAAAAAATTGAACTGCAATTTTGAGGGGGGGGGGGGTTGTAGGTTGAGGTGTGACGTCATTTTAGGGGGGGTCTGGCTTTTTGTGACGACATGTGACGGAGGGGAGAGGTAAAATTCGTCAAATAAAGCGTGACATCATTTATGGATGACCCCTTGTGTGCAAATACAATTACTCGACATTGGTGAAAACATTGCGACTCAAATAGCGAAAAATTCAAGCAAGCTTCGGCATTTTTCAATTGCAATGGATGAGTCAGTGGACAGCTGTTCCACCTCAACTGCTTGTGTTCATTAGAGGTGTGGATGAAGACCTGAACATAATACAAGAGCTGGCTTCCCTACATAACATGTATGGCACTGTTACCGAAGAGGATATCTAACCATAGATAGTTCAGAGACAAACAGAAAATCGCAAGATTTACCATATTTCACATCAGTAAGATTGCTAATTCTGCGAGAAAATTCTGAGCAGAGTATCTAAGAAAAGAAATAGGCCTAGGGGAATTCCTGATAGTAAAGGCAAGTCACAGCCATTATTGTCTGATGAAGAGTGGGTATAGAAATTGGCCTCTGCTGCAAACATAACTAGTCATTTAAATTTTCTGAACCTATAACGGCAAGAGAGTGAAATCTAGTTTCTGATCTATACACCCACCTTAAGGCCTTTAGATACAAACTTGTCATGTTTTTGGAACAAGTACAGGCTAACAACTTGACACACTTTCAGCAGTGCAAGGTCTTTACGGCTCAAGCAACCACTGAGTTCTCCACGTCATTTACATACGAGATAGTTAAAGACCTACAGCTGCAGTTTCAGTAGACTCTAGCGGTTTTCTGACTTGGACTCAAAGGCAGAAGAAGTGACACTGTTTCAAAGCCCATTTGAAGCAAACGTGACCAGTTGCAAAGATGAACTGCAGCTGGAGGTCATTGAATTGCAAGAAAATGACTTCCTTAGGCCTTAGAGACATGTTCAAAGAAGGGCGGATGGGTTTTCATACGTTTTTGCACAAGGAAGACTTTCCTAACATTAACACTTTTGCATCAAAGTACCTTTCAAATTTTCGAACAACATACCTGTGTGAACAAACATTTTCAAGAATGAAATCATAATACGTGAAGAACAATTTGAGAGCAAACGTGGACCTCTGGTGAGGGGGGTGGGGTGGACACTCGAAAATGTGTATATATTTCAATATATATTATATTTCGTTGCGGGGGGGGGGGGGTGGGGAGCGGCCCTCGAACTGATATTTGATAGTTAATGCGGCCCTAGGGCTGAAAAGTTTGGAGACCCCTGGTCTAGACTGAACTCTAGATTCTAGAATCTAGATTTAGATCTAGTAGATTACTCTCCTCTAGAATATAAAACACTTTGTGCGGGTTATTAGCAAAACTGAACTTAAGATGTGGATCTACTTACCCATTTGCCAGATTATTTCCTAAGCATTAATTACATTAAAAATGTCTAGATTTTAGATCTAGTCTTAAAAACTTGATTAAAAGATGTAAATAATAAAATCAAAACATGCGCGTGCCGTTCAATAGTGAAAATGGAAGCGGAAATTCCCTTCGATACCATTTGATAATCGAATACAAATTATAAGCCTAATTACCGGATAGTGGCAAATACTCCATGAAGCATAATAAGTATTGCAAAGAGGATAAGTAAAGTTTTAGAGTAATAATCTATGGCAGATTCTTATGCTAGCATTCATCTTTGTTCTTTATCTAAACTGTTACTTAAAAACTATAAAAAGATATAAATAGTTCCAGCTAAAAAACGTCGCGATAAAAGAACACAGACATTTTTTTGACTATTGTATATCATTCCCCTATCATTATACAAAAATACACCATTGCTATAAAATTCTATAGAAGTCAGACCGCAATAAATAACGAGCCGACAACACATTTTTGTCTGAATTAGCATATAAAAGGCTAAGATGGTTTTACCAAAGGGGTCATCCATAAATGACGTCACGCTTTTTTGACGATTTTTACCTCCCCCCTCCCATCCGTTACACATCGTCACAAAAAGCCAGACCCCCCCCCCCCTAAATGACTTCACACCTCAGCCTACAATCCCCCTCAAAATTGCAGTTGAATTTTTTTTTAAACATCGACATTTTTCCAAAATCTTGTCTGAACTCTGTCAAAATAGAGTATTTTAATCAATTCCTATTACAAGTTATTAAAACCGTTTTCTAAAACGCTAAATTTAAAATAACGTCTAATATTCGTTTTCTAACATTGATTTTTTATAATCCAAAAGTGTGTCGTCGCACCATCTGAACCCCCCCCCCCCCCTCCCCATCATCACACACCGTCACAAAATTACGGACCCCCCCCTCCCCCCTACGAGTGTGACGTCGTTTATGGACGACCCCAAAGGATTCAGGAAATATGTGCTAATTAGTTCTGATTTTACATACCAGGTCAAAAAAAAAAAACGAAACGTATTTTGTAGCCTATATAAAGCCTAATATAATTTATAGCACTATCTAGATCTATATATTCGTTGTAAACGTATGATTATCTGAAGGGTTGGGCATGGGCTACTGTTAAGACTGACACACGAAACAAAGAGAGTAAAATTTACTTATATACAGATCTATCATAATTATAATATTTTCTTTGCATGGAGCTGTTTTGTTTATTTTGTAATCAAATTTTTCATAGTTGCAGCCTACGTATTATCTTTTACTTGTTTTAGCCTAGTTATTAGCGGACCTACAAAAAAAAATAGCTACATGTTTCAAATTAAGGTATTCGGTAATGAAATATTCTACCTTAACGATATTAGTAAATATGGTATCGTAAAGTATACCCGGGCGGGAAAATATTCCGACTGCCTAATCGGCTCGATATCCTCACCTTAAACTAGATTCTAGATTCTAGATCTAGATTTCCTAAAAAATAAACCTAAATTTCTAAATGTAAAATTTAAAAAAAAGTAAATATATAGACTAGATCTATATATAGACAAGATCTAGTTCCCTTTCGGGTTAGCAGTCTAGAGCTCTACTGCTAGACCACACCGTCCAACAATGTAGAATTTAGATCAAGGCTAAAATAGTCGTTGCGGCAGTAGCGTAGCGAGGGGGGGGGGGGGAGCCGGGGGGGACGACACATGTCCCCGGGAGCCGACCTTAGGGGGCCAAAATGGGTTGGAAAAATAAATTGAAAGGTTGAGGGGGGTGCAAATTGAAAGTTTGGGGGGGGGGGTGCAAATCAAAATCTTGAGGGGGGTGCAAATCGAAAAGTTTGTCCCCGGGAAGGGTCGCTACGCCTCTGCGTTGCGGGGTGGTGATCGGATTTATGTTGATTTATCACCGAAGGAGGCGTCTTAAAGGGGTGCGTCCCGCAACAGGTCCACCATTTTGAGGGGTGACACCAAGTTAAACATTTTTTTTTAGAAATTATACAGAAGAATTTTTTTTTCTTAATTTAATTAATGATTAATTTAAGTTAAATAGTTTCTTAAGTCCAATTAACGATCTTGAAGTGTGTGTGTGAGGGAACACACACTATTATTTAGACTGCTAACTATAGAAAAAAAAGATACTTTCATCTGCATTAATAATCGACTATACATATTTTAACTATGCATAGAATAAACGGATACTTTAATCATCAATCGGACTAGGGATTGCTACCAACCGATGCCATAAAATCAAAGAGTGACTGGGGGTTGACACCAATTTGAACATTCTAGGAACAAACGATGACACTAATGAGAGCGAAATACACCGTCCTCCCAAGCAACATTCCCTCTAACGGGAAAAGGCTAGTGTGCAACTTGTATTTTGTGTGCGCGGTGTTCTTAAAGTCTTATACAAGGATATACGTTTTTACAAAACTACTGCGCGGCCGCGCACCTTAGAGGGAACACTCCTCCTAAGTGCATTGGGGTGACACAGCATTAGAAAATTGCAAATAAGCATATCATCCGATGCTTGGGCGTGGATGCTAAGTCCTAAAGTACCTTATCAATGCTAAATTACTTATCAAACATATTATTATACAACAGTCTCCGGATGTGTGTCATCAGTTAAACAATAATTGTAAAGTTATCACACAGTTGTAATTTCGATAAATTCTAACATTATTTTTTGTTTTGATTTGTTATTCATTACTTGTGATATGATTAATGAGTAATTCATATTAAAAGTTATATGTCTACGTCTTTTTAGACAGTAAACATATTTGGGGCTAATGGCATTGTGTTGGTCATTTTGTTTATTAGATTGTTTTACATTATAAATAGCAATTTATCCTCTCTCCAAGTAGGAATTAACTAGTCTAAACACTTTTTCCTGACGTTTCTAGGTTATGAAAGACTATTTCTAACACTTAGAAATCGTCTTTCAAACACTAGGGTTAGGGTTGGGTTTAGTTTTACTTTTAGGCTGAAGTGATAGCTAAGGCTTATGTTTTTTCTTAAGGTTAGGATTAAGGTAAGATATTATAGGTCTAGAGTTGGACTTAGGTTTTGGGTTCGTTTTGGGGTTAATTTTAATTATAGGGTTGGAGTTTGGGGTTAGGTTTAGGGGAAGGGGGTAATTAGCTAGGGGTAATTGACCAGGGGGGGGATGGATTGGGGGGGGGGGGGGTAATGTCCTAGACCCGGGGTGAGAGGAGGTTTATAAAAGCTAATAAATGAGCTCAGATATTTCTAATTTTGAACACTTTTTATTTGCAAATTGCAATACAGAATAATCAACATACTCAATGTTGACTGTTGACCAAATTGCAATTTTAGGGGATGGGTCTAGCTTTTGTAATGTGACATAGGAAAGGGATGTAACTATCACTTTGAAAATAATGTTTATGGATGACCTCAATAATCCTATTTGGGAAAAAGAAAAAATATACATGAAAGCATTGATTTAATGCATAATTACAAAGCCAACTTGTGTGAGCAAAATAATTTTTTTTATCCGGTGCCCTCCTTGTACACACTCTACACACTTGGAAAAATTCTTTATACAATCAGGACTCTATTTTGTTGTGCTTTTTACAAGTATGGCTGTAATTATGTTACAAGGGTGCCTACATGTTGGTACTATGCAGCTATAAAACATCTTATGAGTCACAGTTCACAAAACCAGAATACAATGCTTTGGTATGTATTCCTTGATTAACTGTAACAATACCTCATGTAAATGGATAACAAAATAAAGCAATAATTCATCAACATATCAAGTAGCATTTATTTGGAAAGAAAACATTTATCTTTAAATAATGAGGACTTAAAACTCCAACCATAACAAAGATTTTGAGTCAAATTTTTTAAGTAAAATTCAAAACAATAAGATACTTTCATATTACTTTTGAAATAATAAAAAAAAATCAACATATTTAAAATGTTCAAAAACCCCTTAATCTGAACTTATTAACCTGTAATACATTATTTAAAATTATTATAACAAAACAATGCAATAGTTCAATCATATATTTTAAAATTAATGAAGAAAAAATGTTACTTTAAACAAGTAGTATGAATTAAAAGTGAATTAAAAAAGATGGATTAACAACATAAATATGTTAAAAACATTCCACCTAGTGGGCACCATACAGACAGCGAACATAATAAAAATGCATCTGAGAATAGGAATGAGACTGTATCATCAACCACTTATGTTCATTCTTTTTACAAAACATTTAAAAAATTAAACACACACAAATTCTACTCTGACTTGTAATATTTTAAAAGCTTTCATCCAAGAAAAAATGTTTAGTTTATAAATTATAGTTACCTACAGTTAAACCTATTCCAGAATCCTAGTAGAGTTAAGCTGTAAATTTTAAAGTGACCATAAGGAAAGAGCTAAGTCAGAAGAATCCTGTATGTCTAGCAGTTTGTTCCTCAGCCCTAAGAATTCTTGCATTAAATAGAGAAATTACGTAGTTTTAGTTAGTTCTTTCTTTAAAATAACTAAAATATTCTAGAAATTCTTGGCTATAAACATTCTTTTGAAATTATTTCTAATTTTATAGAGAACATCTCTAAAGTAAATTTTAAGATCTATGACACAGATCACAGAACAGCTTACTAAATATTTTCCAAAGTTTTGTATCTCCATGAGACACAGCTAACAAAACTAGATATTGACAATCATGTACTCTAAATACAACATACAAAAAATATTTACAGTTGATATAGTACTTTTTAAAACTGCATTTGATCAGAGGATCAATGTATAACATTTGTAAGTTATTTCATATTGTCAAGCCACTCAACCAGAAACCTTTCATAGAAAATAACAACTTTAGCAGATGGGAATAAAAAAAAAACATGAAAAAACTAGTTTTCATTTGATAGATTACTACAATAATATCAAATATACCCAAAAATATTGTTCAATGCATCAAAAGAGATGGATGCATTATGTAATTCATATAACAGCCAAATTAAAATGTGAAAAGGCATAAAACTCTCAATGTGATCAAATATGGTAATTAATTGATTCACACAATTTTCATAACAAATTTAATAAACCCTCCATTTTGGGCTGCATATTTTAATAGGTATTTCAAACAAAACTAGAGAAAATGTTTTAAACCACTTTTTACATCCAGTTCTTAATATTCATTCGATATTCTTAATTCAAGAACTTGTTTTTATAGTTGACAGAGCTTATGGTATTTTTTCTTAATAGTGTATTAAAACAAGCGCAGAAAAAATAAAGAAAAGTGCTAATACAATTCTATCATTTACTTTCTGATTTTCATGTAGATTTAAAGTATGGCATCATTTGTGCTGTATTTTGATATGTGATTCGTTTAGAACAGCAGCAATAATATGCAACACTTGGCTGAGGTGTAATATAGAATTATATAGAAACAGTGACAGTTCTTAAAAACCTTGAATAAACTTTAGCTGAGAGGACAATTGAGATATGAAACAATTTAAAGCACCCACTGGTAAACTAGTCATTAAATATGCAGCTGAATTTGTACACAATGCTTAAAACTCATCATGATCTATATCACTGTGACGACGCTGTTGGCTCGGATCTTCACCATCATCATCATCTTCTTCATCATCATCATCACTGGTCGTGCGCCTGGACTTAGCTTCAGTGGGCTTGACATAAATTCCTTCAGCAGCCTGCCAGTAGTTCAGGTCACTAGGTGAAGGGTAAGCACTCACTTCCCTTTGTCCATGGATGGGTCGGCCATATGTATCCCCTGACATATGCAAATAGCTGAAATACATATTTATTGTACATATAATGTGCATTACAAAAAGCTGTTGGACATTCATATATTGAAAATTAAGTACTTGTAAAAGTTAGATGAATTAGAAACTATGCACTTCATTCTATAACTATATTTAGATAATTTACTTATGTGATGAAAAATGTATTTGTAAATACAATTAATTTTTTATGTGACTTTTGGTTACTGTGGCAATTACTTGTATTATAATATTTTACAGAAATATTATCAAAAAAGCACAAAAACTAAACTTTGCAGAATTTCAAAGAGAAAGTTATCTATTTTTTTTTAAAAAGTGTGTCAATTCAATGACTATTTGCCTGTCTTTTAAAGTTTCTTAAGAACTAAAATACTTACTATTCAGTTGTGACATGCTTGATTCTGACTTTTTCATTGCGGCTCCAGTACTTGTCATTACACACAACAACCCAGTTGTCCCCTGCAGAAAATACATAAAGTACATACTCTAAGCAAAAAAACTATCATCACAAGGATTTCTCAACTTTCTTTTTAAAAAGAATAATTTTAACAAAAGTATTAAAATAATAATCATTAAATGCCACGCATTTAGATTTAAATAAAAGTATTTTTTAAAAAATGTTTCATCCATTACTTTGAATAATAATTAAAGTGGATGATAACAATTAATCAGTTTGTAAAATAATGACTAATTAATTGGCATAGTAATTTGTTAACCAGTATAATAAAAATGTGCATACTAGTTCAATAATTTGTATAATAATTAACATGGGCTGCAAATTTAAAATACCTTCGTCTCCTTCACCATTCTCTCCAAAGGCACTCACTTCTAAGTTTCGAGACAGAGGTGACTGAAAGTGGTGGCTGTGTAGATTTCTTTTCGTTGCTACATGAGTTAGTCGAACTGTCTGTCCACATTTGATTGGATTACTGTTTTGACAATGTATAAAAAAAAAAGATTTTAATATTTGTGCAGATTTCAAACTGCTTTAAAATCCTTTTAATTATACTTTTCACCGTTTTTACAAAAATACCCCTAGTTTTATATTCACAACAATCAGTATAATAATACAAAACATAGTCATGAAAATAATTTGAATTAGATCACATTATATTTAACTTGTCTTTGAGTCACAATTAATTGGAAAATACTAATTAATATCTAATTACCCTCTAGTGCACACAGCTCCAGTCTTAGCTTTGATTTGCCAATAGCTGTTGTGATCGTCTGAAGAATCAACCCCTGTCACTGACTGTAGAATTTGTTTTTAAAAGTGTGAATGATTCATAAAAACTAAGGCAACGCAATTGACTTGTTAAAAAAACAACAACTTGCATTCAGATTTAGAATGGATGTAACAAATGCTCTAAACAGGGATCACATGCTATTTTAAGACCACATATTATAATTAAGGTGTTTAACATCACACAACCTTGCAACACAAGGTTTTAGTGGTGAAAAATAATCCTTTACAAAACGCAAGACTCTTTCAAGAAACACATTTTGCCAAAAACCTTAAAATGTCCATCCTTTGTTTAATGGCAATATTGGTGACAGAGAATGACTTAGAAAAATTATGAAAAGATTATAATCCTAATAAAAATAAGACAGAATAAGTGCAAGTTTCCTACACTTATCTTACCTGCTGACCACTGCCTGATCCATACTTAACATCGTGTGAGTGAAGCCGAGCATTATGGGCAGAGTTCAGTATTTTGAGAGCTGACCCGCATGTTACAAAGTCATAATCAAACTCTGCGGAGCACAAGTTTTACAACAATCAATAAAGTTACAAAGTCATAATCAAACTCCGCGGAGCACAAGTTTTACAATAATCAATAAAGTTACAAAGTCATAATCAAACTCCGCGGAGCACAAGTTTTACAATAATCAATAAAGTTACAAAGTCATAATCAAACTCTGCGGAGCACAAGTTTTACAACAGTCAATAAAGATACAAAGTCATAATCAAACTCTGCGGAGCACAAGTTTTACAGCAATCAATAAAGTAACATACATTTTCTTAAAATGTGTGCAGCTATTAGTATTACAGTTTTTTGTGTGTGGTGTTTTCAATTCTATTGAAAGATAATTTCATTTCCTCCTTATTTAATGATAATAATGTTATAAATAAATGAAATTTATAAATAAATGAAGAAAGATCTAGATTAAGTATATTTTTACTTTTCTGAAGCAAGTCTTTATATAGGTCTTTATCAATGCCAAACCAGTTTTCTATTGTCTAGCTGTGTAACAGAAATGATGTAAACATGACTGGACCTATTTGTACTTTTAATTAATAAAAGCATTTCTTGTGGAGTACTCTATCCATAAAAATTGAACTGCTGCCGAAAAACGGATGACCAACCAGTTGAAATGCTGAACAATAATAGATTAATATATATTTGTGATATTTAGCCTACCATGGCAATGGCAAAAGCGTGTTTTGCATAATCAGTGTGTTTTAGGTCATTATTTGGCTTATAATGGTATATGTTAATTAACAGAATCTTTTAATTTAAAATTTAGAAAAGCAATCTAGTAATAACAAGCCCCTTTTTAAAAAGATTCCATTATATTAATTGATTGTAATATTATTATTGTGATTTTAACTTAAAATTTAGGCCTATTTTAGCTGGAAGAAGGTGTGCATAACCTAGTTTTTCTTGTCATATAAATGTCCATTGTTTAGGCCTATGTATTGTCTTGATGGGGCAGGGATTAACATGATTAATACTTAAAAAGTAGATTTAAATAGGCTATTAAAATAGATTAAAATTTATTTTTATACTTAACTTCTAGACTAGATCTCTTTACTAGATATACTATAACTATACAATGAACCCTCAACCCTGCTTGAACTCACGGTACAGATAGTTTAGTCAAAAGATAAGGCCAAAAAGGTAAATTGGACCTAAGCGAGAATAGTCTATAACATCCTGACTGTTTGGTTTTTTCGGACTTTAGAGTGGATCTATTTGGCGTTGTAGTATTTTTGGTAATTAAACACAATTTTAAAAAAAAGGCAAAAGCAATGTTTTTTACGTGGTAATTTTGACATAAACAATGCCATCCTGCTATTCGATAGGCTAGCATAAATTCTATTACACAAAATGTAAAGCCGCATTTGTGCGTTTCGATCCGCATTATGCTAAATCTTTACCCTAGGTGTCTCGCGATGCAAAAAAATAGATATCAGGACTGACCAATATTTTTTTCGTCTTATCAATTTAATGTTGACATAGATCTAGATCTAGTTTAAGTGTTTTATTTCAACACCTAAGATTCTAGATCTAGTCTAGTACTTGTAAAAAGACAGTACAGTGTCAGTAGTAGGTCATTAGCTAGTCACAGATCTAGCTAAATCAAACTGCCCTTTAGCAAATTGTTTTTACAGTTATCTAGCATGCGTGATAGTAGATCTAAGTCTATATTATTAAGCCTATGTGAACTTAAAACAAAAATGACCAGAAGTAGGTCTGTTTTTAAATTTGCTTGAGGGGGGGGGGGGGGGGGGAGAAGTGAAGACGCGGCTAATCCCGTGAGCTTGAGTTCATTCTTTGACTGTGACCCCGCCGACCGTGGTGGGATTTTCCACCCATGGGATAGTAAATGTAAGCAAGCAATCACGCGAGTGACGATGTTTGAAAATTTTATTTAAAAAAAAATCACACGCCATGTTTTCAATATGAAAAAAGTAAAATGTAAAAACATAGACAATTGTACGGGTCGTGCTGACCCCGGGTTTGAACTCTGAGCTCCCGGACAATGTACTTTAGCTGCTACACTGTTGACTCAACCACACCGGATGTGTTGGGAGAGGTAAAATTAAGCATTTTGAATCATAAGATGGTAAATAAAAAAGGAAATGACCCTGCTTCATTTTCTTACCGCAGGTCGAAATATATCGTAATTCCAAACATAATTTAATTTATACGTAGTAGATTATCTATTACTGGACCTGAATTTGTATATTAGAGTTTATTAGTTATATATATGTATAGGATATGGAATAATTTTCCTGATACCATATAGATCTACGGAATTAAAAAAATACTCGTAACGCTCTGCGATACACGTAGTCACTTCAAAAATGTAAACACTAGGTCATGTGATTTAAAATAGCATTATGTTATTTAAAACCTTTATCTGCAAAGTTTTGTAAACAAATAACTATATGTGGTGCTGTCAGAAATTTCTGAATTATTTTTAGGCTTAAAGTTTTTATTATTTTTACGGCCTCTATAATAAGTATTAAGTCAAAATTTAAAAAAAAAACGAATTTGATCCATGTCAACAATATAATGGAAGGATTCTCTTCAACATGCTGGTGTCCACTGTACAGCTGTAGTAAAAAAGTATGGGGGAATTTTTATACCAGTTTCCGATAATAGAATCCTCTTTAAAAAATGGGGTGTTAGGTAGTTAACTAAATACACATATTGCTGGCTAATATCTATGCTAACCCTGTCCCTAACCACAACCCTAGTCCTACCACATGCCTAACCCTAATTTCTAACCATAAAATTAGTCAAGATTACAATACTACTATTAACCCAACACACATTTTATGGAAGAGTCTATTATCGGACATGTCCATAAAATATGTGTGTTAGGTTGATAGTAGTATTGTAATCTCTACTATTAATAATAGAAGCACAATGGGCTCAAATAATAAATATCCTTTTGGATGATTTTAGATACATAAGTCTATTATCACAGAAACCGGTATCTAAAATCATCCAAAACAATATATTTTATTTTAGCCCATTGTGCCGCTATTATTAATAGTATTATTAGCGTGTATTTCGAAAATTGAAAATTCGTTATTTTCGGGAGGAAAAGATACCGATCGACGCGTAATTTTTTACTGAAACTACTTTTTATACTCTGTGTGTGTCTAGCCAAAGTTTATTTAGCCTATTTCGATTTTAAAATTTTTGTGTTTATAAAAAATTTGGATTAACCTGCCACCATTATTTTTCCTCTTACATTAAAAAAAAAAAGTGTCTCCGATATTGATAGTACACAACTTGATGACGTCATACGCGTCAAATTATATTTTCGGACTTTTCGTCATTTTACTATAAATTGTTAATGTAGTATTTTATTATGAGTTTGACTTATCAAAATTATATTTACTATACACAACTAGGCCTATTAATAATTGAATAAATTATTAGGCATAGGCCTACTGAAAACTTGAATTACAGCCACCATGTAGGCCTAGTAGTAGCAAAATATTTTTTTTTATTATTAGATTTTAACATTGACCTACAATTTCATACCAATACCATTGTCTAAAATAGTGAAAATGTTATAATATAGTTTATATAGGCCCTCTACAAAGGTGTTCAGCTGCTTCTTATAGTTAGGCCTATAGATTATCAATATTATTAACCTTGCTTGAACACATTATAGTAAGTTATAAAAATTCATCTGTTAAGCTAGTGATACTAATTAATGGAACCATTATCTCTCACTATGATTATTTATTCATTCTATATTTCTCACTATGATTATTTATTCATTCTAAATATTTAATATGTAATTTGGTGTCTAATAAAAATATATATATTTATTTATTGACTGCATACTTCCAATAATTGTTGTTGCACTGTGAATTGCGCAAGTCTAGAGAAAAAACTTCAGCATAAGCTTATTTTATCAGAACATGTATATGAAGGCTTACTCATTGCAAGTTGTTTTTTTCTAGACATGTATAGTATTCATGTGGTAAGTGCAAACATGGTGTTACTCTGAGAGACCCACCAGTATAATTTCTTATACAAGTACAAGACCTGGTTTCAAATTAAAAGATAAAAAGAACCAAAATGGTTTGCTTTCCAAAAAATATTTATTTATTAGATTTAGATGCAATTATATAAATTTCAATTATCAATGAAAAGTACAAAAGTAATAATGGGTTTAAGTTTAAGGTGTGAGTACAACAAAGTGATTTATATAACAAGTTTTAGTTGATGCAAATTAAAAAATGATCAGGTTGAATGAAATTCATCAGTCCAGGAAAGATACAAAAATCTGCAAAGAAAAAAAAAAGTTATTTGATTTGTTTACACTATACTGTGTATCAAATTTGAATACCATAAGTAAAATATAAAAAAAGAGATTAAAAAAAATAATACCATGTCATTACATACCAACCTTTATTTTTTAACCTACTCAATTAACTTGCTTTGCTGCGTAAATGTAATAGCCAATATAATTTTTATGTATTCTATAAAAAATCAATCACTACTAATCAAGTCAGCTATTAGTGACTCAGCAGGTAGGCAAAAGTCCTCTGCTTCATCGTCATCCTTTGCCCAGTAGCCAACAGTGTAGACAACAGACTTGTTCTTTTTAGCTAGTACTCTGTTAATAATCCTCACATAATAGCGATGCACTTTCTGATCATCTAGCTCCCACTTGTCAGTCAGCTGGACACCAACCAGGTCTTTACCACCCACAATTCTTGACAAAGAGGGTTTCCGCTTCTGTCAACACCACGAAATAGGGGATGGTTTACTGAGACATTCGATCCAGACAACACATCATAGATGGAATTTTCAGTATCTCTGCGTTCCATAGCTTCCAACTTTTTCTTCATCTGCTTCATTGGAGATTGAATGTCTGTGTCTATTTTGTGCTGTAACTGGTTTGTGTCGATGACCCTGTCAAACTCCTCAATCAGTTTGAGATTCTCTGCCTGAACAATGTCATTCTTTACTGAGATCTTGACCCTTTCTCCTCTTAAAGCATCATCTATCTCCTTCAATACTCTGTCATTGTCAGCAAATCCATCTCCCATTTAACACTATCAATCTTGGTTCTCAATTCTCTTGCTGAAGATGTCCAGTTGTTCTTTGAAACCTAACCTGCAATTTAGCATATTTTATGTTTGAAATCATCAATAACTTACCCTTTCATGCTGTTTCTGCACCAGCAATACCTGCTTTGACATCTGTTGTTTTTTTTTCTTTTATGTAAAATACTTCCTCTTCCAACACTGGATCTGTGTCTGCTTTCTCTGCAATGATTTAGTATCTTTTCTTAGTTTACTTATTGTAGAAAAATATGAATTATAAAGGAAGTTCTGTGCAACTGTATTTTATAGCTGTAAGTTGATGAATCAAGTCATGACTTAGTATACTAAAATAAACAATTAGTGTTAGAAAAAAGTCTGTTACATTATTAGTCTATTACAAATTACTTACTTTATCCTCATCACTCCCTGAGGAGTATAGGGCAGCAACAAATCCCTGCCATTCCACTCTGTCTTGGGCGAGCCACTTTAGTTCATGCCAGGTCTTGCCAGTAGCCTGCACTTCTTCTTCCATCTCTCCCCTCCATGTTCCCAGTGGTCTTCCCCTCTTTCGTTTTCCAGGCGGAGTCCACATCAGTGCCATGTTGGGGAGTCATCTTTTGCTCATGCGTAGGACATGGCCCAGCCATCTCCTCATTCGAACTTCTGAAAATACATTTGGAAAATTTAGATATAGATATCTAGGCATAAGGTTTATTTTAAAATAAATAGACTACGCCTACTAGGTTTATTTCACACAAAAAAAAAAAACCATTTGTTTTTAAAATTGTGAGTCTAGTAAAAAAAAGTTACTATTGTTTAGAGTAGAGGTAAGTTAGAACTAGATCTAGATTTAATTACTTAACACTAAATAGGTATAATTAAAAGTAGTCTATAATTAATAATTAGGTAAATAATTATGATCACTTAAAGTACTGTCACTTATCATAAAGATCTAACTGTGATTCCGATGGCAGATTGATTTCTCACTCAGATTTCTATCAAAGAGCTGCAAGACCACAAACTGAAAAAAAAAGTAGATTAGAGATTCTAGAATCTATTTAGAGTCTATATCTAGAAAATTAGATAGAATGAATCTAGTTAATAGAGATCTAGATCTTCTAAAATAATCTAGATTAGGCTTATACTGTACAATGTAATGAATGTATAGAATCTAGATCTACATCTAGATCTAAAAATCTAGAGATTCTATGATTCTATCTAGATTTCTCTAGATCTAGGTTTCATAAATTCATTAAATTGATCTAAATCTAGATCTCTAGATCTAGCCTCTCCTAGTGATCTAGTCTAGCTTGACGATCATCTGGATCTAATCTAAGATCTAGATCTAAGAATCTCATTCTAGACTAGACTAGATCCTAGATCTATTTCACAAGATCTAGATTCTAGATCTAGATAACTGGATCTGGATTTAGATTTCTAGATGATATAGATTATAGAGTCTAGATCTACTAGATAATATTAATACTACTAGTACTACTAGATATTCTAGATCTACATCTAGATCTAGAATCTAGATCTAGTCTAGATCTCTAGATTCTAGATCTAGATTCTAAATCTACCTAGTGTACCTAGATTCTAATCTAGATCTAGATCTAGTCTAGATTGACACTATTAAACCTTATTACTTTTTTTCGTAAAATAGTTTTTTTTAATAATGCTATTTTTAAAAAACTTAATAAATATACAATATTTTAAAAATCTTTTTAAAATAATGGCGGCTACAAAGCTATCGATTCAGACTTTGCAGGTACATTTAGACGACTTGTTGGTGGGAAATTGGCCGTTTTCAGACTTAATTTAAAGAAAATTTGCAAAAATCTGTCGAACAACCAAACTTTTAACAAGAACAAGAATCTAATTCAAATAGAAAAAAAATGCTGAAATTACCTCTATTTTTGACTGCAATAATCCGAAGAAAGAAAAACTAAATTAATAAATATCGTCCGCCAAAAAATTTTCCAATATGTCAAGTAAACCCGAAGGGAAGAGAGCGTCAACAAAATGCCGGTTGGAACGAGCCGTTAGTCTATTTTTAGACTCACGCGCGGCGGTGACGGAAGCCTGGGACAAAAAGCGAAACGGGAAGTCAGCGCCATTTCCAAAATGGTTGCCCTTAGAAATTACGAAGCCGTAATACACGCTAGTATTATTTAAAATTTAATCTGAGCTAATTGCGCATCTATTAAGGTCAGTGCGTTCTGCATCTTCTGCTGGTCAGGCTAGCGCTGGGGGGAAGAAGCTTTCTTCGGAGTAGTCATTTTAAAAATTTATTTTTAAATTTTAAGTATTTAACACACTCACAAACCCACTCCAGGTTATCAGTATGGGCCAAACTCACAGTAGAATACTTTTTTTATAGAATCTAGGCCTATATAGAATCTAGATCTAGACTAACTAGATTTAGGCCTATCTAAACGATTTAGATTTCTAGAATCTATAGATCTAGATCTCTATCTTGAAATATTTATTTTGTTCAAACTGCCTGATTTTTTTTAACTTCCCAGTTTTTCAGAGTTGGAACTTATGATTTGAACTTGTTTGAACTCAACTCTCACTTCAATGAACAAATTCTATGTCTAAATCCATTATAATATGTAGATTTAATATTCTTACATACTTGTGCAGTAAACAATATTTAACAAAAAGAAAAATAATGTTGCACATAGAGCGTTAGTGCCGGTGGATGCCATTGCCATGTTCGTGGTTTCTGCTGTTTCCACGTATTGTTTAGAACATGCAACTTTTTAACTTTAAATTCTGAAGATCTTAGTCTAAAAATGAAAGAGACACTTTTTGCGGAAAGCGTTTCTAGTAACAAGCTTTTTACATCTATAGATTTACTATACAGATCTAGAATCTAGATCTTTGCTTTAAAAATTAGAAAATATTTTCTTTAAATATAAAAAAAAATATGAAGAGATGTAGATCTAGAGTTTACATATATATAAAGTATTAAGAAATGCGTGGGTCGATTATACTGGCTTATACAAAATAGATCTCTATAATATACGCCCTAGATCTAGATCATTTTAGTCTGTGGGGGGGGGGGGGGTCATAACCCCCATGGACCCCTCTGTAATTTTTTAATAGTCATATTTCCACTGTTACTTATTTAAATATATTTCTAAATCAGTATATTATAATTATACACGTTTAGATCAGTAATCTAAAAACTGACGCTAATAAGCTCACTCTGAGTTGGTTATCCCCCCCCCCCCTCCCACCTCACCACCAGAACGGGACAGGCCATAATTGTGTTAGGTTAGGTTAGGTTTGCCTGTCGCCCCTCCTGGGACATAGGCCGCTGACAAGAACTTTCCAGGCGTCTCTGTCCTGGGCTAGTCTCTCCAACTGTCTCCAGATGTATTAAATCTTCTTGGGGGGTCATCCATAAATGACGTCACACTCGTAGGGGGAAGGGGGGGGGGGTCCGTAATTTTGTGATGAGGGGGAGGGGGGGGGAAGGTTCAGTTGTTGCGACGTCACATTTTTGCATTATAAAATAGCAATGTTAGAAAACGAATTTTAGACGTTATTTCGCGTTTTAGATAACCGTTTTAATACATTGTAATAGTTTAGACAAGATTTTGGAAAAAAATCGATGTTTAAAAAAAAATTCAACTGTAATTTTGAGGGGGGTTGTAGGTTGAAGTGTGACGTCATTTTAGGGGGGGGGGGGTCTGGCTTTTTGTGACGACGTGTGACGGAGACCCCTTGCTGTCTTCTTCCAGGTCACGTCTCCAGGTCTTTCTTGGTTAAAAAAATCTTTGTTGTAATTAGCACAAAACATACAATACATATATATTGCGGAGTGTAGGGGTGGGGGGTGGCTCCGACAAATTGTTCCTCCCGCGACCCGCCGTGTAAAATGCTAAAGACATTTGTCCCTCACATAGCCATGTCATTTATACATCACGTGATCATATCAATTGTGCCTGGCGTGATCATGTCATTTGACTTTCATCTGATGTCATTTGCACCTGCTGTCATTTTGCCTTTGAGTGATCATGTCCTTTATCCTTTATGTGACATTGTCCTTTGTCCTTTATATGACCATGTCCTTTGTCCTTTATGTGAATATGTCTTTTATCCTTTATGTGATATTGTCCCTTGTTCTATGGCTATATGTGACATTGTCCTTTGTCCTATGGCTATATGTGACATTGTCCTTTGTCCTTTATGTGACTTTGTCCTATGGCTATATGTGACATTGTCCCTTGTCCTATGGCTATATGTGACATTGTCCTTTGTCCTATGGCTATATGTGACATTGTCCTTTGTCCTTTATGTGACTTTGTCCTATGGCTATATGTGACATTGTCCTTTTTGTGACTTTGTCCTATGGCTATATGTGACATTATCCATTGTCCTATGGCTATATGTGATATTGTCCTTTGTCCTTTATGTGACATTGTCCTATGGCTATATGTGACATTGTCCTTTGTCTTATGGCTATATGTGATATTGTCCTTTGTCCTTTATGTGACTTTGTCCTATGGCTATATGTGATATTGTCCTTTGTCCTTTATGTGATTTTATCCTATGGCTATATGTGACATTGTCCTTTGTCCTTTATGTGACATTGTCCTATGGCTATATGTGATATTGTCCTTTGTCCTATGGCTATATGTGACATTATCCTTTGTCCTATGGCTATATGTGACATTATCCTTTGTCCTATGGCTATATGTGACATTATCCTTTGTCCTATGGCTATATGTGACATTGTCCTTTGTCCTATGGCTATATGTGACATTATCCATTGTCCTATGGCTATATGTGACATTGTCCTTTTTGTGACTTTGTCCTATGGCTATATGTGACATTATCCATTGTCCTATGGCTATATGTGACATTATCCATTGTCCTATGGCTATATGTGACATTATCCATTGTCCTATGGCTATATGTGATATTGTCCTTTGTCCTTTATGTGACATTGTCCTATGGCTATATGTGACATTGTCCTTTGTCTTATGGCTATATGTGATATTGTCCTTTGTCCTTTATGTGACTTTGTCCTATGGCTATATGTGATATTGTCCTTTGTCCTTTATGTGACTTTGTCCTATGGCTATATGTGACATTGTTCTTTGTCCTTTATGTGACTTTGTCCTATGGCTATATGTGACATTGTCCTTTGTCCTATGGCTATATGTGACATTATCCTTTGTCCTATGGCTATATGTGACATTATCCTTTGTCCTTTATGTGACTTTGTCCTATGGCTATATGTGACATTATCCTTTGTCCTATGGCTATATGTGACATTATCCTTTGTCCTATGGCTATATGTGACATTGTCCTTTTTGTGACTTTGTCCTATGGCTATATGTGACATTGTCCTTTGTCCTATGGCTATATGTGACATTATCCATTGTCCTATGGCTATATGTGACATTGTCCTTTGTCCTTTATGTGACTTTGTCCTATGGCTATATGTGACATTGTCTTTTGTCCTTTATGTGACTTTGTCCTATGGCTATATGTGACATTGTCCTTTTGTCCTATGGCTAAATGTGACATTGTCCTTTGTCCTTTATGTGACTTTGTCCTATGGCTATATGTGACATTGTCACTTGTCCTATGGCTATATGTGACATTGTCCTTTGTCCTATGGCTATATGTGACATTGTCCTTTGTCCTTTATGTGACATTGTCCTATGGCTATATGTGACATTGTCTTTTGTCCTTTATGTGACTTTGTCCTATGGCTATATGTGACATTGTCCTTTGTCCTATGGCTAAATGTGACATTGTCCTTTGTCCTTTATGTGACATTGTCCTATGGCTATATGTGACATTGTCTTTTGTCCTTTATGTGACTTTGTCCTATGGCTATATGTGACATTGTCCTTTGTCCTATGGCTATATGTGACATTGTCTTTTGTCCTTTATGTGACTTTGTCCTATGGCTATATGTGACATTGTCCTTTTGTCCTATGGCTAAATGTGACATTGTCCTTTGTCCTTTATGTGACTTTGTCCTATGGCTATATGTGACATTGTCACTTGTCCTATGGCTATATGTGACATTGTCCTTTATCCTATGGCTATATGTGACATTGTCCTTTGTCCTTTATGTGACATTGTCCTATGGCTATATGTGACATTGTCCTTTGTCCTTTATGTGACTTTGTCCTATGGCTATATGTGACATTGTCCTTTGTCCTATGGCTAAATGTGACATTGTCCTTTGTCCTTTATGTGACATTGTCCTATGGCTATATGTGACATTGTCTTTTGTCCTTTATGTGACTTTGTCCTATGGCTATATGTGACATTGTCCTTTGTCCTATGGCTAAATGTGACATTGTCCTTTGTCCTTTATGTGACATTGTCCTATGGCTATATGTGACATTGTCCTTTGTCCTATGGCTATATGTGACATTGTCTTTGTCCTATGGCTATATGTGACATTGTCCTTTGTCCTATGGCTATATGTGACATTGTCACTTGTCCTATGGCTATATGTGACATTGTCCTTTGTCCTATGGCTATATGTGACATTGTCTTTGTCCTATGGCTATATGTGACATTGTCCTTTGTCCTATGGCTATATGTGACATTGTCACTTGTCCTGTGTGTGATCAAGTTTTTCGTAGCTCGAAGGACCACGTCATCGGTCTATTTTTAGAACGAGCCTGTGATCTCATCGCATGTATCAACCTAGTCAAGTCGTGTCTTTGTCCTGCCTTAATGCCGGCGCTGTCCCTCCATTCGTGTGCAGACAGAAGTGTGAGGATCCATTGAGCAGGGCCAGATTTACGACGTGTGTGGCATGGGCTCTTTGGATCCTGGAGTCTAATGAAGGTGTAAGTTAACCTTTGCACCGCAAGAACCCTGGGTCGTCAGCACGGTAGACACCACGACCTGGTTAGAAACGACTTGAACTTTTTTTTTAAAGAAAGAAATTTACCTCAAACTTTTAACAGGGGGTCAAGTCTGTATAATGTAGTTTAAGTTTGAAATATTTAACAAGGTTAGGGCTAGATAGTGGCGTAGCGTATCTAGGTTTTCGGGTTGGGGGTGGGGAGGGTGAGGAGTGTACAAAATGTGCAATTATATATAAATATATATATATATATATATATATATATATATATATATATATATATATATATATATATATATATATATATATATATATATATATATATATATATATATATATATATATATATATATATATATATATATATAGCCTACTTGTTCCTTTTACCTCTCGCCTTTATCCATATCATGATAACGCTGGACGAGTTGGACTAAGATGATGACACATTCAATGACACTCAAAATCAGTTATATCAAAGATTTTAAACGAAAGCCCGACTGAACTCATATAAAGCTACTTCTTGGTGACTGTACGGAGTGTCAGCCTGACCTAAAGGAATGGATGAAATTATCATGGAGGTTTCCGATGTGGAACCAAGTAGAGCTAGTTTTTTTTTTATTGTGCAAATGGCAATACAAAAATATTTTTAACGAATTTTATCTAAACTAGAGTTAGGGATTAAGGTTCTCGATAGGGGCAGTAATGTACGTACAATGGGTGGGGGCGGGGGTTGGTATTCTGCAGCCATTTTAATGTCACCTTTTTTCGCAGATTAATTAAAATTTAATTAAAAAACAAGTTCCACTACAAAAAAAAAAAAAAAAAAAAAAAAACACCAAGCTAACACAAACCTAGCTTACGACATATTTAAGATTGCCTTGTTGTGTAAATATCTGTAGGT